ATCAAATCAATAAATAATATTTAATAATTATAATAACTAATAAACTACAAAAACTAAAAAAATAACTAATTTATATTCAGTTCAGCAACATTAACTCAGGAGCACAATATATAAAACACTTGAACCTACAAAACAAAAATGAATTAAACAATTTATGCTCTTTTTTTCTTTCTTTTTTTGATCAAAATGAGGAAGTCAGGTTTAATGGCTACAATGAGCACGTTTTGCAGTGCACAGCTTTTCGAAGCGAGGTTCGAAGCATGATAGTGCAACTCTCAGCTCCTGCTCAATGTTTACAAAATAGTAGATACATACAAGCAGAGATCATTCCCACAAAATTAATTCAATGATTGTTTTGTATGAAGGAGTATGAGGGCCATATTTAGAATTTTCTTTAAAGACTTTGAGATTTAAGTCGTGAATTTACGAGAATAAAGTCATTAATTTATGAGAATGAAGTCGTAACCTGTTATTTCAGAGGAGACTTGTTAAAATTAGGGCCATGAAGCATTTGAAGGAACTGTGCTTCAGTATAGGTTTCACAAACAAGGAGATACTTCATCCTTTGGTACATCAGCATCACATTGTCATAAGTATAAAGACTTAAAAAAAGAATGTATGAGAAATACGTCTTTTCCACGGGGAAAAAAACTGGTGTACTTGAAGGAAATCGCTGCTTTTGTGGAGGCAGAAATGAATATGCTGATGATATATCTGTCAATGCAGCCGTAAATATCCGTGAATGACATTGAGCTTTAATTTATGATATGAATCCATGGGCACAGGCTACCGCCGGTGTCAGGGACGTGGTGCTCGTCTGAGCTCGACTCCCTCTGGATCACAAACGTTGATCATCATCAGTTTGATTGTTTCTTCAGAAACCACAAAGCTGACCTGTCTGCTGTTTATGGATTTCTTGTACTTTCTTTTAAGACACGCTGTGTCTCCAAGCGAGTCCAGCCTCTCACCTGAAATGCGCAGCTGTGCAGCGGCACGCAAAGCATTCTGGGATACCGACGGCACGAAAGCGTGCATAAATGCACGCTTGAAAACATGCTAAGCGCGCTTAGCATTTCTTAGCATCTCGTGCCAAATGGGACACCGTTCGCGCCGTCGTGACGTCATGCACGCTTCAAATGCACCGTTCGACAGAAGCGCACGTAGCTCGATGCGGTCTCTGAAATGAGACACAGCACAAGGCAAACCTGTTGTCTTGTAAGTCGTAAAATGTTGCACTGTCGCAAACGTGACAGAAGTAACAATGAGAGTGCCACTGTCGCCTACTGTAGTGGATGCGCAATTACACTTTATACTAGTACGGCCACAAAAAAAAGCCTGTTCCCCAGGGTCACACGCGCCCCCCCAGGTATCGCACCGCGCGCCCCACTATTTGAGAAGCACTGCACTAGAGAAAGCGGACTGAATGTTCAGCCATTTTGGCTGCACAGGCGCCATGACCTCCTTACTCCACTCAGGGTTGGTAACCTTTTGCATTAAGCCTTCATCTGCATTTCTGCTTGGGGTAGCACTCATTTTCTTTTTTTCTCACCTACAGTGCTGTCGGCTTCATTTGTTTAAGTGCTATGGTTGCATGTAGCTGCCGCCTGCTATTACACAGATGCCACTTTGTTCTAATTCAGCACATGATTGGTTCAGCATGGAGCAGACCCGGAGCAACTCCCCTTTTCACTGGCTATTCGTATAGTCTACCAAAACATGGTAGAATGCCTGTTAGAAAGCCCATGTTGTTTAGGTGTTTTCAAGTAAATGCTATGCATTTATATTGTTTGATGTTGAGTTTTGATTTGTCCTACACTCAATGCGCTATAGGCATTCTGACACGATTGAACGCACAGCACTTGTGTGTGAGATGCCACAGCTGCGAAAGTTTAGTTTTCCTCCTCATGCAGCAGAGGATAATTCGTAAATTTCCTCTTACCTGTTTTTTCTCAATATTCACCCTCACATCCCAGGTTTATTGTGTGTAAATGCCAGAAGTGAGTTTTATGGTGTTTCACTGTCCAAATTGGATGCTATATTGTGTGAATGTATTGTTTACCGCAAATATGGCCAATGCTAGCTCATGCAACTCGATGTTCGTGTTATGTAAGGCGTGAACTGTACTGATTGTTGCTTTATCTTTATCTGCAGAACCACAGTGAAATAAATCCACCACTAAACTGGACATCTGTATACGTGTCTTTTAACAAGGACACACACCATACACCTTGCTGCTCTAAACCCAGCGAAATCCTGGAGAACCCCCTTTTCTCCTTTTTAATGCCGAATATCGAAAAAGCATATCAACCATGTTTTATATTGATATTGAGGGAAATTAACTTTTAATATATTTCGTTATCAATTTAATGCCTAGCACTAATCTAATGTTATTAAAACAGGCTGTGTCATCCAGTCAGTGTGTTGAAGCAATGCAGTGACTATCACAGGGGAATGTAAATTCATTATTGAATAAATATTTCAAAGGGGAAAAACTGGTTTTTGTGTATCTTTTGCGATTAGCATTAACAGAAGATCAAATCGATGATTAATCATTTACATATGATTAATCGATTGAGGGACTTTCTTAAAATGCCCATTCCTAATCCTGACATCCTTATCATTAACTGCTGTGTATTCTGGGGTTTCCTATATAATGCTTTAGACTTTGGGTTTTTCAAATAATCTATATGTATCAGCCAAATTCAGAGTGAAAATACTGGCATATCAAATAAAAGTGAAAAACCCAATTTTGTGTTACCTTAACTGTAATAATGGTGTCAAGTATTGGGCTGATGCTTCAGGACTACCTTCTCTTAGACTTCAGTGCAGTGGTGGTCCTGAGACAGAAAATGTGTTTAAACCTCAATGTGCACATCTTCAGGCCTCTTAAACACCTGATGTCAGCAAGGGAAAGAGGTGGCTTTGGGATTAAGTTGTATCCTTTACAACTCAGCTGCTGCCTTAGAGGTGATTTGATTTCAAAGTGTCCTCCAGCAGAGGCAGAGGTCGTCCAGTGAATTTAGGGGCTGTACTTTCTGGCAGTAAGCTTTTATTGCAGTCACTCCGTGTTTCCCATCCCAGCCTAGTATTCCCAAGATATGCTGGCTGAGATGAGGAGTCTGGAGAAAAGATGAAGAAAGAGTGATTAAGCTCATGCCTGCATAGACAAATGTCAGACTTGGTGTTGATCATTTGCAGTGCCCATTGACCAATGGCAGTCAGGCTCCATTATTACATTCAGCCAAGGTTGTGGACATTTGGCTGATTTACATGTTGGCTCTATAACAATATGTTAGGGGGAAGAATGATAGATTCTGATGAATTACAACATTGTGTCTTGGAAGAAAGAACTAATCTCTTGCAAACATCTTACCGCAGAATCACTACTCACCGACATGAAAGTGGGCAAGACATTTGGGGAATGTCTTACCAGAAAATCACATCCCATTCTCAGCTGGAATGCAACCATATTTTTTGTATGGTCCAACATTATTTGAAAGGCTTGATACAGATCTGTAATGGCTGCAATGACATGATGCATGGTTGCTTAGAGTTTGCTCAGTGCTGAGACTTCATCATAAGAGACACATACTGGAGTTTTAGGATTAAAATGGCATGCTTCCATGTGGAAGACCATGGTTGTTTGTACCAAAGTTCACTCAATACCAAAGTGGTGTTGAATGAAGTTATGTAGCATATTATTAGCAGCTTTGGAACAAAGATTTTGTGGGTGACTTTGTGATTTGAAGGCTCTAGCCTTTAAAGGGATATTCTGACGTAAAATTAACTTGGGGTCAAACACACCATAATGCCGAGTTAGACACTCCCTCGAGAGATGACTTTTGATGACTGCTTGTTTCTCTAGTTATACCAATTTTAGTAATGACTGCACGATAGCAATACACAGCGGTCTATCACTCCATGCGCAAACCTCAACCAAAAAGTCACTCTATAACCACAAATAATGCTCAGAATAGCACCTAACTTCATCAACAGAACATATAGGGTCCCAGCTATAGCAGTAACCACCAAACGTCTTTTTAGCATGGTCTGGTTTCTTTAGCAAAGAGACCGAACACAACTCACCCACTCTCTTCTAGCAGTCACTTGTTTATTGTAGAGCCCTGACGAGTCTATCACTGAGTGCAGCAGGTCATTTCCTTGAAGTGCAGTGGAGTTTCGCAGCTCAAGGAAGACGATTTATGATTTTTACTTCATGCAATCAGACCAAGACACTAAGGCAGAAGAACTACTGCATCTGCCGTGCAAAATGATAATTATGTTGATCATTACCTCATGGAAATGACCCGCTGCACTCGGTGATGGACTCATCTGGGCTCCCCTACAAACGAGCGGCTGCTGGAAGACAGTGGGTGAGTTGTTTAATCTCTTTGCTAAAGAAACTAGGCAAAGCTAAAAAGATGTTTGGTGGCAAATGCTATGGCTGTTGATGAAGTTAGGTGCTGTTCTGAGCATTATATGTGGCTATAGAATGGCTTTTTGGTTGAGGTTTGCGCATGGAGTGATAGACCGCTTGTGTATTGCAATTGTGCGGTCGTTACTAAAGTTGGTAACTAGAGAAGCAAGCAGTCGGCAACATTCATCTCTCGAGGGGTTGTCTAGCTAGGTGTTATAGTGTGTTTGACCCTAACTTAATTTTATGCCCAAATATCCCTTCAATGGTTAAAGTCGCTCTCCCTCTGAACAGGTCATCCTGTCATCAGACATCTTGGTGTGTTTGACATCAGTTCAATGTAACGTGTTCTCTTATTGTTACTAATGAAATCCCCTCTTTTGTTTCCCCTCAGATCCTGGCACATCACGGAGACAGATAATCTTGGCGGATAAATATAAGGACATTCTATCGGAACCAACGTCAAGAGAGTGGATTGAAGTTTTCTCACATGGGAAGTTATTGTGGTACAGTGGTTGGAGTTGGATTCATGGTACTTGCACTTTGAGAAGTAATGCCATCAGCATATGGACAAATGAATTTCATCATGGAAAAGCCGAAACCTGTGAACACTGTTGCTTCTGCACAGTTGGTTGGAGAATCAAGTACTTTTATCTGTACTGAGTGTGGTGATGGGTTCAGCCAGTATACCAATTTGTTGACACACATGGCAAGTCATGGACCTCTGGAGTCCTTCACCTTTGATGGCTCTTCCAATGGATTTGAAATTCCACGGGAATATGTGCTACAAGAAAATGGAACACTGACAGTCGTGAATGGCTTTGTGCGGTCACAGTCACCAGTAAAACCAGCATCTCCTGGTATTCTTCCATCACATTATCATTCTATCCCTAGCAGACCAGTGTCTCCAACCCCAAGGCCACAGCCCACTCCTTTCAGAGATGTGTTCAGGCCGAAGCCATCAGATCTGAACATCGACAAATCACGACAGGGCCATTTCCGCTGCGAAATATGTGGTAGATCATTCAACAACCTGCAAAGTTTACATCGTCATCAGCAATATCGAAATACAGAGCGAGGGTACAAGTGTACTTTGTGCTGCAAGATTTTTGAAGGTAGACAGGACCTCAAGAAACACCTTCAAAGCCACATCAGTGAAAGGTTTCACTGTTGTAGTCACTGTGGTAAGCGGTTCCTCAAAGTGGATGCACTGAAAACCCATCTTAAAGAAAAGCACCCACCCCCCATTGCCAAATCACTAGACCGACCTGAGAGTAAGCAGGGTAAAAAGATGGAGAAAAATTACTCTTGTAAAAAGTGCAAATTGAACTTTTTCTGGATATCAGATTTTCAGACACATGCACTGTACCATTGCAAAGGAAAAGTACCTATAGCTACTTTTCCTTCTGAAATTGAAAATGAAGTGCATGCAAAGAACGGAGAAGTCATGCCACTTGAAAACTGTTACAATGGTAAATCTGTCAACATCAAGAATGGTGATAGTACAATCTTTAAAGACTCTAGTGGTAAGCTTGAACACTCCTTCACACCATACAGATGTGGTTTATGCGGGGATCGTTTCCAAAAGTTAACAGCCCTGAAAGAGCATCATCGCACTCATCAAACGCAGGAAGAGATAGATCAGCAGAGCCAAGAATCACAAAAAACTTTTAAACGAAAAATACCACCGAAAGCCAGGCGTAGAAGATCAAGTAATCCTAATGGCAAATTGCATCCTTGCAAACACTGCCATCGTGTCTTTAATCATTCCAGTAGTTTATCAAGGCACATGAGATACCATAAGGGTACCATGCACACATGTGCACTTTGTGGGAGACACTTTCCACAGCGCTGTGATTTGAGACGACACATAGCCATGTACCACAAAACTGAATTGGAAAAGAAGCCTGGCTTGAAAAACTTGTTAACAGATCCACAAAACGGACCTGAGCAGAATTCTGTGATTGGCGAGAAAATCACAAACTCTCCAGATGAGAAAACCAAGAGTTCCTCAGACAATGAACAAACTGCATCCCAAGAGCAGCATCCAGTGGGTAAGCAAGCAGGTAGAGGGAGGCGGAAGAACTACAAGTGCCAGGAATGTGGAAAGAAATTTGGGTTGTTATGTGTTTACCAACGGCACTTGCGTTACCATAAAAAGGAGCCCAACAAGTGCCCCAGATGTCCAGCTCAATTCATGAATTCATCCTCCCTTGAACTTCACCTTCAGAATCACCCAAATGTGGAAGAGGCAGAGGATGTTGGACAAACAAGTCATGCCACTGGTTCAAGCAGAAACTCTACCAAAGAAAAAGGCAATCAAGAGGATGCTGAGGATGACTATGTGAACAATATTCAAAAGGATCAAGCTAATTCTTCAGATGCTCTCTATGAATGCACTGAGTGCACTGAGACATTTTCGTGTTTAGAGACATTTCTTCAGCACCAGTCTTCTCACAGCTCAGAAAAAAATGGGTAACTATTATGCCTGGCCTGTTGTTTTAGCCAGCAACTACATTCAAGGAATTCGTGTTTTTGATTGTTTCGATTGAAAATATTTTTGTATAACTGTAGATCATTATTATAGAATTTGTGAAAATGTTGCCTCACTTCTTTTATTCATTTTCTTTGGCATCAGTAAAAATCGAGTTAGAGCTAGAGAAAGGGTGAATGGTGGGTCGGTGGTCAAAATGAACCAAGAGAAAAGACTACAAAGAACAAAAAGACATGGTAAATGTGTCTCCAACAGGCTATGGTTAGATCTTAAATGTGTTGCTTTTCATTGTATTTTGTATGGTATTGCTACATTGTTTAACTTGTTAATATGTGATTTGGGTATTTTTTTTAATATGTGGTTACCTTTGTGAATAATTGCCTGTTTTGAAAAGATAGCATTGTAACCAATACGCTTTTTAAGTGAACCATTAAAGTCAAACACAAATTCTATATGATGTCAGTGTAATAGTTCCTAAATCACCTTTTAAAAATGTCAAGGTCGTATCATGGAGACAGCTAGGTAGTCAAAGTGCAGCACTATCCCGAGTCTTGAGCAAATTGTATATTTCATGGAAACCATATTGTCCAGTATGAATAATCCTATCTAGACAATGATCTGGAAAGTAATGAGTAAATGATGGGAGTGCATAAAGGAGTAAATTGATACAGATTTTCTCTGGTTTGCCTCAAAATATTGTTTGCTTTAAGATTTTGGCTGTTTGATTGAAGATAACCAGGTTCTATGGGCAATCATTCTAAATTCGATTACATCATCATATGGTACACTTTTTACTTTACTCTTGCTGAAAAATCCACAGCACCCTAGCTCTTCACTTCAGAATCAGAGATGTTGTTGTGAGCAAATGTTGTTTGCAGCTTTGTCAATGAAAATTGGTACTCAGCTGGTGCTATAGAAATATTGATTGATTAATTTGTGTAGCATTATCAAGTTTGACCTTGGGATTACAGCCAAAGTGCTGAATTAATGGTTTACCTGTTATGTCAAGGGCACACAGGGATTGTCAAGGGCACACATGTCAATCACTCAAAGGCAGATAGCTTTTAACAGTGCATTGTTAAAGGGACATTTCAGCGTAAGATTAAGTTAGGATCAAACACACTGTAACACTAGGTTAGACACCCCCTTGAGAGATGAATGTTGCTGACTGCTTGCTTCTCTAGTTATACCAACTTTAGTAACGACCCAATGATAGCAATACACAGCAGGCCCAGGAGCAATGCGCTCAACCAAAAAGCCTCTCTATAGCCACAAATATTGCCCACAACAGCAACCAACCAACTGCAGCGGGGTTCGCAGCTCAAGGAAGATTTATGATCATTTCTTCATGGAAATGGTATCAGACTGAGACGCTAAGGCAGAACTACTGCTTCTGCAGTGCAAAATGATAAATATGATGATCATCACTTCAAGGAAATGATAAAGTAATGATTACAAATGTTGTTCCTTGAGCTGCATCACCTTGCAGCAGTCCGTAATGGATTGGCCCGAGGTCTCGCTACAAACAAGTGGCTGCTGGTAGAGAGTAGGTGAGTTGTGTTTAGTCTCTTTGCAAAATAAATTAGGCAAAGTTAAAAAGATGTTTGGTGGCTAGTGCTGTGTCAGGACCCTAAATGTACTGTTGAAGTTAGGTGCTGTTCTAAGCATTATTTGTGGCTTTTGAGTGGCTTTTTGATTGAGCACGTGGCTCCTTTGACTGCTATGTATTGATATCGTGCAGTTGTTATTAAAGTTGGTATGACTAGAGAAGCAAGCGGTCGGCAATATTCATCTCTTGACAAGGTGTCTAACTCAGTGTTACGGTGTGTTTGACCCCAACTTCATTTTACGCCGAAATATCCCTTTAAACCCTACCAGACAAATTGAACAGCTATTAGCCCTAGGATTACGGATGTCCCGATACAAGTGTTTTACTTCCGATATGATACCGATATTGTAGCCCTCAGTAATGGCCAATACCGATATTGATCTGATATTGGCACAAACTTTTGCATGACAAGTTTTGCACTCAGCTACAACATCTTTTTCGGACTTAAACAAAAATACTGCCACATGGCCGAATTTACTCCTACTCCTCACTACTTTGTTAGTACCTTAGAACACACTACTGCAGTGATTACGTGGGCTATGTATGCTTGATCCAGGCACTGCTAGATAGAGGTGCTGGAGCAGAGTGCTAATATCGGAGATTTTAGATGCAGGCCAATATAATCCGATATTTGTTTTTTTGATATATCGGACCAATATCTGATATCAATATTGCATTAGGACATCCCTACCTAGGATATTGTTTAGCCATGAGTGATGTTGTCAACCACAAAATGGATGGCCAGTTTGAGAGGCCAGTTAAAAGGACATACCTATCAGACTTCATTGGTAAATTTGGCTTTGTTGGTGTGGTGGTACGAAACTATAGATCAGGTGGTAACCAGACATCTGTAAATATGCAGCAAAAAATCCCATTTAAAATACTGTGGACATAAACAGAAATTTATGATGTAATGTGAACTGATATGGAGATGTGTGAGAGGTTTAATTGGGCATTGTGCAAAAAAAGTCACATGGGGCAAAAGGCAAGCTCTCAAAAAGGTACCTCTTGTAGTACAATGAATATCTAGAATTCAAAGTTCTTCATATAGAATTCTAATTTTGTTGCACCCTCATCACGTGACAGCAGAACTGCCAACCCACCCCATCAATTGTCACTGTTTAAGAAGCAGGATTGCCCCCCTCAACAGACCCAAGCTCCAGGCTCTGGGGCCCCTGATGGCCATCACAAACCAAACATATGTCAGTAGGTTGTGAGAGATAGTATATCAACAGGGTTATCAAAGGGGCACATCCTTGATCTCTGGGGAGCATAACAGTTAGTCTTGGCATTCAAGGGGTACCACCTTCATGGTGGCTCTCAGTTACCGTCATATATCCATATGCAGATCTTGGTCACTGACCGAAAAAGGGAACTTGTTCCATTCCAACCTTCTTTGAAGTGTTGTTGACCTTGCCTGACCACCTTCCCGTTCTCAAAGCATGATGCAGAGAAGTGTACTAGTGCAGTTTTCACCTTGCATGGATCAGATGTTCAGCATCTGCACTGGTATTCATCAATCCCTGCCCAGAGATCAGTGATTGTAAAAGTTAAGCTGCACATTCACTTATAACTTACCTGAGCATGTCTTGCCAGTTCGCTACCATAGACTGTATATTCTATGGACAACTTGGTTCCGCCCATCGCCTGTATACGGATTTGATGCCAAATAGCTCTCTGTTGTTTCAGGATTTTTCTTCATTTCCTGAAACCAGCGTTGCGCAGTAGCGAGGGCACGCAGTCGCCAAGAGTCGCTGTGATGACGCTCAGCTCAAACAACGTATCTCCCCGGGAAAGCTACGCAATCCCTGAATGCCCACAGGCCGTATCAAGTGTCAATCATAGAAAACATGAACCCCCTAATAACTTTTAAAAACGGAGCTTCACAGAAAAAAAGAGGACTTGAGCACAAGCCAGTCTTACTGTAACTACATGTCAACATCACAAGCAGGGGGGAGAAAAATCTATATTCTGTGTAATTAATTTCTAAAGTTTGTCCACAGCTCCATAAGCTTTGCTGGCGGAGGCGGGATTTATGACCTATACTGCAGCCCATCAACAGAGGGTGCTGTTCTCAGAGTGGCTTCACCCAGCGAGGAGGCAGACTCTGTCCATTCTTTATACAGTCTATGTTCGCTACCAAATCGGATCGCTGAAGCAGTTAGATGCTAGCTTAATGGTTCAGGAAATTACAATGGTTTTTATGGATGTTGCTTTTTTCAAACGTTAAGGGACAGAAGGGGAGCAAGCCACCATAATAAAAACTTGCAACAACATTACATACTATAGCTGCTACCATGAGACAAGAAGCTCTCTGTCTCTCTTTCCTGCAGTAATGGTCACAGTGTGAATGGTCATGAACAGTTAGCTTTAGTACCAATACAGAAGAAAGGGGTTCTGTTATCAACCTGTCATGGAATATGAGAACTCGTGAAGTACCTGGCTCTGCTATTGGCAGAGCTGATTGGCACTTTTGGATCAGTGGGTCAACAATCTACCTGTCAATACCTGTCAACAAGGTACCAAGCCAACTTATCAAAGGGGAACTGGAAAATACTTAAGTTTGGCCATATTTACATAGCATCACTACACTTTCATTGGCTCAGAAGTTGACATTCCTTGTTACAGACAAGCTGATAATATTCTCTTCCCAACTTATTCACATATTAAGTTAGTAAACACTGTTCCAAGGTAGTATGCCGTCAGTCCCAAAAAACTAGCGACTGGACAGTAGTTGCTCTCATATTGGAGTTGGGTGGGGGTCTATTTGTTCATTCATGGGCTTTAAAGTAAGGTCTGAAACTCTGACCAGTTAGTGTTGTCATACTTTGCAAATCACCTTACGGTAGTTTCTTGTTCAGTGTGTGGGACAGAAAGAGGCCTTGTGTTTGTTCACCCCCTGCAAACTGACTATAAATAAAATGTTAGAGTAGGCCACACAACACAGCCTGAGCCATTTTGCTACAGGTAGAGTTTGTGCACTCAGACCCCTGCCTCTGTCAGCTTGTTTCTATCTGAAGAACCAAGCATCACCATAAAAAAAAAAAAAAACTGCTTTCCCAGGGGCATTGGTTTGGCTCAGTTGGTGGGCAGGCACCCAATGTACAGAGGCTACAGTCCCTGTCGCACCGGGAACATGATTGATTCCCAGTTCCAGCAGGGTGTGGTACATGTCATTCTCCCCCGTCTTTCTCAGCCTGTCTTCTCAAAATAAAGGCCCCCACACACACACGCATACATGGGGTGTTCCTATCAGAATGGTTCTGAGATCTTAGGAATTCACTAACCCCCCCAGCCCCCTCCCAACCCAGACACATCACTTTGTTGAAACTGGACTGATAAGCCCTCCAACTCTTGTGTCTTACCACAAACAATCAGAATTGCGGTGTCAGTTTAAAGCAGCATACCTCAAGTAAAAACAGGTGCAAAAAAGCAGAGGTGGAGTTCCCTCGAACCTTTTTTATTTTTTTTTATTTTACATGCTACCACATGTATTGCCTTTGTCTCCAAAATGAAGTACAATGGCACAAAGGTCTTTTGGGAGATCCAAGAGTGCAGCCTTCAGTCACATCTCCCAATGACACCAAGGCTTTTGTCTCGCCCAGTAATGAAGCTCTTCAGAACATCTGAAAGAATTGCCGATCCTCTGTGTGATGGCACATCTTCGACTTTCCAACTTCATATATCTTAACTCACAGAGCAGACTGGACAGCCTCAAAAGTACTGCTGAATCTTGGAAATGGTGTAGCAATGTTTGGGGGTATTTGCTCAGTGACTGTTTTGTCAAATTTTCTTGGCATCTATGCATATGAGGGTGTGGGGTAAAGGCAAGTTCTTGCTTGCTTAGATTACTTCCCCAGTGATCTTCTATTTTTTTTTAGGAAAAAGTCACAAATGGATAAATTACAGTAGTACTTTGATGAAGTGGCCTGAAAATGGGAGATTCCATATATTTTTATGTCAAAGTATATTTCTCTTAACAGGGAAAATGCATTTTTCCATAGGAACCAGTTCTGTGCCTGGGGGACTTGTGGTAGACCAGTGCAAGCAGGGAGGGCGCCATTTTGTAGCTAGACTTACCCACAAAATGGTTGTGAGCAACTTATTAACCCTTTGAGGACCAACTATGTCGAGTTTATCTACTGGTGGAGGGTTTCACAGAGTTCCCCAGTAATTCTGACAGTGCAAAATCAACACAGTGGTACTACAGCTGCAGAAGAGAGCACTTCCTCACTGCGCATTCATATGATCAGCCAGCTCAAGTAGTGCTGTCTTCCTGCGTGCCTGTCTGCCTGCCTGCCTGCCTGCCTGCCAGAGCACGTAGGGAGTGCAAGAGCAGCTTCAGCAGCAAGGAGGCACCACGTCGCAGTCGACCGGAAGAAGTCGTGCTAGCGCTCCATCAGGCTCAAACTGGAATGAGGACGGAGGGGTGGGCTTTCTCGGATCCCTGCACCTTGTTATTGGTTGTATTATTTACTCTGTGGTACAATGTACGTACGACACCAGGCACATTGTGTGAAAATGCGCGGAGAATTATTTATCTAACGTAGACTGACCTTAATGTAACACCGATATCCGGCGCACAACATCAATCCGACTAGCGTGTGTTGTGCAAGGTAACAGAGAACGGTTTTAAGGTTGAACGGCTACAATCGACCAACAGTCAAGAAAGAAAGGCGGTCTCTCGGGAAAGACGGAAGCCATCGTCAAGGAGGACTGAATTGTATCCCTGAATACTCGCAGATTAAGCCTCGATCTTCTGTCTGCTGCTTGCGTAAATGAGACCATGACGCTTGGAACTTGCGTGTGATTTACAACGGTGGACGGAGGAGGAACACGGTGCCCTGAACTGGTAAGAGATCCTGCTAAAGACCCGGCTGCTGCAGAGGAGCCATTAGCTGTCTGTTGTCAGTACTAGCTTCTGTTGTGTTAGCAAGTGGTATGGCTAGCTTGTGATTTTCTTTCCCGGGGTCTCGACTGATGTCAGCCTAAAACATCCAGCACGTGGAGAAAGATACTAACCACACCGCTACCTTAGATGATGCTGGGTCCTTGTTGGGCTAATGGCATCCTGATTTAATTTACAATACTATTTAAACCGACAACCAAAACCCGAGACTAGACACCGTCTAGGTGGTCCTGCAGTGTATGAATTGATAACTACAAAGACTGCTCTGTCAGAACATACTGAAGCAGGCTTTGTATGGAGTGAAAAAAGTTTTGGAAGTGGTATAAACCTGCTGGTGATTCCTACTTGTCTGACTTGTTGCACTCCTCTTACTGTTCAGACTTAATGTCTGAAGTTTTTCAAAGGTTGGGGATCTTAATGATACTGTACATGATTTAAATTAATTATGATTAATTTAAAACAAATAAATACAAACAATATACGTTCTCTTGCCCCAAATCAAATTATGTTCCATTAACTATTTCCATTAACTTGAATTGTGCATTTATCCTCATGCAGCTTTAAAGGGATATTCTGGTGTAAAATTAATTCAGGGTCAAACACAGTAACACCAAGTTAGACACCCCGCAGCTCAAGGAAGAACATTTATGATCATTTCTTTATGATCGCCTTGAAGTAATAATCATCTCATTAATCATTTTGCACTGCAGACGCGACAGTTTTTCTGCTCTACATTCTCGGTCTGATTGCATTTCCATTAGGAAATGATCATAAATGTTCTTCCTTGAGCTGCGTCACCCCGCAGCAGTCCATAATGGAGGGGGTGTCTAACTGTGTTACGGTGTGTTTGACCCTAAATTAATTTTACGCCAGAACATCCCTTTATTCACTTATGTTTGCGAAACCTTAATCTCCTTCATCACAGCCTGCCCAGTGCTGTAATGTTTTACCGTTTTTAAAGACAGCTGTTTTGGTAAAGACTTACTAACTGAATATAATAGGTGCCCATGTGAATTGAAGAGCTAGTATGTGTGTGGCACCTGGAGCACTGGCACCCTATGTAAACTCACTCACATCATGGTGTTTGTTTGGATCAAGCTTTCTTTGGCAACATTTTAAAACCTGATGAAAAAACATTGGTATTGTAATATCTCTAATAGCTTGGATTGTGGCCTTTTTTTATCTAAAAATATAAATTGAAATGTTAGACCAAAGGTTACAGAGTCAGATATGATTAAATCTTACCTGTAAAGTACACCTGGGACCTTCTTGTTTGTTAAATAAAATTTCCACTATAGGTGAGCTTGAAGTGATTTACTTTAAATTTGATTGGTGTTTGTCAAGATACGAATTGTTTTTGTATATAATTAAAAAAAATGTTTTGCAGTGTTTTTAAATTAAACTAGTCTTATCACTGGACAAGATATTTCATTCACTCAAGGCCCTCGCTCACGGAATCCCTCCAATGTTGCGGCAGATTTTGTTCCATGCTCTAGTACTGGCCCTGCTTCAGTTTGGACTCTAGCAGTGGAGGTGGTTTTAACAAGCACCTGACTTGGAAAAAGGGGGGGGAGGGGGGGGGGGGTATGGCATGGCTATAGCATTAGCTCTGGCAATAATGGGAAGTCGAAATATTCTCTGCAATTGATCTTTAGACATACATTTTTAAAATTATGTTTTTGGGCTTTTTGTATCATAATTGAAGCAGATAGGAGCAGGAAACAGGTACAAGACTAGAGCAGTGATGTGCATGAAGGGGCTGCAGACTGTCTGAGTTGAGACATAGTCTCTGAATATGGGGTGAATACTTAGATAATTAGGCTAACAGTGCCCCTAGTTCTTTTTAAAGATTAACAATCAGTTATCAATTACTGATGAAAAAAGAAGAATCAAAGATTTTTCCAATGACAAAAACAGGATCAAATGCATTTTTTCTTTTATCACATATTTTCCCCAGCAATAAACTGAAGGCACAGTAGAACTACAGAACTTGAAGCATTGTTAAACAAACTGAATACTGACATGCAGAGTTGGCTTATTATAATGGCCACATAATCATATAGACCGAAGTTCAAACTATATCAAACTGCTGCAACAAGAAAACCAAACAGAAACATGTTTAAGTCTCATAGTCTTAAGTTTCTGCCTGCTTGTATGGAAGTAAGCATGTCCATACAGTCAGGTGTCAGAGGAGAGTGCAACTGGGTCATAATTGGTCAGGCAGCAGAAAACACGCTCAGACAGCACCAGTGTCCCTGGTATGCCAAGTAACATGTCTCCTCTAACAGCCTGCATGTCCTGCAAAAGGCTCTCGAAGTTTGTTTTGTCATGCGACAGTTGTTGTGTGTTACCAAAAAAAGAGCTGTGGGGACCTGGCATATGGGTACAGCCCCTAGCTGAGCATCTCTGCTGTGTCTAGAACATTCAGCCCTTCAGTTGCATTGACACATTCCTCAAATTTATAACACCTACCTAATTGCTCAATTTAATAGGAGGCCACTCATTGTGTATTCCGGTTATGATAGATAATCACACGAAATCACGCATGCTTGAATCTCAGTAAGATTGTTTAGGAAAGGGTCGTCTTTTCTGCAGAACAGTTTCAGCTTTTGATTGCTTTTGTTCGAATTGTTCGCTTGACTCAGTACATCACATGACCATAGCTGATTAGAAAGTAAAAGAAGCCAGTTGACAGGTAAGGTGGCATCAAGGCAAATCATTCCTCCTCAAGTGGTTTGAAATATTTCAGTCTGTAGTTTTCCTGGTTTCAATGGCACTCTTTTAACTGCATGTGCCAGTTCTGTCAAGCCCATGCAGTCCAGAGCAGCTCTAGGGCCTTTGTCCATCAGCACTGTCTTGTGTGCTGGCAGAGCCCACTACCCCAGTTTTAGAGAGCCTGTCACCAGCCCCTTACCTACATGGATAATGGCTCTTTCCACCTCAAGGCATGTTCCATCCATCTTGGATGAAGAAAACAGCAAGAACTCTCTTCCCAGAGTGACAGAATATTGTCTGGTGAGATGAGCCCAGCATCAAGGGCTGGTCAAGCAAAGTAATGCAAGCCATTTGGAGGGATTCTTTGGAGTATGTTTTATGGTAAACTGAACTTGATTTGGAGCCTTCTGAAGATGTGCACATTGATGTGCTGGACATGTGTCGGTTTTAAAGAACAACATAAGACTTAATTAGGATGGCTATTATGTACCAAGTTACTCTTGTGTCACCGGGCCTGGCTGTGTGTCCAATACTTTAAGCAGAGAAAGTGGGTGTTACAATGGGTTACAGCGCCCTCCCACTGCTTCCTCTTTACGTGTGTGTATCTCACTGTGCTGCAATGCCTTACTCACATGATACCTAGGGTGTACTTGCAAGTACAGAATGTTCTGGTCTCATGTCTCCATGGTTACCAGAGCTTCACCCTTGAAGAGCCCCTACTGCAGCTCCTGCTGATGCAGCCTTAGTGAATTGAGAGCTGCAGAGGCCCGTACACTATCAGAGAGATATCCAGTACTCTCCTTTCCCTTTCGTTGAAGACCTGAAACACAGTGGATGTTGGGCCCACAGTTGGCAGCTGTGGTACTAGAAGCATTACAGCAAAGAGGGCATGTTTGTCTTTGGAGCAAACATCTCACTGCCCCCTGCTCTTTGAAGTAACTATATCTGAGCCAGGATGCTCTATTTCAACCATGGCCCTCAGAATGAATGCTTTTCTCCTGTGGGAATAATACTGCCTGCCTTTGAGGTCCCCCTCTCAGGCCTTTAGGTCTGCTGATTTTACATTTCTGTCACACAAGACTCCTTTCTGACTGACCTATGCCAAGTGGGTGGGCAACCTTCATGATCTGGCTGTGTGTCCATCTTTAATTCAGTTTGCAGGGGGTGTTGTTGAGTTGACAACACAGCTACATGGCTTTGAGCTTTTGTCTCCCTCCTTTTGCATCTGGGAACATGTAAATCAATGTGTCCAGTTATTGTCTGTTTCAGTCATTCGGCAGATGTCTATGCCCTGGCAAATCGGCAGCTTTTTCACATTCAGCCAGGATCATGGCAACATCGTAAGCCATTTCTAAATAGGTATCTGTGAGTCATTTCTGTGCTGCAGCCACTTGGCCATGGCTGCTCAGCTCTATTCAGTTTAACCACTTCAGTGCACCAGCCTCTTCAGTGGCTCATTCTTTTCCTCACTGTTTGGTCTCTGCAGCATTTTGGCTTCTGGGATTGTGGCGACCGGTTGCACATGAATGCAAGTTCTATACCTGTCACGAAGTAATGATTAAAACCAGTGAAAAGGAACATTTCCTTTTAATAGTGGTGGGCTGTATAACAGTTTTAACATCCTCACCCTTGTCACTGTCTGCCATAACATGGATTTCACAATATTGTCGTCACCACACGTGTTTTGGTTTTTGTACGCACGTTTTCTTGTGACAATGAAGCTCAACTTCTTCTAATGCCAGTAAGCCAATGTAGCAGGCTAAATCAGTGGCGTAGTGGAGTTAATTGTGACCAGAAACATTTAGATCAAACTCGTCCCTTCCGTGATGCACTTTCATACTTCAGAGCAGAGTCATGCCAATCCAAATACACTACTGCCCTCCTATGAATTACTGTCATTTTCTATAAGTGAACATTAACGGTGGCTCAGCAAGTCATATCTCCAAGTTTGATGTCAACAAGTAATGGTGCTGTAGGGTGCTCACTTACTGCCATTTCAAGGTGGGGTATGTACATCGCAGTTACGCCTTGCCTGCAATATGTATTGGCCAAAGGTGTGATGGTGGATTAAGGTCATTCTGCCTGTGACCCTCCCTTAGAAGTAGCAACCAAAGCAGAATTGGTAGAAGGAGGAGACAATGTGTCGCGTTGAAGTCTACAATGTAGGACGGCACAGTTTGTGTGCATATTTGAGCACATGCATGTTGGGTTTTGTGTTAATAAGCTCTTGCGCTCTTGCAACAACATAATAGGATTTGTAACTCTGTGACACCAATATTAGGCCATTTTGGGGTTAAGTGTGTAAGTACAAAGGCATAAAGATGGCAGAACTCTATTCCTGCACTATAGTGGAACTGCAGTGTGCAAGAGGCTTTAGTTGGATCTGGTCTTTTTCCAGACAGGGAAATACTCTGTAAATGGATAAGGAAGAGTCTGATAGCAACTGCAGCTCAGCTGAATCAACTACGACGACCCTGCTTTAAGTTGTTGAGGCAGTGGAAGCACTGTTGGAGCAGCTGAGTAACCCATCTGCACTTGTAGCTAGAGAACAGGAATAGCTAATCAGATTAAAATGAACCTTAAACCAAGAAAAGGCCCTGTTCCATTACTTTTGAGGTTGTTCATGTTTCACTTTCATTATTACTGTATTTTTCGGGCTATAAGGCACACTTAAAATCCTAAAATTATCTCTAAAATTGACAGTGCGCCTCTTAATCTAGCACGCCTTATGTATGATTACTTGTTGTGCTTACTGACCAGTTTTATGTGGTACAATGCGCTCAGAATCTCTGCTCAATGGATATTTGGGAGATAGCGATATGCTGTGTTGCTACCTGATCGGCCCCATAACAGGACCCCTAAGCAGTCCACAAGACTGCCTGACTGTAATGCCTAAACAAAGAGTACATTCATGTAAGGGAGCCCCGGCCCGGAGTACGGGCTAGCAACAATAATAAACCAATCAATGCTTAATGCCTTACAATCTGGTGCGCTTTATGTGTGAACATAGACACGTTAATTCACAGTGCGCCGTGTAATACGGTGCGCCTTATCACCCAAAAAATACAGTACCCATCACCAAAGAAGACTGCCTTTTGTCTCCCACGTGCTTTTTCTTTCCTTTTTTTAGAGTCCAAAGCTCATGAAAGTCAGGACTTTAAAAAGTTAATAACCATTGATTACAAACAAATTGCTTTAAATGTAAGTGTACAGTGAGGAAAAGGTGAGTGGAATTGCAGTGGACTGGCAAAAGCAGTATTATATAAAAAAAACACAGTTCTATCAATTAAGATTAAAACATGTTGCCAGTAGTCATCATGTATGTGTTTAAAACATCCAAAAAGCCATAACATTGCTGATTCTCCAATCTCAAGCAGGATTTTGCGGTATTCATTTTCATTGGTCTCTGTCTGGTAATTCTGGCTTGGCTGCTGAGCAGCCTCCTGCCTGAGGGGAGGGGGGTATGCAGTTCAGTTTGAGAGTAGGTTGGGATCTATCATTATGCAGGGGGCCCTATCAATGCACCTGCTGGTGTAAATGTCATTGATGGTCAGTCAGTTTTCAAAGGTGATATTTTGTGCCAGCGCCACTGCTATTGCATTGACTCTGCCTGAGGCAGAACACCTGCTGTGCCTTGAGGATCTTTTCTGCATGCACCTTTAGATGTTAGGACTGAGGTGGATGAGCCTCTCTTATTTTGATGGCTATGTTTTGGTCCACAAAAGGTCAGTAATGTGCATCCCCATTTGAAGACCTTGACAGCTGCTGTTGAGGTTAGTGCCATACGACATGACATCCCCCCGGTACACCATCAGTGTCATGCTTGACGGTGTCCATTTTCAAAAAACTGCAACACTGCAGTGCATCAGGCCTTGGCTGTCCAATATGAGTGGTTGTGCATAATGTAACTCCATTTATGCTCAGAGTGCCAATGTGTCGGATTATGCTGGTTTAGTAGCCTTGCTTATCAAGTGCATGCCCACCTTACTCATGGTTACAATGATTGCTGTGTAACAGTAAATAATATTCGTACAGTATTTCATTTATCAGTGAGAAATAAGTGTCAATTGTGAGACAACATATTTGCAAAACGAATAGTTTCTAATATTAAATCTATTTTAAAGGTATGGTTGACGATCTGAGAAGCAGTTGACAAAAATTGAGCCATTTAGGCAGATTTGAAAAAAGCTTCCCACCCCCACACACAAACCTCTCCCCTCAGTGCTCCTCGATAACCCCCCCCCTGAACCTGTGCTCCACGATAACTCCCCCTCAAACCCTTATCGCCTTCCTCAAGACACACCCCCTCTGGCAGAGCAAGAAGCCGGCCGGCAGAAGATCCTGCGCTAGCTTCAAATAGGATTCACCATGTCGGATTACTAGTGACTCGCAGCAGTAAGCGCCAGCTCTGCTAGAGAGCACTGTCTGCAGCTGCCTGGACAGCTACCGTGTTGACATTGCAGAGACTGATAATAGTTATGTAACATGGGCCACAGTAAAAGGCAAAATTTCCTGTTCAACAAAAACTCTTCTGTCTCGGCGTCTGTTTTCAGACCCAAATCCTGGCGGAGCTTTCTCCACCACTTGAAGGGATGACCCAATGTTTATGAAAGTTAGATTCCTCGCTTGGTCACATTTCCTCTTAGCACTTTTGGCGGTGGGGCAAGCAGAAGTGTTTTTTTTTTTTTGCCTCCTTCTCCATCACAGCTCCTGTAGCTAAGCTGCTATGCTACTTTTAGCTGCTCAGAGCTCCAAGGATGGCCTGGAGAGTGGAAGGGGATGAGTTGGAACTACAGGAGAGGGGTGCATCGAATACAGCAAGGTGATTGGATGGAAGCTGCCCAGGACGGATGTGCTCCCATTGGTCAATGTTTTTGCAGCCCTGCACCTGCTAGGGTGAACAGATTTTTTCCATTCTTTTTTTCTCTTCACTTTGTGGAGATCGCACTATAGGACCATGAGCACCATATAAGGTTCATAATAATTACCAATCTCTCCAATCATCAACCATGCCCTAAAGATTACATGGCTGAAATCTAGGGCAGATGATGCAGCATTCACTGTGGCATTCACTCCGCCAGCTGTTGTGTATCTGATTGATAGGTCACTGCATGTCTCCTTGAAAGCAGCAATCTTGTAAACATGAACAAGGAAGCCAAGCAGAACGCATGCATTATTCGAGGGAAGCTGCTCATAAATCATTCTAAATTAAGTTTTGACAATGGTCAAAAACAAAAACAAAAACAATGTGATAAACCTTGACACCGTCACAATCCTAAAAAAAAAAAAAAACAAATCTAAATTTTTGGTATACTGTCCATCATTTTTTTTTTGGCCCTTTTTTCCCAAAATCAGCTTGTGTCTTTTTGACATTAATATTGGGTTGTTTGCACTACACAAGGCTGCCAGATGTTCCACCTCCTCCCTTTAAGGTGGGGTAGGCAGGATTCCGTTAAAGAAGCATCTTTTTTGTGGTGTATATACAAAAAAGTTTTTAGTATCAGTCAACAGTCATAGGCAGACGTTGCTCCTTCGTGTCATTCACGAGCCCAAACAAAGTTAGCGTGCAAAGTTAGCGAAAGTATAGAAAATTGTCTGAATCCTCCTTTGGCCACTACTGCCAACACAAGCAAGAAGCCGGGTCAACATCAATGAAGCATAAATGCTTCGGGGACACTCTGGATCTTACGGACCCTGTATGCAACCTTTCTGCTGGACAAGTAAACCGCTTTAACGAAGTTAAACAAGTGTCTGTAACAGAAGTGTTTCTCATCAAACAGGACCTGCTGTAAGGTGACCAGATGTCCCCAGATTTCCAGGGACAGTCCCCGAATTGGATGACCTGTCCCCAGCAAAAGCTGTCCCAGAAAATGTCCCTGATTTAAGCGTTTCATGAATGAGAACAAAAATGTTGCGTGAAGGCTAGAACAATAGTTGTTTATGGGAGCCAAATGTGTAGGAAGCAGTCCTGAACAACACTTTTTACAGGATACGGGGGTTATTACAAGGGGTGTGCGCTGCTACTAAATAGTACCGAGATGTTGTCTGTAATTACGCAGCCCCCGGATTTCATTTCAGAAATCTGGTCACCTTAACCTGCTGTGTGTTGAAGCTCCGCTAAACTGTTTAGCTCGTGTCCTGTAGTATGTCACTTCATGCTAGTTTTAGTCCTAAGTTTAGTTTTAAGTTCTGCAAACGTTGTGTTTGCTGGTAGACTATTGGCATCTACAGTAGCACCAATGCTTTTTACTTTAACGTTGACTGGGCCCCATTTATAATTATCTGCATTATATCTGAATCTAGTTGAAACGATACGAGCGAGCAGGAGTGTCTGTTTGTGGGCGGGGCTTGCTGGAACCAGAGAGGGAGGGGAGAGGAGGAGCTGAGGGGACACTGGTTGGGAGGGGTAGTGCTTACATTCAAGGTTTCTTCCAAAAACTGGCACTTCCTCAGATCCTGTCTACCCCACCTTTGAGTCTAATTCGTCATCCAGCACTTTACATGCACTTAAAAATGTATTTATTGCACTAGTCAGACTGAAACTGGACTAAATAAAACTCTTCATAGTCGGACTAACTTACCTGGATAGTTGGTTGAAGATCAATTTTGTTTGTCATATAGCTCAGTCAAAAAGAAACTGTTGCCCATGCTTTTGTGTTTGCACACCAGGCTCTGAGCTAGTGGTTGAAAAGCATGGAGGAGGTAGTGAACAAAACCTTGACAGATGAAGAAAGGATATGAAAAAGATGAAACTGTTCAAACAAACAGCATAGAGCTTTAGAAGAGACATTCCGTTAGCTTCTTGCTAACTAGTTTTGCTAGCTGTTTTGATATGGAACACATCAACTAGGAGAAGATCAGAAAGTAACAAATTGAAAAGGGTCATTTCCCCACCTACCCTGGCAGAGGCAAACATGCTTCTGACAATAATTTGATTCCTGCCCAGTGGATGTATACTGGGACTCTTAACGCCCCACCCTAAGGTGGCCCTATGGGGCTAACAACTATCCTCATCTTTTAACCCACTGAGTTAACAAAACACCTTCAAAAGTTTAACAAGTGATTTATTGTGACAACATAACACAATTACGAACTAAACACAAAGAACCCTCAACACAAATGAGAGTCAGCAGGGGAGCAGTTCCCCACCAAATGCCTCTCCAGACTGCAGGCAGCTCTTGGTCTTTAAAGTCCAAGCACCAGGAGAGTCTGATTGTCACTCAGTGACTTCACCTGGGCAGCTATGGGGAGACAAAATAGCTGAGCAGATAAGGAAATAATCGTTCACTTTGTTATACAAGCATGAAATTTGGTACATATACTCTTCAAACCCCACTCTTTTCAAAAATAACGTTAGCCATGCAAAATTCCAAGATGGCGGCCCCAAAATCCAAGATGTCCGCCCCAAAATGTGGTTTTTCCTTTACAACTCAAAATGCCTTGATTTTAAGCCCCATACATATATTGAAGTTGAATATAAAGTTGTGTATTGCGGACATTTTGGTACCTAGTACATCTCTGTATCCATTACGGTTCTTGAGATACAGCATACAGATACTTGTACAGAATTGGCAGAGTAAGAAATTTGTAACACCGATTGTTGTTACATGCATAATATGGTTATATGAAAATATCATTTCCATTATCTGTTATTTTCATTAGGGTCATAACATGAAATTCAAAAACCAAGATGGTGTCCAAGATGGCTGCCATTGCCTTGAAGTAATCATGAATTCAGCAGAGATGAATCATGAATTCAGAAGAATGAAACTTGTCATAAAAAGTTAAAAATTAGGCATTTTGTGACAATTTTCTGATTTTTGTTATGGTGTTAGGTATGTGTATAAGGTTTTAAAAAACCAACGCAAACGATATGGGTGCGCCCCCTAGTGGTTTGTTTGCCCAGAATCCAAAATTCAACACCTCAGTTTGAAACCCAAAGTAAATGATAGAAGAGATTTTTCAATGGATTCTGTTACTATTGGGTATGGGAGGTGGGGGGGGGGGACTACTCTCTGGCTACTTGCGGGGGAGGCCACGTGGAGTCTGTCTTTATCCCCATCCCACCCCACCCCCACCCCCCTTTTTTTTTTTTTTTTTTGGGCTCTTTTTAAATAAATCTCTTCTATCACTTGTTTTGGGTTTCAACCATATACTAAACTATCTAACATTAAATACCATGCAAACCGACCACTAGGGGATGCACTCAACTCGTTTGCTGTGTTTTTTAAAAACCTTATACCTATACCTAACTCTATACTAAAATTCAGAAGTTTACAAAATTCCCTAATTTTTCCAGATCCCATCTAAGCTAAGTACAGAATTTAGACGTTGATAAAAGCAGGTATTTTAGTACCATGTGCATCTATTACAGTTTGTAAGATACAGCATACTTACTGTGAGTTACACCTCACAGTTTCAACTGCACAGAGCTGTACACATGAGACCCAATTTGTAGCACTTGCACCTGCCACAACAGCCAGATTTACAGCCACATTTGGTGAGCTGTTCGCATGTCTTGACTATCGGAGAGTTGGCTGTCCAGAAGACCTGCCATTCCTCACCAACCTTTTGCCATCCCCAGTCTGCAGAGTCCTTTGCTTCTGGCTGACACTGGGTTGCCTGGGCCCACACACAACCAGCCTGATAGGCAGCACGCCTGGTGTGTTGGAGTAGAGCTACTCTGGTTGGTGGGATAGACCCATAGGGCCTCTGCTTTCTGGCAAACAAGTCAAGCCTGGCCTCATCCACAGTAGCAGCTGTGCTGGATCTGTCATACATGAGAATGACAAACTTCTCAAGCACCTCTGTGTCACAGTCCTCCACTGTGGGAGGGTAAATACCCAGTTTGGCGAATACAGGCAAGGATTCTGGACATATGTCCCATGTATGCCAAGCCATTTTTTTGCCTTTGTTGCGGAAGGCAGACACAGTGTCACATCCTGTAAAGGCATGGAAGAAGAGCATGCCTTTGACCTTCTCCTGGTCAACATGCTGAAATATGTCATGCACACTGATCCAGCGCAGAGTCTGACCTTGCCCAAATGCAAGCCACATATGCTGTAGGCCAGCCTCTTGGAGACCGCTGAATACACTTATTGCTAAGATCAGAACATCTGTGTCATTTGCCTTGATCATGATGGATTGGCTACCAGTTTCATATTTGGCGTGCACAAAGATGCGGCTGTCCGCTTCCTCGTGAGAGCATTTATCCAGTCCGTCAAGATCAGTTGCATGAGTGCTGAGGACAGCAGGTCCCTTTGTGACGACATTTGTGCAACCTTGTCGGCAAGGGTGGAACAACTCTGTTTTGTTGTCATTGTGCCTCAGGAAGTTATGTCAGTTAGATAGCATGGTGTTCTTATTTATTACCTTGTGTCTTCCTCCCTCACCACATTTGGACCTGGTCTCAGCTTTAAGGCTTGATGGGTTTTTCACATCAAAGACCAGATGTGTCATTGTGTACTTGCTGGAGTACATGTAGATCACAGGTAGGAAGTTGAGAACTGTATAGTCCTCAAAAGTCTTGGATCCTTTTGGTGGCAGGGCGTGGTCCAAAGCTGACCCATCTACAATGAGAACGTCTGCCTCAGGTTCCTTGTCAACTGGTGGGACATAATTCTCAAGGATAGGGGTCAGCTGAGACTTCAGTGTACAATTTTCCAGCTTTGCTCAATGCAACAGGGAAGGACTGGTTCTCATGCTGAAAGAACTCCTGGAGGTCATGCTGAGTTACAGAGCAGTGATATCACCAGTGTGCCCTGGTTGTGTGCCGATATTCACTCTATTACATCTGCAAGCTTGTACTGTATAAACGTCTAAATTCTGTACTGCAATGGCCCCATTGCATGCATAGACCAAAAATATGTGTATGCCAAAAGTAAATGTTTCATAGTCACTAAGATTGGATTACTTCAAGGCAATGGCAGCCATCTTGGACACCATCTTGTTTTTCAAATTTAATGTTATAAGCCTCATGAAAATAATAGATAATGGAAATGATATTTTCATATAACCATATGCACGTAACAACAATCGGTGTTACAAATTTCTCAGTCTTCCAATTCTGTACAAGTATCTATATGCTGTATCTCAAGAACCGTAATGGATACAGAAATGTACTAGGTACCAAAATGTCTGCAATACACAACTTTATATTCAACTTCAATATATGTATGGGGCTTAAAATCAAGGCATTTAGAGTTATAAAGGAAAAACCACATTTTTGGGGCAGACATCTTGAATTTTGGGGCCGCCATCTTAGAATTTTGCGTGGCTAACGTTATTTTTGAAAAGAGTGGGGTTTGACGAGTATATGTACCAAATTTCATGCTTGTATAACAAAGTGAACGATTCGGGCTATATTATGCATTTGTCTGCTCTACTAAAAGGGGAAAAACACACACAAAACAAACACACAGTTGTAACAGGGACAGATGGCTGTAATTCAAATGAACTGTTGATCTGGTGATTGTGGGAACCACTGCTGTGTATTTTTTAAAGGGAGAGCCAAAGTCTTGGAAAAACAGTCTGGTGTGTGAGTCTTCGCACGCCAGAAGGAGTCGGAGCCAGGCGGACCATAGATTTCATTGAATAGTGAGGCAGTTCTTCTTGTATGTGTACTGATGAAGGTTTATGTTATCAATTTATGGTTCTTTGCGTAGGCCACAACCAACCACTCAGAACACTTCATGACTACTGGGCTAAAGACTACCAGTTGACATTCGTCCAGTAAAACATTGCTAGAGTATTTTGGTCAAGAACAATAATGGCAGTTTTAGGGCATGATGGTATGATTGCCTGGAACAGGAAACTGTTCAAGATGTGTGTCCGTTCCTCTGCAAGCTCATGTGGACAGTCTATCAGGACTTGGCCCATGGTGTTATCCTGGCCTGCAGCCTTAAGCCGTGTTCAGACCAAACGCGTCCAGGTCGCGTCGCGTTGGTCGGTCACGTCGCGTGGCGCCCTGGTGTGTTCACAACGGGTCCAAAGCTGTGGTCGCAGGACGCGGCTGGTCGCCGCTGACCCGCTTCTCCCACCTTCCTTCTCCCTCCTTTTCTCCCTCATATATACATCCCGCAGCCCCTTCCAGTGCTTGCGGCACACACACGTTGAAACATGTAGCCTAGCAAGCAGGGGAAGTTTGCTATGTTTTCAGAAAATAGTCTGCTCACTGAAATAAATAAACAAACGACAAGAAAGCCCAAAATCATGGGCCACCTTCGCCCATGCCTCCTCCTTGGAGGTGCGGTCCCGGTAAAACGCGCACCCCACGTCGTACAGGACCGGGTGATAACTCACGGCAGTGATAAACTGCTCCTCCGTTGTGATTCTTCTTCTCCTCCTCCTTGCTTCGCCGGTTTGTTGACGTCAGCAGAGCCCTGATTGGCTGTCGCGGCACGGAGTCGCGGATAGTCGCTCCCAAAGTTCAAATATTTGAACTTTGGGAGCGACGCGACCTCGGCGACGCGACTTGGCGACCTGGTCGCCAAGTCGCGTCAGGTCGCGTCTCAGGCAGCCGGCGGTCGCCAAGTCGCGTCAGGTTGCGGCTGTCCATAGACTTTGCATTGGGAGCCGTTGCTGACGTCGCCGGGGTCGCGTTTGGTCTGAACACCCCTTTAGAGGTAATACGTTTCTGCAAGGACCTCCTCAAACCTTTGGCATACCCACAGAGGCTAGAGTTATACTTACTGTTAAGTAATACAGCAGGGGCAGTGTAGAGAAGCCGGTGAGACAGAATCAGAAGTAGTAGGAAAAACAAACAACCAGTTTGCCTTTTGCTAACTTTTTTTTTGCTTGTTTTGGTATGGGATGTAAAAAATGTTCCAGTAGTAACAAGCTAAAAGGAGGAATATAATCATATAAGAGAGTGGAGGAAGACACAGTTTCATCTTTAAATCGATTCCTGCCATATGGCCATATACCAAATTGACTAATCAAGCTTTAACTATGCTCCCACTCGGCTGGACATGTAAAGATTTTTACTGCACTTGGAACAGCCAATGATTGTGGAGGCAAAGGCGCATGGTCAGCTTCAGTTGTGACAGTAGCCCACCATGCTCTGCAGTTGGCCTGTTAATATCCTGGACCAGGTTATTCCGTTTTGCAGTTTCTGCAATAGACGTAATGGTAATGCCAAAGACTGACGCAAGATTAGCAGCAACTCTAATGTACTGGAGGGGAAACCAAATTACATGGTAGAACAACCTATATGTGAAAATATCAAATTACCTCCCTAGCTCGATCTACGACTCCACTGAACCTCTTTCTGTGAGATTAAAAAAAAAAAGAACAAGTTTTAACTTCGAAAAATAAAATTATATTAAGGGTATGGCTCCTGGTGGACTGTGGTTGTCAACTGATCTCTACTCACTTGCATCTCCACACAAGGAATCCTTGCATGAGAAAGTGGGACCCAAATTGCCTCCTACTGTCAGTACCCTGTATATTTGTTCATTGCCTTTTCGTGCGTGCATGGTTGTTAAGAATTATGGACCAAGGTATAGTGGGTTAACTTCAGGCTGGAGTGAACAAAATTCATTACTTCATGGACAGAGGTCTTCATGTACTGGCAGAAGTAATTTTCTTTTATGCTTTTTTTTTCTGCTTAAACAAAATGAAAAGGTTCTTGACTAAAAGAAATTTCCTGTCCATTTCACAGGGAGCTGGTTATGGTGTCCTTGAGGATTTAAATGCCAGCAGTCTTCATAACACCAGGTATGTTTTTTAAATAACATATAATGGTTGTTTATACTCTCATTTTTGTCTGCAAGAAATATTATTTAAAAGGAAAGTTTATATGGGAATCTTTAAAGGACTTTGGAAAATTAAGATCTGATGTGCAAGTCATTTATTACTATAATTTTAGCAAGGAAAGAAGTCAGATAAGCAAAGTACTAACATTCCTAAACTAATGCAAGTATGCTAAATGCAATAATTTCTTCTGTCCATACTGTCCCAACTGGTGTTAAAATGTAAAAGGACTGCCTTTGCCAAGGTAAACCTGTATGCAAAATGGAATGATAAGGCAGAACTAAAGCAATGAGCAGTCATGCATAAAAGAAATGAAAGATCCTGTATTGGTATGCGGTTTGCTTTAAATAGTGGAGATACTTGAAGAACAGTCTTATCAGTCCTGTCCAAGCAACAGATTTGTGGAATTAAAGGGTTTTTAGAAGTCTTAAAACTTAGTGACTTAGTGCAACGGTTACTTGCAACTACTGTAGTCAACAGTGTGAGACCTGTGGGGTTCCTTCAAGTGAATTTGTGCTATTGCCAATTTGCTTTTGGGGAGATAATGTATTCACTTTGCAAAAGCAAAATTAATTCATATTTATCTCTAGGTTTCCATTCGGATGTAACCTACGTGGTTTTGGATAGATCTTGCTACAGGAAAAGGTCAGCAATTTGATGTATTCTTATTGTGGGGTTTTTTTGTATGATAGTGTTTGTTTTTTTTAATATTTTTTATTGTTAATTCTATGCTTCTATGTTTTTTTAGGGTTGTATGAAATAAGTTCGTGATTTGAGTCTTTGCAAAGAATGGCTCATGGATGGGATTCATACTTCCATAATCCCCCAGATTTAACATCAGACCCCAGCACTTTCAGACGGACATCAGAGTCAGAAACAAGCACTTCTGAGCATCTAGAGAGCTTAATCGGACATCATGATTTCTCTAGCACTGTTGCTTCACATGAAGCCACTGCAACGAACTCAAACTTTAACACAAATTACTACTCAAATCCCAGTGTTGGAAATTCAAGTTCAGACTGTGTTTATGAGAGGTTCTATAAAGAAACTCAGTGGCAAGTTGATGGACAAATGGAAAAAAAATACTTGCCAAATAGTGAAATCTCAGATTTTGCCACAGATGCACTGTCAGCCGCTGTGTCTTTTCCTTCATCTTTTGGGACAGACATACAAGGAATAAACCAGGACTGTGGGGCGCTAGCTGCATCATTTTTTGAGAACTACTCAGATGTCAGTAGCTGCTCAGATGCAGATGTCAGTGAAACAAGGCCTTCCTGTAAATTTGCTGCAAGTAGTTTAGTTCCAAAACCTAAAATTGGAGTGGCTGCTAAACACAGTTCATCAGAATGGACACTCCCTCAACCTGGAAACATGAATTTACTCAGTGAGAGTCAATGCCCTGACATGTCGGAGTCTACTGTCAGTTTGCAAAGTCCTTCAAATGTGAAAATAGGGGAACACTTTGTTCAAAGTGCACATGACAAGATAAGTAATCTGAACAAGACACCAGAATGTGAAATGGAAGATCATCCCTTTACAACATCTGACATTGTGAGAACAACGGATAGAAAAAATGTAGAGGATGGAAAAAACGATGCTGATGGCCCAGTTCAGAAACAAATAAATGAAACTGGAACAAAACAGGGAGAATCATCCAACATTCAGATAAGTGTCCCTGAAAAACTCTACCAAGAAAATGAGGGCTTTGATAAGTCCAACTCCATGAGTGGTCAAGCTGAAGGCATGATGGAGGATCAGCTAGATGAAAGTGAAATGTTGAAAGTAGGAGAAAAAAGTGATTCATTAGAAAATAAGATTTTTGATGATCAGTCTTCCTCAACTCCGAGCTCCACAAATGCTCAAGATGAAAACATGGAGAACAACTGTCAGGAGACAGAAAGTGACACAAATACCTTCCAGTCTTCAGACCCACCAGACAGTAAAGTCTCTGATTCCAAAAAAGGTACTGGTGAAGTTGGGGAATGCTCTAGTCCCTCTAGTAACAGTCATGAACACTGTTCACAGATTCCTGAGCCTCAGTCTTGCAAAAGTATGGCAGGGGATGATGACTGCAAGAGCTTTCCAGTCGTGAAATGTGATCATTCTAGCCATACAAGTGACAAGGATGAAACAAGCATTGACAGTCAATCAGGAATTTCCCCACAGCCTTGTAGTCCCAGTACAGGGGTAAATTCCAGTCAAGACAATGGACAGACAAGTGAGGCAGATACCACAAATACTGCTCCATCTGTAGATCCAAATCAAACTGGTCCTGGTATACTTTGTGAAAGTCCATCTATTGATACTTGTGACAAGTCAATGTCCAGTGTTACGGATGACATGGAAGCTAGCATACAGTCAAACAATTCATGGACAGAAATGCAACCATGTCTTGAAGAGGAAAGGACAAGTGCAACAAAGGACACATATTCAACTTCTTGTCCTACTCAGCATCGGTCACTCTGTCAAACTCCAGAGGCCCTTGAACCAGAAAGTTGTAGTGGCAATGTAGCTGAAAATTCAAGAGAATCATTCCAGGAGTTGGATGCACCTATGGAAAATTCTTCAGAACCTGAGATGTTGTATGGTGAACCCCTTTCAAGAGAGGAATCTTCTTGTGACACTGATGAAACAAAACTTGACATCAGTCAGAACGGAGACTCATCTCAAGCTAGACCTGACGATAACACCATGGATTATTCAGAAGGACAAGAACATCATCTGATATCCTCTACACAAATAATGAAACTTTTGCAGCCTGTTGTTCTAATGAAGACCAAGGAGTCAATAAATGGGAAAATGAACTCATTTCATTGTGCAAATTGCCCACACACAACCCCAAATGTGGATCATGTAATTGAACACCAACATTTATGTCATTTAGAGCACAACTTTCAGTTTTGTGAGGCTTGCAACCTTTACCTGATGAGCGATGAAGAAATCAAGAAACACATGAATGGTAAAACCAACAGAACAGTTAAAAGCTCTCAACCCTCCTCTGATTCTGGATCACAGAAGAAAAAGAAAAAACAAAGCAAGCATAAATGCACTAAGTGCTCGCTCAGATTTTCCAAACGATACCAGTTTATTGCACATATGCGGATTCACACCGGCAAAACACCTTTTCACTGTGATGCATGTGGCTTTTATTTTTCACAGTCTGGTTCTCTACGAAGACACAAAATTACTGAGGGGAGGTGCAAGAAGCCTGTTGAAACTTCAAAGTCTGATATCACTGAAGCTAAATCCTCACCTCAGAAGACCTCAGTACAGAGTGAGTCATCTGCAGGGCTACCTGAATGTTTCGTCAAGCTTGTGGACATCTTAAAAACTAATCAGTGCAACCTGTATGGCAAAACCTTCTTAACTCCAAAGAAGGCCAAAGAGCAGTTATATGACAAACCCAAGAGAAAGACAGTTGCAGTTTCAAGACTCAACAGTGAGAAAAGCCAAGTTGGAAAGGAGACGAGCATTCAATTCAAATGTCCTCTCTGCCCACGGGTTTTCATGTACTCGTACAACAGGGCTAAACATTTACGTTTTTGTGTCAAGCAGACAGTATTTGGTGGCAAGGGAAAAGTTAATGGCAAATTTCAATGTCCCTTGTGCTATGCGACCTTCACTCTATCTTCCAACCGTTATAGACATCTAAACTCATTTTGTCTTAAACTTTTCATAAGCAAGCTTGGAAGAATGAGTTCTATGTCCAGACAGAACTTTGAACAGGTAAAAACCCAGGAGAGTGTACAAATAGGACGGTCAAAGGAAGAGAAGAAAATGCAAACAAAAGAAAGTGAGCCAAAAAAACAAACGCCCCCACCTCCAACAGTCCGGGCTCAACCCCGTTACAAATGTAACCTCTGTCCAGCAGTCTTTTTCGATGCTTCTGGAAAGTACAGACACATGAAGAAGCATGAGTTGTACAAACACACTGGAAAAGTTATTAGGTACAGAAATTCCGTTTTCTCGATCATGTCCAAACCAGCAAGTTTAAGCCCCCCAAAGACTGAAGACAGTAACAACAACCTTGAATCAACTGAAGCAGAGACCAACCCCTCCCTGAGCTGTCGTTTTTGTGGCAAATGTTTCAGCACAACGCAATCACTGACGAAACACCAGAGCTACCACAAAGGCGATCGACCATACAGCTGTCTGCAGTGTGGAAAAAAATTCAAGAGGCACGCCCATCTGATTGGCCATAAGGTTACTCACCAGAGAAGGATACAGTGCACTGTCTGCAGAAAGATTCTCCCAAGTATTGGAGAACTGATTCAGCACAGAAGCTCTCATTTAAAAAGAGGAATGCTGAAATGCCCCGACTGCGACATGGAGTTTGAGTATCCTGCCTATCTCCTCAAGCACCTGAACACCCACAAAAAAGCAGAAGAAAAGTCACCTCAGCTTAAAAAAAAACAGTCCATAAACACACAGCAGTCCTCCGAACCTGTGAAAGAAGATAGTGGACCAAAGCAGCAGCAGTGCTCTCTTTGCAGAAAGGTGTTTGCAGATGCAGGCATGCTAAGAAAACACTGTCTGACTCATATATCGGGCTCTTCAAATCAGTGTCCATTTTGCAAGAATCATTTTGGAAATCGACGCTATTTGCTACGACACTTGGTCATGCATACTGGTGATAAGCCCCTTTCTTGCAGTTACTGTGGGAAACAGTTTTACCGGGATGTTTACCTTAACCTTCATCTAAAGAAGTGTTTGGTGGCTACTTACAGATGCCAGGAAACAGCGAAACCTGACACCAAAACCAGGTGGACTCTGAAGTGCTCCTATTGTCCTCGGTTGTTTAGGGACAAAGCCCGCCAGCTGGCTCATCACAGTGGACACATTGCAAATGCCTTGGTTGTATGCTCAAAATGTAAGACCTACTTTGGAGCCAAAAGACTGACACTACATCAGAGGGTATGTGATGGCACATCAGGGCACAGTGCTGGTTCATCTCTTATTGCCAGTCCAAGTAAAAGCACCTCACAGTTATCAGAGAACATCCAGGGGAGCTCTGTCCAATTCACTGAAACCAAGAAACCCCTGTACAAATGCTCCTATTGTACACAGAGTTACAGGTTCAGGTCCCTACTCTTAAGACATCTTGTTTCACATACCGGTGTGCAGCCCTATGCATGTTCACACTGCGGCAAGCGGTTTGTAAGTCAAATAAAGTGTTCACAACATGAATCCGTATGTGATGATGCCCACAAAAAGGTGGAGTGCCCTGACAAAAGTGGTGCAGCAACACAATTATCAAATATGCCCTCTGTAGAAGAGACAGCACAGAAGTCCCAATCAGGAGTTGAATCTGAATTCAAGTGCAAGTTTTGCACCAAGACCTTCATGAAACCACGCAACCTGAGACGTCACATTTTGACGCACAATGAAGTAAAGCCATATCGCTGTAGAGCCTGCGACAACTGCTTCTCGAGGTATGATCATTTAAAAGTGCATCAAGTTCGCTGTCGAGAGAAAAAGCAGCGTTTGCAAGTGTGTATTCCCAAAATCAGCCTAAATGATGTTGGCAAGGGCTGGCAAAGTAAGCTTGGCAATGATTCGGCTGAAAAACAGGCAATTTTTGAATGCACAGTCTGTTCAAGGAGCTTTCCAACTCAGATGAAACTAGCACGACACAACACTTTGTACCATTTTGAAAAACCATTTAAGTGTCATAAGTGTGGCTCAGCATTCTCCCATGCAAAAACCCTGAAAAGTCATAGGAAGATGAGAAAGTGTAGAAAGGTCTTGAAAGCAGCAGCATCAACTTCTCTACCATCAGGCAGCAACTCATCCACCAGAGATTCAGTGAAACCCCAGCTTGAGTTGCAAAATAGGGTCCTACAGACAATCAGGCCACATTTTAATAAAAGAAACAGACATTTGTGCAGCTATTGTCCCCGTGATTTTAAAAGCATCGGGCAGTTAATCGTGCACACTCGCCTGCACACAGGAGAGAAACCGCACGCCTGTGAGTATTGTGGTATGAGATTTATACGGAGAGATTATGTGAAGCGTCATTATCCAAAGTGCAGTAAGAAACAAACTAAAGTCCTCTGTGATGGTTGTGGAGGATTTTTCCCTCGTGCCAAGCTTGAAAATCACAAAAAGGGTTGCACTTCACGACCAAGTTCATCAGAGGCAACAGCCAGCCAAACCCAGCAACCAACCTCCAAAAGCCCACCAAAAGGCTTTTCCTGTGCTTACTGCAGTTCCCGATTTCTGCTGTTTTCGCAGCTCCAGGAGCATTTTCTGACTGCACATAAGGTGGAAACAATGGTACCCCCAGTGAGCACAGCTCCCCTACAATACCATCTGTCAAATATTCCAAAAATAAAGGAAAACTCTGAGGATGAGAGGGGTGGCAGTGCTCATGTTATCTGTAAACTAGGTACAGCTCTAGACATGGAGGTGCCTGACCATTATACCTGTGAAGAGTGTGGTCTCTCCTTTTATCACAAAAATGGGCTTGCTTCTCATCAGCGTGTACACAAAACAGAGCATCCTTACAACTGCAATAGGTGCAAAAGAGGCTTCTGGAATAAAAATCTGTATCGCAGTCATTACAGAAAGTGTAGAATGCCACGGGTTTCAGATAGCAGTACAGTTTTACAGCTGGAGGCTCCGCTGAAAGTAGAGCCTGATTTTGTAATGGATGAATCTGCGGTAGTGTTGGGAGGTGGCACCAAATCAGCTGATATTGGGCTTTTGCAGACAAACCCCTCCTACCAAGAGAACTCAATGGATGACCCCCAGGTGGATTCAGAAGTGAACAGGCAGCAAAGCACACCAAGTAAAGAAAAGAAAACTGTGCTGTACCAGTGTTCAGAATGTGATCAGAGCTTCTCAGATGGTTTAATGCTCATCAGTCACCTAGAAGATCATGGGAGACAGGAACAAGAGAAAAAGCGCAATGTTTGTCCTTACTGTGGGAAGGTGTACTCAAATCAAGGAAATCTTAATAAGCATAAGAAGATCCATCATGCCGATTGTCAGAATTATCCTTGTCCTGACTGCACCATGACCTTTGACTCTCAGTCTGAGCTTGAAATTCACAGAAAAAGTCATGAGCCAAGTAGACCATATTCATGCAAACTGTGCAATCAAGGGTTTTGGACAAGACCATCCTTGTGCAGTCATTACGGCGAAGCCCACCCGGATGATGTTTATCATTGCCGTTTCTGTAGCAAGGCCTATGCTCTCAAAAAATCGCTGTCAAGACATTACAAAGCAAGGCATCAGAACGAGCTTAAGGATAACGAAAGACAAATGCAGGACAAAAGCAGCAATGAGAAACAATCCAGCAGTCAGCTCAGCTCTGCTGAAAGTGATCGGGATGAAAACCACAGCAGTGGGGACAGCGACTCAGACTCTGCCCCATACTTTCCATGCCATGTGTGTGGGAAAACTTTCCCAACATCAGAAAGTCTGGAGGATCATCAGCGCTGCCACCTTGGTGAAAAGCCACATGAATGTGAGGAGTGCGGTAAATGCTTTTATCAGGCATCCCAATTACAGCAGCATCTACGAATGCACAAGTCTGAATTTCAGTGTCAGTTATGTGGAAGGGGTTTTGTGTCTCTCTTTGCTCTGCGTAAACATAAGCACTCCCATGGCAAGAGCCGTCCATACCGCTGCTCAAAGTGCTACCTGAGTTTCACAGGACTCGCACAGTTGGCAGAACACACGCTCACCCATCGTGAAGAGAGCTTCCCATGTGATATATGCGATCGTGTATTTCCATCCAAGAGTAGTAGAGTTGAACATCGAAAAAGCCACTCCAGGTCAGGAGAGCTTCAGCCACCTTTGATCTCAAGAGAGGAGAATGAACAGACTGTGCCATTTGAGCTTAAATATCGCTGTGGTGTCTGTAATGAGCGTTTCAGAGACCCTGAGGAACTCTCAGAGCATGGTTGCATTGCAGCCAAAGAACGACAATACCCATGTGCGGACTGCAATAAACATTTTCTCCATGCATCTCACCTGAAAAAGCACAGGATCATCCATGAAATATCATGGTCTCACAGTGAATATCCTTGTAATTATTGCAACAGTAGTTTTTCTTCATCCCAGGAATTCCTCACCCATGCTAAGAGCCATATCAATTCTGAGGGGCAGAGTGATGACAATACCCAAGAGAAAGATGGGGATCCTAGTCAAGGTTTCTTATGCCCAGTTTGTCACCAGTGTTTCGCCAGTGCAGCAGAGCTGATCTTTCATTTTCCCGTGCATCCTGATGGTGCATTTGAATGCAAAATTTGTAAAATATCGTTCCCCTCTGAGAGAAAGCTCAAAGACCATGAGCACTGTCATCAGACATCTTCTACTGAATTTCAATGCACACAGTGTGGCCAGAACTTTTGGGGAAGTGACGCATTCTTCCAGCACAAGTGTTCCCATCAAAGGCACAGAGAGAAGCAAACTGAAGGCTCAGAGCCATCAGCTAAAACACCCTCTTTGACCAAAAATCCAGCAGGAGGAGACGATGAAGAGGTGGACGTCACTGGAGAGGATGTGTATGATTGCCGGAGATGCTCAATGCAATTCTCCTCAAAAAGTAGTCTTTTGGAGCATCAAAATAAACAGCATAAACAAGAGAAACCATTTAAATGTGAGCTCTGCGGGAAAAGGTTTGCCCTGAGGCGGTACCTTAAAGAGCATGAGCGAAGACACCGTCTGAAATTCACCGTGCAAAACAGCAACCAGTTAGAAGAAAACAACCTCAGCTGTACCCAGTGTCACATTATGTTCAACACAACAGAGGAGTTGTCTTTGCATATGCGAATGCATGCTGAAAAAGAAGGTGGAGAGTACCGCTGTGATATGTGTTACAAGTCTTTCAGCCAGGGATCTTTACTGAAGCAGCATCAAGAGAGTCATGTTGGCCAAATTGTATATGAATGCACAGAATGTGACAAAGCATTTGCTTTTCCTCACTTATTGGAGGAACATCAGCAGACTCATGTAGGGTCCTCTCAGTAGATAACAAATGTTATATTAAACATCTCTCCTTTTGTTTCAATAACTAAACCTACATTTACTTGAATTTCCTTTTATGCCTTATATCTTACTGTACCTCAGTTCATAATCACTATTTAGATCCGTTTTGTATTTTTGGCCCTTGTTTCATACTCATGAGCTGTTGGCTGTTGTCAGTTTGACACAACTTTTTCTCCTTGGTTTCAGCTTACATTATGTATTGTTTTAGGAAGTATTATTCTTATTTGTATACAGTGTATTAGCTATAAAAATGTTTGTAAATAGAAAAAAAGTGTGTTAAGTTTATAGATTTCCTGCGTGATATCTACAGACAAACCTGATTGAATACAATGTTAATGAAACGTCTTTGATAATGGTTCAACTTCTGGATCAAGCATAAACATGTGTTAGACTTATTTTTTTGAAACTGTTTTTTGTCTTTATTTTTGAGTGATTGGAAATTCAAACGGGGCATTTTTATCTTGTTTCTTTCGGTGACTGCTTATGTACTGATACTTTAGAAGTTTTGTGCTCAGCATTTTCCTCGGTTCATCATTTCATTTTGATATAAGTATCTTGTACAGATGTTTGAAACATGTTCATACTGTATTTTTTTCACAACCTGAGGATGTTACTTTGTTAAAGAAACTTAAGTTGATGCATTCAAAGAAGGAGTAAAGTCAACTATAAAATGTATTTGTTCGTCTTGTCTTATCTCACCAAAGGAAGGTGGAAAAAATCTAGAGAATACTGCCTTTTATAAACCCATCTAGCCAATGTTATTAGGCCAAAATGACAAACCTAACCAAATTACAGCAACAAGGATTAAAATTGGTTGGTCCAACAAAGATTGTAAGGTCAGCAAAAAACAAAAAAACTTGTGGGGTGGTTATGCTTTTTTGAAAATTGTTTTGTGCAACTGTTTGCCTTATCAAAGAGTGGCAACATGTTAAGAGATGATAAACCCTGCATCACACATACCCCTTAAGAGCACCCCTGATGAGTAAAATCCTGTTGCTCTGAGCTATGAAGGTAATTTTGTTAGCCTGGCTGTGCCATCCAGTTACGTAAATCACTTGCCGTTCCTTCCCACAGGAACAGTCTGGACTTCGGCCCATTGGGAGCGTGTATTCCCGATCAGAAAATAACTGGGCCAATCAGAGACCGTGTTTCCACTGTTACCCGGACAACAGGGAAAGGCAGCCCCTGATTGGTCCATGTGTAGATGGTGACGTCTAACACATGCTGCGGGACTTTTCAAAGCGCTGTTCATTCAGAACGCCTTTAATTCTGCAGTTGACTTTGCAAAGTCGGCAGAAATCGTTTATATCCAATGTCTTCTGCGGATATTAATGAAGTGATTCACAAGTGATTACGCAACAGGGTGGTCCAGCCAGGCTAGAATTTTGTAGCATATTGCAACAAAAGTTTTGTACATGATTGTTTTTCAAATTAACTGTCAGGATTTCCACAAGGTTAAGATGATTTACCTAAAGTGTGTAGCCACTAAATATGTCAGGATTTCCTTTCACTGGACACTACATCATATCTGGGAAAATGTGCAAAAAACCTTGAGCTAACCTGTTCCTGCTACATAATAGTACAAGAGCAAAGCAACTTTACTTCACCATCAGGGGCCTATTCTACGAAGCAAGTTCGACCTAGCGAGGTAGCCTTGGAGCTACCTCGCTCAACTTAACACGGTAGCCAGCGGTCTCGCTAAACGGTCTTACGACGCTGGTTTTCAACCTCGTAAGTGGATCCAGCTTTGCTATGAGCGCGTGCACATATATAAGGCGGAGCCCGCCGCATCTGACCAATCGCGAACATGGACCAGTCTGGAGCATCAGAGCAGGCCGGAGAGCGAAGGAGCGTGTACTTTACAAACAAGGAGCAGGAGACCATGAGAAAGTATGAAGAATTCAAATCTATCACAAACCTCAAAAGCAACACCGTCACCGCTGCAAAAGCACGAAAGGAATGCTGGCAGGAAATTGCAGACAGTCTCAATGCGTAAGTATAGTGCGCAAAAAATCTGATGCCATTATCACTCTGAAATAGCACTGTTCAACATGCGCTTTTAACATGCACCGGACATGTCTAATTCATTTCCAAGATGAATTCATTCATTTGTTCATTCCTATCATGTTTACATTTTTTGTGTGATATGTTGGCCATATTAGCCTTTCATAAAGGTGGTCATCTGGAAAAGTAAGTGGGTCCGTGCGCTCCCTGAAAACCCTCGCGCGCAGGAGTGCTCCTCGGACAATGCAAGCACCAAGGTCTATAGGATCCTCCAAGAACGGACAAGCCATTTTTCGAGAGAGCTCATTGGTCAGTGGGCGGGGTTTTTATACTTGGTGAGTTTAATCTGGAACCTAACCTGCCCTGGAGCAGGTTAGCCATTCAGCTTACGTTGCCATGGAGACTCACATCGCTAAGAAGTGAACCCGCGTCGTAGAACAGGAAACCCCGAAATTACCCTTGAAGTTACCTCGCTAAGCAGTAATCCTGCTTTGTAGAACAGGCCCCTGGTCATGTTACCATATACCAGAACAAGATTCAGCAATTGTTGAGCAGTCTAAGTCTTTAAGAGGCTGTTTTGAAAGGCATACTGTGTTCTTCACTGGCCCCCAACCTCTTATTCTGAAGTAAATTCCAGTTAAGCCAAATTGCAATATTAATGAGTGAAACAATAATGCATAAGGAGGAACTAGGGGACCGAAATTATTTGAATTAAGAGAGAGGTGAGATTTCATACAACTGTCAAAAAAAGCACAATAGACTGATTTAGCTGTTTTTGGCTTATATTGCTGAAAACTTGCTACAGAACCGCTTCATCCATGAGGCAGACAATAAAATAATAATAATAACTTGGTATTTTTATAGCACTTTTGAAAACAGAAGTTTACAAAGTGCTTTGACAAACAGTTGTAAAGCACAGAACATCAGCACATGGAAATAAAAACAAATCAAAAACAAAAGCTCAGTTAAAACAAGGCCTCTGAGTTGAAGGTCAATTTCATTCGTTAAAGGAACCCAGACAATACAAGAACCCTACAACATAAATTGACCATGAGGACCAAAATAAAAACATAAAATAGATAAGAAAAAGAAATTTAATAAAAAAAGGGGGGGGGGGGGGGGGGTAGAAAGCAGGAACCAGGATATTAAATATAAAAAGACGATATTGATAATCATAATAAAATATTAATAATGATGGTAATAGTATTGATAAAATGGAATAATAAAATTGAGCAGGAAAAAACAAAGAAATCAATAAAAGGCCAAAAAGTTTAAATAAGAAAAGATTATAAGTAAAACAAAGGCTCAAAGGACAGTAAATTGAAATAAGATTGAGGTTAAAGAGATAAAAGAGAAAAGACGATAATGTGTAAATTATCCGGGCGTCTGCCCCTTATTCACAATAAACAAAACCATGAAATATAATTTCTTAATATTTGAAGCAGGTTTGCACATAAAATTGCCTGCAATATTGACATGGACATCTTAAACTGCCTGTAGCCCTCTCATACTGACAGCAGAGTTGCTGCTGCCCAGGCAGGGCGCAAACCAAGTACTTTCTCCCATGGGTTTCGTTCAACTGCGCTTGCGTGGACCAACCTCCTCCTGTTTCTTTCCGTTCCGCTCCTGTGAAGTACCCTGCAGCTCAAAACCATCTCGAGCTCGACACTCTCCCTCTCGGTGGACTATCGCGTTTTTTTTCCATCGGAGGGTTGCGCAGAACAGCTTTCCCCTTGAGAGTGCATGGTCTCTGCATGGACAGATATATGCCAAGCCGTTTCTCTCCCTCACGCTCTCCTATTGTGGCTTCGTTGTGAGGGAAAACGTCGCCGTTGCTGTGGCCGGTGAGTATATGATCTCAAAAACGGTGAGGCTTTGTGCAGAAGCTGGTTTGTAGATTGTCGAGGTAGCTTGACTACTGTTAGTTATGAATTTCTTCGGCCTCCTTCATGAACGTTGTCGGAGCCCCACCTCCCCCCGGTTAGCTTGCTATAGCGACCCATCTGAGATGTTTGGAGAAGCTAATCCACCTATGTATGTAAGGAAAAGGTGCGAAGCCTAAAAACACCTGCAGATTAGTATAACTCATCTTGGGGTCCATTTGCACACAATTGCTGCAGGATAACATGGTAGTGATATGCGTGTGAAACACCAACGGGATTTTTCGGAACTCAACATGAGGCGTGTTAGCAACGTTACCAGCTAACGGGCTAACAATACAGCTCCAGAGCCGTCAGCAGCCTCTGTTGGCGTTTGTTGATCTGTGGATGTTTTGAAGTAAACATGTCACTCAGAAAATGCAAGTTGGAAATACAGCATCCACCTCCGTTACCCATGTATCTATGCCGTGGTTTGTCATGAGTTTTTTTCATTATCGTACCAGGTGTGTGTCACAGCAAAGACACCAGTCCAACATCACACAATAATGAACAACACACTCAGGTAGTGCCAAACTTAAATCAGACTGGCTGATCAAATGGTTTACAAAGTATAGAAAAAAGAAAAATAAACACCAGTAAATAGAACTGGGCACAAGAAGTATGTAAATATGTGTTCAATAGATTATCGCTGTAACAGTGCTTCTTGGCAACAAACCTTATCCTCTTGGGAAACCATTTTTTCCTCCCCTGCCACATTTGTAAGGAACATTTGTGGGATGAGCAGCAGAGCTGAGTATGTGCCTCTTGCCTGTCATTAAAGGCATATTCTGGCGTAAAATGTTGCTGACCGCTTGCTTCTCTAGTTATACCAACTTTAGTAACGGCCGCACGATAGCAATACACTTCGGTCCCAGGAACCACACACAAACCTCAACCAAAACGCCACTCTATAGCCACAAATAGTGCTCAGAACAGCACCTAACATCATCAACAGTACATATGGGGTCCCAGCCATAGCACTAGCCACCAAACATCTTTTTAGCTTTGCCTGTTATTTTTAGCAAAGAGACTAAACACAACTCACCTACTCTTTTCCGGCAGCCGCTTGTTTGTAGCGAGACCTCAGGCCAGTCCATTCCCGACTGCAGCAGGGTGACGCAGCCCAAGGAAGAACATTTATGATCATTACTTCATCAGTTCCTTGAAGTAATATCACCATATTAATCATTTTGCACTGCAGGCGCGGCAGTTCTTCTATCTCAGCTTTTCGGTCTGACTGCATTTCCATGAAGAACTGATCATAAATGTTCTTCCTTGAGCTGCGTCACCCCACTGCAGTGGGGTGGCATTTTGGTTGAGGTTTGTTTATGGTTCCTCTGACCGCTGTATATTGCTATCCTGCAGTCGTTACTCAAGTCGGTATAACTAGAGAAGCAAGCGGGCGGCAACATTCATCTCTCAAGGGGGTGTCTAACTTGGTGTTACAGTGTGTTTGACCCTGAATTAATTTTACGCCAGAATATCCCTTTAACTCTTGTTTGGTGGGATAGATGGTTGAAGTCTGAAGAAACTGATCTGTTGGCAATGTAACAGTTTATTAATTCAACAAACAGGACCCTTAGTGTTGTGTAGAAGAACCATGCACAGCTACAACAGCCTGGCACTTTGTCCTCATGTTGGTCACCGGCCTAGTCAAACACTGCTGCAGGATGGCATCCCATTCTTCAACCAGCAATTGTTAAAAGTCAGCCAGTGTGGCTGTGTTGGTTACTCTGGCATGAACGACACACCCAAGCTGATCCCACAAGTGTTAAATGGGGTTAAGGTCATGGCTGCTGGCAGACGATTCTATCCCCCCTGCTCCCAAATTTTGGAGGGTGACATTGCATTGTTACATCAAAGAAATAAACTACCAAACACAAATTTTTATACTCTTTGTGCTAACTTCTCCAACCAGTCACATCATTATGGACACCAAAACAGACCAATATAATCATACACAGCAACTCCTCTGAAAGTTATACTCTAAGGAAGTGTGAAAAATAGCTTTTGAAATAACTATGTGACCCTATTGATATTTTGGAGGGTTGAAGTTTGCCTAAATTCACAAACCCGGTACCACTGCTGCAGAAAAACTTGTCCCCCCTGTTAAGACAACTGTAGCAAGCAGAGGCCTACTGTCTGGAAAATGGATTCAAGAAGCTAAACCATTTTCTGAAGGTTGACTGACTAATTGGAATGCCTTTTACATAGAATGCAATATTTTTTCAATATGTTGATTTATTGGTGGTATTTTTTTGAGACAGATTCTTACTACAACAAAATCATCTTGTATGTCCGGTTGGATAAAAGGTGACTAGTTTCCTTTATTAGAGGCCAAATATCTTCATGAGAGCTTTTAACTCTGTAAGACTGCCATGGTTTGGCCCTGTTCCAAGTCAAGGTGGCTGTATCACAGGTCTATATCTTTTATTTTTTTCTGCCGTGAAGATGGTAAAATAAGGCTACACTGAAATGAGGGTGTGAATTTGCAGGTTTTCTTTTATCACCTGGTGACATTGTGTTGTGTCTCTTCCTTGTGATTTACAGGAAACATCTTTACATGACTTCAACACCTGGGATGCCTTTGCTGCCATGATGCTTGGTTTACAGGGGAGTACTTCAACCTCAAAAGTGTTTCGCTGTGTGGCCTGTTCAGCCACCTTCACAGGATTGGCCTCCTTGCTTGTTCATCAGGCAACCCATGCAGGTGCACTTCCCAAGTCCACTGCCCCTCCACAGTGTAGCAGCAGCCCACACGAAACATTGTTTTCAAGTATGGACTTACCCAGTGAGCGCCCAAGTCCATCCGCCCTCCTCCCTGAGAGCTCTTTACCTTCTTTTTATATTTGTGACTGTGGAGAGGAATTTCAGGACTTCAGTCTAATGCTTGAGCATAAGCAGTTGCATGTCACTCAGCTACAGCAAATGCAACCTAATGATTGTAACAGTCCTGTCTCTGGAACGGGCTGTGACAAAGCTCTGCCTACCCAACATTTATCATTCAGTCCAACTTTATGTCTCTCTAACCCAAAGTCCCCAGCTGAAATGTCCCCATTACCACGCAGTAAAGCAGATGAAACCTTGGAAGATGGCATTGCTATGTTGACCCCCACGCAAGGGCAGTGTACACCTCCTCTAGATGAGGGTGACACACAACCTGAAAGCATGTCAGATGAATCAGACCAAATGCCAGGGACTGTAGAGGACATGACAACTTCCTTGCTTATCAGTAAAAATGATGTGTGTCTACCCAAAAATAAAGACCTCATGAAGCTTTTAGCTTCAGCATACATGAAGCGCCCTCCAGCCTCTCAGTCCCAGAATCAGAATAATGATACAGTTACCCTGAAACAAGAAGTTATCCAGGTCGATATAACACCAGGACAGAAACCTGAAGTTCCTCCCATCAATGATCTTTCCATTGCACAGTTGAGACGTCTGCTTGCCACACCTGGTATTAAGACAAAAGCTCCATCTATAAGCAAAGTTCTTGAGTTAAGCAGAAAGAGGGTTGTCTCCCTGACTAAGACTTTCTCACCTGTTGTGGTTCTTGAAACTCGTCAAAAGCTTAAGGACCCTGGCATTAATGGCACATATGGAAGATATCAATGTGGCCGCTGTCGTAGGGTCTTTCAAAACTTGGACAAACTGACAGAGCATCATTTCCTGCACAAAAAAGAGAGGATTAAATGTTGTCGCCGCTGCAAACAGCTCATCATCGGGCGTATGCCTTTACGTGACAATCATGTCTGCCCTCAGCTGGGAAACCGCACCGTGCAGCTGTCAAGCGCTTTCAAAAGCAAGTCACCATTTGCCCCTAAAATAGTGCCATTCCATAGTCAAAACAATGCAAGAAAGGTTTTCTTTTGTCCACTGTGCAAGCACAGCTATGCACGGAGATGGAACCTAAAAATGCACAAGTGCCAGGGCCCAAGGTCAGTCTCCCCTGGGCCAGCCTCCCCATCCATTCAGAAAGTGCTGGCTTTGAGATCAAACAGTAAAGCTAAAACAGATGCAGAGGTGAATGCTGGATCTGCAGTTGCAAAGAGCATTGCTGTGGGCACCGATGTCACTGGTTGTATCAAGGTGGAAGTAACCTCCCAAGATTCAGATCAGTCTGCAGTTTCACAAATGGCTTGGGTACATCCAGCACAAAGCTTTGCCCCATTTTACCCCAAGACTGCTTCTTTGAGTGGTATTTCTCTCCAACAACAAGAAGAAGAAAACAGTGGCTGGGATACAGCAGAAAGTGACAAAGAAGAAAACGATAAAGGGCAGTGGACAGTGCCCTTGGATGATGAAACTGAAGTGCTTAGCTCCGCAGATAAAACTAGCAGTGATGTAGAGGTCGCAAAATCCGCATCAGTCAAACATGCAGAGACAGCACCCTCAGGCCTGCGCTATTTCATCAGAGATGGTGTCAAACGATACCCTTGTACCAGGTGCCAGAAAACCTATAGTCGACCATGTACTTTGAGGCGCCATCTACGGCTGTGTGGGTTTAGACCACGAGGAATAGGGGCCACAGCACAAAGCAGTATTGAGGGTATCACGCCCCTAAATGCCAATAACAATAGACCATTGTATCCCTGCTTTGTCTGTGGGAGGGTTTTTAACCGCAAAGATAACATGATGGTTCACAGAAGAAATTGTCAGTTGCGTCGAACAATGTCTGGTGCGGTAGGAGAGACTGCTCAGGAGGGTGTGTCAGTCAATGCAGCAGATTGTCAGGTCCAAGTGGATGATGGAAGCAACTGGGGTATCATGTCACTGCCCTCAGTTCTTCCAAGGAGGGTGACTTGTGAGTGTGGTGTTGGGTTTACATCTCCTAGGCTTCTCTTAGAGCATTTACAGAAGCATGCACAGGAGTCATACACATGCCCAACTTGTGGAGAGACTGTTAGTTCCTGGGCTGACTATGAAGTACATCTGCAAATCCATATGCACCCCCATCACCAACTACTGAAAGGATTACCACAAAGATCCCAACCTCTCCTACTGCGGTTCCAGCAGCAGCCACCTCTGCAGCAGACACCTAAGCAGCAGCCACCTAAGCAGCAGCTACCTCCATCAGTCCATCAGCCTGCACAGAAGCAAACTGTCAAAGCAGCAGTGCATCTTCCAGATCCATCGACAAAAGCGCAACGGCTTGTGTGCACACGATGTGGAAACACGTTTGCCACTCGATGTTCCCTTAGAAGACACCTCACCTGGAATAGATGCAAAGGTGCTCGGGTCACAAACCTGCCCTCAAACCCACCCAGAACCTATCACTGTTCCCATTGCAACTCAGACTTTCCAAACACAATTAGTCTCTTGTTTCACCAGAGGAGTGGGGCTTGCAAGCCAGCCATAAAGCCTGTGCGCTGCCCTGTTTGTCTTCGCTGGTTTGGCACTCTTGACAGTTTGCAGAAACACTTGCTTACCCACAAACAGTCAGAATCGTACCGCTGTGATGTTTGTCAGGGTACATATCCAAGCCTGAAATCACTGAAAAACCATCGCAGGAGGATTCATCGCATTATGGCTGGAGACACTAATCCAAAACCACAAGAACAACTTGATTCATGAGGACACATTTTTTTAAATTATTGAAACATACGCGAGAATGGAGGGTAATAAAATGAGGCACATTTATGATAAGATCTTTCCATATTTGCCATTTGAAACACAGATTTCTTTTTTACTTTGTAAAAACACATTGTACAGCCACTTTTTTCTTATTTTTAATACAGTTCTGATAGTGTAAAAGAAGCTCGCCAATGTAAAAGAATCTTTCATATACTGTACATTTGGGTTTTATTAACCTAATGTTTTTGTCGCATAGCCTCATTAGTCTGTAAAGTGTTTGGTAGTCAAACTTTTATCACAAGATTGTGATGTAGGTTGTTGTTTGTTGCGTCAATAAACATAATAGAATGTGAAACAAATTCAATTTTGTTTTATCTGGTATCTTAAATGTGTTGGGAAAAATGCAACATTATTTTAGAGAGGTTTTACAGAAAACTTTTTTGTGAGAAAATGTTCAAAGATGACACCAACTGTGGAATCCAAATCCACTTAACAAGTCTCTATAACAATAAAAAAACATCTTCAACATCTTTTGTTGTTAGCTATGTGTTGTGGAGTGCATACAGCTATTAAAGTATGTCACACAGAAATTTTTAATTTGTCACCCTATTAATGTAAATATTTAATAGAGATTCTGTGGCCTTAAAGTGTCTGTTGGTACAACCAGATACAGTATGTTGGCCTTACACATTAATTTAATATGTAGTTACTATTGTGTATTCAATTTGGAAGTAGTTCCTTAAGTCAAATTGGTACACCTTCATTTGGGTTATCCATGTGAAGTATGTATGCTAGTTTGTGTAGTGTCTCATTAGAGGGTGGTTTGCTACTAGAGTAAAGCCAGCAAGGCTTTGTTGGCCCAGAGAATTAGTGTCTTCTAAACACTGTGGCTCAACTTCAGTGGCTGTCTTGGGCACTCCCTTATGTGCAAAGAATGAATACTTTGATGACATGGTGAACACCTGGTGCAGCACTTTTTCAGTTTATTGTTAACCAGATTATGAATTACAAGCAATTTTGTGTTAACATGATATCTCAAACAAATAGCGCTAGAAGATCATAAGATACTCCTTTAATAGTCCCACAAGGGGAAATTCCCATTTACAGTTCATCCTTTCCAAGAAACATACAGTAGACAGATGCATATAGGGTGACAGGAACAGGAGAACTGTCCAAAATGTCCAGGGTGTAAAAACATAAGCAGTGTCTGTAAACATGCTGCTCTGAGTTTGAATGTAAGGGCTCGCTGTGTAAAAAAGATGTTGTCAGAGAGGGTGCTGGGCCTTTGTGTGGGAGCTTTGAGGATCACCTTCATCCTTGGCTGTGGCAGGGCTGCACCAGATAGTGGAAGAGAAAATGAGGGTAGGCTCAGTGATGGCACGGAAGTGCACTTGACACTGCATATTAGGTTAAAAAATAGGCCTTTTTACTCAACTAGACCAACATGCAAACATACCTACAACACAAAGTATCTTTCTCTGCCTGGTGGATCATAGTGTTTCAGGTTTTGCTTTTGTTTATTTCAAGGTCAAGAGTTAACAGTAAGGAAAATCCTTTAGGGATTCAGACTGGTGTAAGGGACAGTCTTTAGTGAGTGGGTTGTTTTAGCAAATTTGAACCCTGACAAGCACAAGGGCCCTCTCGAAGTGTAACAAACTACTTACTATGCATAATCAATTTCCTTGCATGACTTCTTAATAAACCATTTCTGCGACAAATATTTATTTTCAAGTTTTTTTTATAGATTGAAATCCTTTTTTTATTTGTCTGGAAATAGTCTGTTACACTTAACGTTACCCGCATCGACAGTATTGGTGAACAACTAACGGTGGCCTTCCTCAAAGGAGCTAATGCTTATATTAAACAGGAAACTGATACTTGAAAGGCAAATTATGGTGAAAGGGTAAGCTTACGGCGGCACCACTGAGAACTTATCAGCACTTCTTTCTGGTCGTCACGATCAAGGTAAATGTAAACAGCAATTTACCGTTCTTTTGAATGTCAAAGATTGACCGGTTAGTTCACGCTTGCGTTTTATTTCCTTGTGTCCTGCAGCACTGCAGCTGAAGTAAAAAAAAAATTTAAAATAAATAACCTCCGGTCGATAGGTGTCGCCATTCAACACCTACACCTGGACTCCTGGGCGTGCGAGCGCGCCATCCGTCGAAGAAGAGGGTGGGTCTTTCCGGTCGTAGTTCGATGAGGCTAGTGCGCTAACTGCTAGCCGTTTGTCCCGGTTGCCCAGCTAGATTCCGAGCCTGTTAGTCTGTATAATAACGACCGTCAACACGCTGTCCGAGTATAAGGTATACCAGAAAGCTGAGCCATCGCTGACAGCCTATTTAAAGTACTTTGATTTGGAGGTAAGCTAACGTCATTTTCCCGGAGCCACTTTAGGCTAACGTTAGCATTCTGAGCTAATAGCAAGTAAAGCGCGCGTTAAAAGCAGAAAGCTTTATTAGTGTCATGTTTCAACAAATGCCGCCCATTAACAGCAATAAAAAACAAGTATTCGTACAACTGTAAAGCATGGATGGTTGTATATATGTGTTTTGGTTGTGATTGAAAGGAGTCATGCGAGGATGTAATCATAGGACTTGTTTTAGAGACGGAAAGAGGATGTTTTATTTGTCTTATTTGAGCTGGTAAATAGTTTGATATAATATTTATCTTTTGGAACTAATCACTGTTATTTCATCATCAAATAAATGGATCTCACTCATTTCTATTGCTGTCACTACTTCAGTGTTTCCCCGTTTGAATAAGACTTTTTCTTTCTTACACTTTTAACAGGTCAGGTGCTAAAGAGTCCTCCACTTAATCAGTGAACACCGTGACCATGCAGAGAGGGAAGCATAACCTGCAAGCAGTCCTGGATGACGGCTTGGGCAAAGATTTGATGAATGCCGGGCGATTTTGCTTCAGCTGCGAGCAGATATTTGCAGACAGAAAATGCTTGGAGGAACACATGTGTTCTGCTGCAAGTCACATCTGCTCTTGTGGGACTGAGTTTACTGATTACAATGACATGCTGGAGCACAGCACTACGCATGAACCAGGACATCAGGTGCTTGATCATGAAACAATTAAACAGCGTCGAATTGCAAAGCACAAAGCTGAGGAGGCACAGCTGCAAAGATTACAGACAGGTGAGGTTGTTTGGAAAGCACCAAAATTAGGGAATGTGCCATCAAAATCTTTGCCGATGAAGAAAATGCTTGCATCAGCTCACATCCCACAAGGTCCCTTGCACACTACGCAGATTTCCCAAGTGCCTGAGTTGTACCCTTCATCACAAGCACCTCTGCTTCAAAATCCTTTTTACTCTGCAACAGACATGAAGAATATTTTTGCTGGTGTAGGTGCACCAACAGTGGATCTATGGACACTTTACCAGCCAGTGGTGTTGTTGCAAACTGTGCGCCAATTTAACAAGAAAAAGCCATACTCCTGCAGCAAATGCGGTCAGTGTTTTGCAACAAAAAACACTCTTGTAGCCCACTGTAACTCTCATGTTGTAGATAAAATGTCAGGCTGTATAGGATGTGGGTTGCTGCTCTCCAGCAGAAAGATAGTCCCCCGCTACCATGTTTGTAGTGCTCCCAGTAGTTCTGCCAAATTTAAACTCGTAACTGCAAAACCACTGGGTTACAAGGCACCAAAAGAGGCAAGACCAGCCAAAAGTCTGAATGTTCAAGCACAGCTTGCCTCTTCCATTCCAGAGTTTAGGAGCGATAGTTTCAGTCAGGCAACCCATGGCACTTCAAACATGCAGCGGAAAAATGTAAACATTGGAACATATAATAAAAGCAGCCAAGGGCTTCTGTATAGTAAGAGACAAAATCCAAACCAACCCAAGCCTTTTATCACCCTCTCATCAAAGACCCATAGTACAAATCCCAGTGCATCCATTAAAAATGGGCAAGGGTGTTCTGTGACCCCCACCAGGCTGTTGAAGAGGCCCGCAACATTCGCTACAGTTGTGCCAAGCAAACCGATGCATACATCTTCCAAATCAAATGGATTCACATGTCGAGTGTGTCATCTTCCTTTTGAGTCTGCGCAGCTGCTTCAGAGGCACAAGTGTGCCAGAGCACAGGAGTTCATGGCACAGCGAGGTGGCAGTAACCACAAACTGAAGAGGATGGCTCCAATGGCAGGCCAACATCCTGCTCCGATAAATGGTGGTAAAAAACTTGGGGCTCCACCATCTTGTAACATGAAGATAAACCAAGTCATGACGGTCAGTGTGGACCAAGGGCAAAGGATGGCCCCTGTGAATGGTGACACAGAGGAGGACATGGATGATGATTGCTTCATTGTCGAAAACGGACCAGAAAAACCTGCTGAGATGATATACCAAGTAACCTCATCTGTCCCTATTAAAACTTGACAGAATGGAGTGGCACATCAGATCTGCATGTCACATTTTGTTTTTTCATAGGACCAAGTGCATAAAGGCAGAAGTCTTCTGGCTGAGGCATCTTAACTTTTCAGGTTCATAGCACAGGAACACAATTCTTCCTGGCTTTCTCTTAATTGTATAAAAAGACAGACACGTATGACAAATAGTGACTTCATCATCCATCTTTAGGACAGAATAATTTTGTCAGTAAACATTCAAATATTTATTTCCCAAAGGCCTAATGTTGGTTTTACTGCAATGATCTGAGAAGATGGATTGAATAAATTATGATCTGATTGTATGTTGACGGTTTACTCATGTTTGCTGAGTTGACCATGCGCTGCATCATAGCTGTTGCTTTTTTTTTTTTACATGTTTTAGTATGATCAGAATATGTTGTGAGGCTGTTAAATTTACCACAATACCTTGTGTTCTTACCAGCTTTGTCAGACTTACAGAAAACCATACATGTTGTATTAAACTATATTTTCAAACTCACTGTATATTCTGTGCTTAAATTCTAGCAACGTGTGTCAGTAACAGCAGTCACATTTATACCAACAGGATTCAGATAGGCTACATTCATGATACTTTTTTAACTGTAGACCTGCAAGTACTACCAAGTACTGTACTTCCAGTGCTGTCAGTTTCTGATGCCCTATCGACAAATCCTTCAGAAAATTAGTATTTATTCTACTGGTAAATGAAAGATATATTTATTTTTTTCAAAGTCTTGAAAAATAATTTCACTTTAAACTTACCTCTTCAGAACTCCATCAGCTTTGTGGATTTATAATTTGGCTGTCATTTTTACCCTTGCACCTTTGCTCTCAGATTTATGGACAAAAGATCCTGGGGCCTTTTGCACAAAACTGATAATTATTTTTTAATTCTTCTGTAAAATGCTGCTGTAAATTTGGAATCCCCCCCCCCACAGGACTATCAAAGGAACATCTTATTTTATATGGGATTAAGATGGATTAATCTTGGTTATCCTGGCTCAGTTTATCTGTAATCCAGTTGCACAATAGCCGAATAGTGGAAAGCAAGATATGTCATGGCATAAATTATCATGGAGATTTATTCTGTGGAGCTAGCCTGCTCCAGACTAGGCTAAATTCCAGGGCATATTTAATCTCATCCTTTATCTCAGTCAGTAGTCACCACAAATGGGAACCAATACTTACTCAACTGCACCACACGATGTTATCGCATTCAACCAAACCCTCTGTCAAAATCTAAACTTTTGTAATATTAAATTGCAGTGATTTTGGATAAATGATTTTTTATGATTTTGCAATTGTTAGATAATTTACAGTTTCCTACAGTTTAAATATGCCATAGAAATACACTCACCGGCCACTTTATTAGGTACACCTGTCCAACTGCTCGTTAACACTTAATTTCTAATCAGCCAATCACATGGTGGCAACTTAGTGCATTTAGGCATGTAGACATGGTCAAGACAATCTCCTGCAGTTCAAACCGAGCATCAGTATGGGGAAGAAAGGTGATTTGAGTGACTTTGAACGTGGCATGGTTGTTGGTGCCAGAAGGGCTGGTCTGAGTATTTCAGAAACTGCTGATCTACTGGGATTTTCACGCACAACCATCACTAGGGTTTACAGAGAATGGTCAGAAAAAGAAAAAATATCCAGTGAGCGGCAGTTCTGTGGGCGGAAATGCCTTGTTGATGCCAGAGGTCAGAGGAGAATGGCCAGACTGGTTCGAGCTGATAGAAAGGCAACAGTGACTCAAATAACCACCCGTTACAACCAAGGTAGGCAGAAGAGCATCTCTGAACGCACAGTACGTCGAACTTTGAGGCAGATGGGCTACAGCAGCAGAAGACCACGCCGGGTGCCACTCCTTTCAGCTAAGAACAGGAAACTGAGGCTACAATTTGCACAAGCTCATCGAAATTGGACAATAGAAGATTGGAAAAACGTTGCCTGGTCTGATGAGTCTCGATTTCTGCTGCGACATTCGGATGGTAGGGTCAGAATTTGGCGTCAACAACATGAAAGCATGGATCCATCCTGCCTTGTATCAACGGTTCAGGCTGGTGGTGGTGGTGTCATGGTGTGGGGAATATTTTCTTGGCACTCTTTGGGCCCCTTGGTACCAATTGAGCATCATTGCAATGCCACAGCCTACCTGAGTATTGTTGCTGACCATGTCAATCCCTTTATGACCACAATGTACCCAACTTCTGATGGCTACTTTCAGCAGGATAATGCGCCATGTCATAAAGCTGGAATCATCTCAGACTGGTTTCTTAAACATGACAATGAGTTCACTGTACTCAAATGGCCTCCACAGTCACCAGATCTCAATCCAATACAGCATTTTGGGATGTGGTGGAACGGGAGATTCGCATCATGGATGTGCAGCCGACAAATCTGTGGCAACTGTGTGATGCCATCATGTCAATATGGACCAAGCTCTCTGAGGAATGCTTCCAGCACCTTGTTGAATCTATGCCACGAAGAATTGAGGCAGTTCTGAAGGCAAAAGGGGGTCCAACCCATTACTAGCATGGTGTACCTAATAAAGTGGCCGGTGAGTGTATAACTACAGTTGTGAGTGAAAGTCAGGGCACCCCTTTAAAAAAAGCATAGTTTATTCATAAAAAAAAAATTGACCTTGATATTTATAGTCTGTCTGGTAAATAGGAAAAAAATACAATATTTTCAGAAATCATTTATGTACAGTTACTTTTTATTTTATAAAAATTACAAAAATAAAAATCTTTTTGGCATGTGCAAATACCAGGGCAGCCTTCAGCATCAGTACCTTCAGTACTTAGTAAGACCCCCTTTGGCAGATATCACAGCTTGTAAACGCTTTTCATAGCCAACTACAAGTCTCTGGATTCTATCCTTTGGGATTTTCCCACATTCTTCCTTGCAAAAGGCTTCCAGTTCTGCAATATTCTTGGGTCGTCTTGCACGCACAGCTCTTTTAAGAACCCACAGATTTTCAATGATATTTAAGTCTGGAGACTGTGAAGGCCTTTCTAAAACCTTCAGCTTGCATTTCTTGAGGTTGTCCATGATGGATTTAGAGGTATGTTTAGGATCATTATCCTGCTGTAGAAACCATCCTCTTTTCAGCTTCAGCTTCAGCTTTTTACAGATGCTGTGATATTTGCCTCCAGAATTTGCTGGTATTTAATGGAATCCATTCTTCCCTCCACTCGAGCAATGTTTTATGATGAGGACGCAGGGAAGGTTTTCTTCAGCAGACTCTTCCATGAAGCTCTTGTTTGTTCAAACATCGCCGCACAGTGAAAGGGTGCACCACCACTCCTGCGTCTGCTTAATATTCTTGCAGGTCTTTTGAAGTCAAATGTGGGTTTTGATTTTCTTTCCTGACCAGCAAACGAGCTGTTCTCTCTGAGATTCTACTTGGTCTTCCAGATCTCATCTTGACCTCCACAGTTCCCCTCACCTGCCATCTCTTATTTGTGCCTCCCACTGTGGAAACTGCAAGCTGGAAACGCTTTGCTATCTTCTTGTAGCCCTCCCCTGCATTGTGGGCATCAATAACTTTCATTTTTTCTGTCTTATACAGCTTCTTAGAGGAACCATGGTTGCTGGATGAATGCACAAGGTTTGTGGAGTTGAAACCCCTTAAATTGGCACCAGCTGGTGCCCCCTGATGAGAATTGTTGACACCTGCTTCAGGACTAACGAGCTGGTGAAAGTCTGAGCTTCTAAAAAGAATCTTTATAAACTGTTGGAAGAGGAGGGAGGAGGGAAAGAGCAAGAGAGGAAAATAAGAATTTGTTTCCAATCGACCAACCATGAGATTAGTTCTCACGAGGGACAGTATTTGTAGATTAATATTAGGTGAGTTGGCGACGTTTGAGTTAACAATCATGAGGTTAAAGCGTCCTCTAGTGTACAGAGAATCTGAACTGCACTTCACCGCCACTTAACATAAAGACTGTCATCATCTCTGTTAGGGTAGTGGAAATAAAAGAACAGTACCCCTCACTTTAATTTCTACTCGCACCTGAGTCCGAGTGTTTACTGATATTGTCCAAATAAGTGCGCACAAAAAATTTAACAACGGCTGAGTTGACTGATAAAAAAAGAGGAGCGGCTGACTTGGTCGCAGTTGTTGTCTCAGATAAACAGCTTTAACGTTAGCTTTGTGCTCTTGCTTTGTTCTGTCAGTTATAGTTTTGTGTGCTGATCATAATCAACTCATGTTCTGTAGGCTACTCTTCCAAACGAATCAATACCTCAGAAAAACCTTTGTACGGATGGATTCTTCGGATCTCCAACCTTCCACTCTACTCGCACCTTCACTCTCACATTCATTTCATGCAGGGTGACGTGGGGATTTATGGATTCAGATCTAGCTGTATCCATAGTCTGTATATACTATATACATTGTATACTGTTTATACAGTCTATGGCTCTAACTTACACACTGTTAGATTGAACCCTTTATTGAAAGTATTCAGGGTAGATTGCACTAGTTGTACTTTTGAGGGAATAGCTTTTAGTCGCTTGTGCCCAACGATGGTAAAATTTGGAGTCGCATCACTGCAGATAGTGTTAACAGGTTCCAGACTACAAGAAAGCTAATTCTACATCTACAGTGCCTTGAAAAAGTATTCATACCCCTTGAACTTTTTCACATTTTGTCACTCTACAACCACAAACTTAAAAGTATTTTATTTAGACTTTTTGTTATAGACCAACACAAAGTAGCACATAATTGTGAAGTGGAACGAAAATGATACATGGTTTTCAAAAGTCATCTGAAAAGTGTGGAGTGCATTTGTATTCAGCCCCCTGTACTCTGATACCCCTATATAAAATGCAGTGCAATTAATTGTCTTCAGAAGTCACCTAATTAGTTAATAGAGTCCACCTGTGTGTAATTTATTATCAGCATAAATACAGCTGTTCTGTGAAAGCCTCAGTGGTTTGTTAGAGAACAATAGTCATCAAAGAGCATCTTGAAGACCAAAGAACTCACCAGGCAGGTCAGGGGAAAAGTTGTGGAGAAGTTTAAAGCAGGGTTAGGTTATAAAAAAGATATCCAATGTTCTGAACATCTCAAGGAGCACATCATCCAAAAATGGAAGAAGTATGCTACAACTGCTAACTACCAAGACATGGCCGTCCACCTAAACTGACAGACCGAGCAAGAAGAGCACTGGTGAGAGAAGCAGCCAAGAGGCCCATGGTCACTCTGGAGGAGCTGCAGAAATCCACAGCTCTGGTGGAAGAATCTGTCCACAGGACAACTATAAGTCATGTACTCCACAAATCTGGCCTTTTTGCAAGAGTGGCAAGAAGAAAGCCATTGTTGACAGAAAGACGTAAAACATCCTGTTTGCAGTTTGCCACAAGCCATGTAGGGGACACAGCAAACATGTGGAAGAAGGTGCTCTGGTCAGATGAGACCAAAGTTGAACTTTTTGGCCTGAATGCAAAGCGCTATGTGTGGCGAAAAAAGTAACACTGCTCATCACCCTGAACACACCATCCCCACTGTGAAACATGGTGGTGGAAGCCTCATGCTGTGGGGATGCTTTTCTTCAGCAGGGACAGGGAAGCTGGTCAGAGTTGATGGGAGGATGGATGGAGCTATATACAGGGCAATCCTGGAAGAAAACCTGTTTGAGGCTGGGAAAGAAAGAGATTCACCTTCCAGCGAGACAATGACCCTAAACACACAGCCAGAGCTACAATGGAATAGTTTAGATCAAAGAATATTCATGTGTTAGAATGGCCAAGTCAAAGTCCAGACCTAAATCCCATTGAGCATTTGTGGCAAGACTTGAAAATTGCTGTTCACAGACACTCTCCACACAAACTGGCTGAGCTTGAGCTATTTTGCAGATAAGACTGGGCAAAAATTTCAGTCTCTAGATGTGCAAAGCTTGTAGAGACATACCCCAAAAGATTTGCAGCTGCAATTGCAGCGAAAAGTGGCTCTACAAAGTATTGACACACGGGGGCTGTGTCAATGCACACCACACTTTTCATATTTTCATTTGTTTAAATTTTTGAAAACCATGTATTATTTTCATTCCACTTCACAATTATGTAGAATAGAATAGAATATCCCTTTATTGATCCCCCATAGGGGAATTTTTTTTGTCACAGCAGCATCACAGACAAAGAGTGCAAAAATGCAGTTATAAAAATAAGGATCCTAATATTAAGAACTTAAATAAATGTAATAATTAAGAAAAAAAATAGAAAAAGGAAAAAGGGAGAAGAAAAATAAAACTATCTACAGTATACACAATTTAAATGCCAGAAAAAAGTGGTGGTGTAAATCCAGTTATTATTGCAGTTCATTGTAAAGTCTTATTGCAGAGGGGAGGAATGACCTGCGGTAGCGCTCCGTCCTGCAATGTGCTACTTTGTGTTGGTCTATGACAAAAAATCTCAATAAAATACTTCTAAGTTTGTGGTTGTAGAGTGACAAAATGTGAAAAAGTTCAAGGGGTATGAATACTTTTTCAAGGCACTGTACATTTCCCATGTGTGTCTATTATCCGCTCTGTGCCTCTTTATCCAGTAGAGGGGGTCATTCCAAAGGAAACAGGGTGTGCGTCCATTGTTGATGAGGTACATATTCAGCCAAAAGAATGGATGCAACGTTCACGTACTGTTTGTATGCTTGTTTTCTCTGGAGTGTCTGGAGTGTTGAAAACATTTCTCCTTGACATCGGATAAACAAAGCACTGGGACATAAAAAAATCTTGGTTGCTAGTATACAGACTTACAACTACTTTTTTCTTAATTTTTCACCGACACAACGAAGAGGATTTATAATGTAAAAGTTGAATTCTTAAGTGTCCCATACGCACTTAAAGTATCCAGTCGATGTGTGCGCTGGCTCGGCGTGATTAGCACTTTTTATGGTTGCTTTGTGCCTGGATGTCGAGTGGCTCGCAGCTGCAAACTACTCTGAAAAGAGGAGAAAACTACGTCCTTATAACATCTCAGCTCATAGAACAGTGCTCGGTTTTTAAAAGGGCAAAGCAGCCTCGCAACGACAGAGCAGATGTTAGCTTTGAGCTGGCTGGAGCTAGCTGGCTAGTACAGCAGCGGTCAGTGTATGGATACGCAGAGACAAGTCTTGACTCTCTCCCACGCAGGCAAGCAGTTTTTGTTCACTATCACGTATATAATTTTGAAACTGCTATTGACAAATTGCAGACAGAAGCGATATTTACACTAAAACTATCATATGAGCTGACCTCAGACTTAATGGTTGGGTTTTGTGTGGCCTGTAACGTTAAATAGGAGCTAGCAAAGTGGCCTACAGAAAGATAACGCCTACATTGTTAGTCACGCTGCTGGTTTCCCATAACGATGACTGATCGATGGATGCTGAGGCTGCCAGCTCCTTCACTGATGTTAGAATATATCGCAAGTAACCTGTAAAACACGTATGTTTGATTGTGTTATATCCACAAGAGGCATTTATTCCCATATACATCAGAAACACAATATAGACATGTAGATATAAAAAGCAAACTGATATTCGTTATTTTTCAACATCTATCATAGTATTCAAATGCAAGCTTTAAGGTATTTACAAACTGCTGCACCGCACAGTGTAAAGTTTTACATTCTCTTTAAAGTCATGCTCTTAGAGAGGGGATGTGATGGATTCACTTCTTAGAAAGGCTCTTCTTTGAGGACAAAAAAGTACTGGCAGGGGAAAAAATCATTCAGACCATTTTTTGCTTTTATACTTAAAAAAAAAAAGTTTTAAGAATATTTTGATTTAAGATCATAATGAACTATTCAGAGTCTCAGAAATGTTTAGTAGTAGATATCACCATCATTAAAAGTGACTGTACACATGTTTCTCTATGGCCATCCCCCAAAGCTAGTTAAATTAGGGTTGGTTTTAAAGTTTTCTTTTTTTAAGTGATTAATTTGCCAATAACTAATTTTTATATCTGGGCAACCCTGGGGTCTGGCAGCTGTGAGTCAAGTTATTAGCTGGTCCATGAAATACGTCTGGCTGTTTTCCTCTGATAAAAACTTGGGCTGGATGTGAGATGTATTTGTCCATTAAACAGCCTACTGAAGCCAAGATAGTTTTCAGACTTTATTTTCCATGATCCCACTGAGGTCAGCTGCTTTTAAGTATGGATAAAAAAGTGTAGTTATGACTATGATAAATGTCTATTGTGCTCTTATTAAAGTTTTCTGTCTTGCAGTAATAAAAGGCAGAGAAGTCTGTCCCAGCTGTTGTGATGTTATGTTTTGTTGTATTAATGCACCTCACTGAGTTTTCAGTTATGTTTTTTTTTTTTTTTTTTTGTCATTGTTGTATCCACAGATCCTGACATGGGGAGTAAAATGTCCTTTGGAAGAGGAAGCAGTGACCAAAGTGCAGTCTCTGAGTTAACTCCTGTTACATCACAGCCTCGAAACTCTGTTCATGACCCTCCAGACTGCAAGCAGGTAGCTTATGAGAAAGATGTTTAGATGTATAATGAAAACTTTAATTTGGCTCAGTTTTCAAAAAAGCTTGCAAAGAGATTTTTAATGCATCTTATATTTAAAAACAAGCAAACCAAAAAGACATTAGTATGATGTTGTTTCAGGAGGAAATGGCACTTGTTTTGTCTGCATTGTTTCAGATCTGTTTACTGTCTTAACTAGCTGTCATTTTCTGCCAATGAAAAACCTTAGCGATAATTTAATTTGAGGAAGTCTGGAGAAATTTTGTATGAGATAAAAGTGTTCATTGTGTTCAAACAAAAGCTTGTGAATAGTAGAACCAGAGAAATCACAGTTTTTCAGTGGTTCCTTAATATATTCCAGTGCTGTCAAAAATTTAGAAGTTGCTCATATATTTTAGGACACGCTGATGTATTCTTTTTTTTTACTCATACTGGTCCATCATCACTCAAAGCTCAATAATTTGTCTTTAACGTGATAGTACTGTTAGTTTCTGTTTTGAAGGATGACTTATTTAATATTTTTGTAGCGTCTCATTACAATACGAGTGACAGATGTATTAATTTTTTCTTCGACAGATATCTGAAGACAAAAGTTGTGGAGAAGAGGACCTGACCTCCTGCAGGCAAGAGGAGATGAAAGTGAAAGGACTCAATGAATCTGCACCTGAATCCCACTCATCAGGTCATTCAGAATCTGATGGCCTTCTTGACCCTGAAACAGTAGGCAGCGTTAAGAGTGACGGGATTGAGCACACAATGCCAGAGGTAGGGATGGAGGCTAATACTCAAATGACATCTGCAGATGTGTGTAGCTCCACAACAGACAGCCCGGGACAACCTGTAAAGGCTCGCAGAAAACGAGGCCGTCCTCGCAAAATTAGACACATGCAAAATGTAAACCAAAATAGTGGGGCTCCTGCTGTTTTTGATGCAGTCCAACACAAGGAAATCAGCACAACAATTCCTTTACCAACACTCTTCGAGAACCACACTAGTGGCGATGTGCCTAACCTTGCAGAGGGTCCATTACTCAGTAATCTAGCTCACAACGAAGAGGCTGGACCTCAAACTGTCCCTGAATGTAAAGTAGAGGATGGTGTGCTTGTGCTGCCAAAAAGGGGAAGAGGAAGACCAAAAAAAGGTCAAAGTGAAGGTGTCTCACCCAAGGCTGCTGCTGTTAAAAGGCCTCGTGTCAACAAAGTAAGTGGACCTGGACGGGTACTAAGGAGTAGAGGAGAGAAACATCCTTCAACACCGGATGGAGAGACTAAATCTGATATCAAGGTAGACCCCATGCAAACTGCCAAGATTCTCATAGAAAGTAGTGATACATTTAACTTTCAAGATATAAAGAGACGAGGGGCTGAACTGGCTGATCAGCAAATTCCAGCTAAAGTGTCCAGGCTAGATGTTTCCCAGGAGGTCTCGGCAGTGTTGAGCAATGATACATGCTGTAGGGAGAAAAGAGAGACGGATAAGCAGGTAGAATTAAACACTGAAACCCCTGAGACTGATACAGATAGAAAGGGCAGCCAGGGATCACCGAAGCCTGACAAAGAGCAGCAGGCAGAACTAGAGGAAAGCGTGTCGTCACAAAGAAATCTGCAGCCATCCTCCATGCAGTTAGCTGAGCCGGAAGTTATTCCCTCAGAGAGCCCCCGCAGAAAAAACTCGCCAAGTCCCGTTCACAATGACAAAATAAAACCGTCTTCAGATGAGAGTGGCAGCCAGATATCGCAATCGAACAGCATGCTTGAATCTACAGAGAACACAAACTTGCAGAACTCAGGGCCCTCCAGTGCAGAAGTCATAACATCAGTCAGACAATCACCTAAGACTGTCAGAGACCTCCCTGAAGTGAAAGCCGAAAACATGGAGATAGAGCTGAATTCGGTGGCACAGTCAAATACCACTAAATCCATACAATACGCTGCCTTCCCTCCAGTTCAGTCTGAGAATCCAAACAGTCATAGAAACTTCATGAGACGCAAGAAAGGTGCCAAGAGAAGGAGGAGAGTGAGTAATGTATTCATACCAAGAGTAGATCCAGCAGAAGTCCATGAGGGCAGTGGTGAAGCTCAGCCAAAAGCAGACCCTGAGAAGATGGAGGGGCAGGAAGTCCCAAATAATGTTACAAATTTCACCTACATTAAACGAGGGGGGAAAACTCTGTTGAAATGTGGTTATTGTGGGCAAACGTGTAAATTTCTCTCTCAGCTCATCATCCACCAGCGTATTCATACAGGAGAAAGACCCTTCAAATGCCCTGAATGTGGCAGAGGTTTCAGCAAAAACTCTAACCTGAATCTTCACCTTAAGGTGCACCAGAAGAATGACTCGTATCAGAAGTGTCAGATTTGCAACGGCAGAATCCTCACTTCTGAGTATGCCGCTCATATGAGCAGTCATGCAAATGTGCTGGATCAGGACCCTGAGATCAACAAACCTGAAGTTCCCAGCACAGAGACCAACCATGACAACAGTCCTGGACTTCAGGGACCAGTTCCCAAGGAAAAAAGAGGGGACAAAGTGTGTGAGTACTGTGGCAAAACATTCCCATTTCAGTCTGCTCTCATCAGACACGTACGTGTTCACACCGGGGAGAAGCCTTTTAAATGTGACATATGCGGCAAAGCTTTTGGTCAGTCCTATTTCCTGCGTGTTCATGAGCTGACACACTGGTCCGTGAAGCGTTATAACTGCACACGTTGTGAAAAATCCTTCAGTCACTACAGCAATGCAAAAAATCACACTTGTGTTGAAGACAGAGGTAATGACTGCCAGCCCAACAGACGTGGAAAGCCTTCACTTACATACACATGCCACATCTGCAAGAATGTGTTTGACCACCTGCAGGAGTTTAACAGCCACATGAAGGCGCACAGTGGTGCAGAGCTATATCGCTGCTTACACTGTGACAAGCTCTTTGGTTTGCTGTCCGAGTACAATGCCCATCGTAGTCAGTGCAGAGGTGAGAGAAGCACCTCCAGCTCTGCAATAAAAGAGGAGGAGACACTGACCTTAATACAGTACGCAGTGCCTACAGGTAGGTTTTCATTGGGACAAAACATCTCGTCCTCTCACGTAGCAGCAAATGGTGAAACGCAGAGAAAACCGCCGAAGACCAGCCGTAAGAAAGCCAACTTAAAAAAACCGTTCCAGTCAACTGTCATACCTGCTCACCATATCCCACACTTTGTGTCAAAGTTAAACAAACTGGACAACCGCTCAGATCCCAGGAAGTATTTGTGTCCAAGTTGTGGGAGACTCTTCAGACACATGGGGAGACTTCGAGCTCACATGCTCACTCATGCCCCAGCTAAAAGTTACACCTGTGCTTGCTGTGGTAAGACTCTCGCGAACTGGAGGAAACTCTGGCACCACCAGAGAATTCATCGACAGAGGCACGGCCGCTTCACTTGTCCACAGTGTGGGCAAGGTTTTCGTTTCGTGGAGCTGTACAAGCAGCACATGAGCCAGCACCCAGAATACCGGTGGGTTCAGGTCAGGACGAGGAAAGTCTCCCTGCCTTATCAGTGTGAGCAGTGCAGGTGCAGCTTTAGGACCCTAGATCTACTCTTTAGTCACCAGCTTTGTCATTCCTCAGTGCAAGACATGCATAAGATCTCTGATTATGATTTCTCCATGGATGATCATACTATACAGTTAAACAGAAAAATGTTGAATCCTCCTCTAAATAACCACATGGCTGCATTACATACAGGATCTGAGCACAGCTACTCTCCTCTGACCACCTCCTCTAAGTTTCTAGATCCAACTATCCAACAGCCGTCTCGAGTGAATATGGTTTCTTTTGTCCACAATCAGGGAGCTGCGTCGAGTAAAACTCCTCAACCAAGAGAAAACAATTGTGATAGAATGGTTGAAAACACACTCAGAAAACCCATTACGCCACTGAGGACTGTGAAAAGGTGTAGGACCCAAGGTGTGAGCACATCAAGTGAAGGGTCTTCAGAGGGCTTGAAGTGTGCGGTTTGTGGCAACGCATATCCCGCCATTTCAGACCTTTATCAACACTATTTGCAGCATGCTCGATGCCAGGTGTGATTTACTGAATCACCTCTCACTCAGCTTTCTCTACACCAACTTTTTTTTTTACCATGTTAACACAGGGGTTTTGTAGCCCAAGCTTAAAATGTGGAATCAGTCAATTTTCCAAAAAAGGTTTATAGTCTTGAAACTCCTCAAAAACAATATTAAGGTTTGCTCAACTTTATGTATTCAGTTTTCAGACTCAAAATAACACGTTGAATGTAGAAAATAAAGGGAAACAAATTCCATTTTTCTTCATGCAGAACCATCTGATCACATTTCTGTATTCTCTATTCCTTTTAAAAAGAACAGAGAGGTGAATTAGACAGAGAAGAGACTATTTTGGATTCAATATGGCTGAAAATACACCTTTGTTAAATGACTGATCTTATACTTTGATAAAACATAAATATACAAGTGAAATTACCACTGTGCCCTCATTTATTTTTGTTGCCTTCATTACATATCCATATTTTTTTGGATGAAAGAAAATCAACAAATTTGACTACAAAACTCCTTCATACTTCCGACACTTTTTTAGTCAAAGTGACAAGAAATATTGCAATGCACTAACACAATGCCGTAGTATGACTGAGTAATGAAACAGGCATTTAGTTTTTCAAATTTCAACTGCTACAGTAAAAATTGAAATCATGGATGCTAAGACTTGCTTATTTCTGGTCCGTGAACTTGACTTGCATCACCTTGTATTCAGTTTTTCAAGTGAAAATCCGTTTTTCTTTTCATGCACTTGTCTTGTAAAGAGTTCAGTCTGTTGTACACGGGTGATGTGACAGCCAAATCCAAGTGATGTGGAATTGTCTCCAAGTGCAACAGAAGTGTTCAGCACTTGTTATTGTTTACCTTTGAAAACCTAACATTTTCGTCCTTCAGTGTCAGACTTGTTTGAAATATGAACACTTTTAAAGGAGGTTTCCTTGTTGTACATGACTTGATGCCATAGTTTGTCTTCAATAAAGCTCACTTTTGTATCAATATGTGGTCATAAGCCATTTTTTAACACCCCAAATTTTTTTTGAAAACCGCAAGATCTTGGAATAAAGATCAATTTTAAGAATATTTTAACTCCATTTTGCACAAAGTGCGTGTAACTTTTGTCAACTGAGGCATCTGGGAGTTTTTAAGTAAAAAATGCTGTTAAAAAGCATAGGAGGGTTAGTTTCCACTACAGTAGAAAAAGCTTAGCCACAGAAGTCCATAAAGGGTCAAATATCATACTAAAAAATTTAAGTGCTGCAAGATTAAACCTCAGTCATGTCCCAACTGAGGCTGTACCACACACGCCTCAATCTCTCGTGATGGAATATTGATGTGGGTGGGAGCATCAAAATTCTCTTTCAACAGGAAAATTGAATTTGTACAAAAATCAGGTTCGTCTAAAAATATTGAAAAGCTCAGAGAAATAAGGTTGAGTACCAGAGTAACTGTAAATAAGTCCAGTAAGTGTAGTTAAGTTCTTTTTTTTTTCAATTTATTAAAGGCAAACACAGTTTAGTGTTTTTCTAAGTGGCTTTAGTTGGAGGACATGGTGCTGCGGATCCAGGAGTTGTAGTTGCAGACCTTGGCATAGACACCAGGCTTGTTCCTCTGGGCACAGCCATAACCCCAGGACACCACACCCTGCAGCTGACCGTTGCACACCACGGGGCCACCAGAGTCTCCCTGATAGGACACAGACAAAGAGGAAAGTATGTGAGCAAAGCTGCTGTGACATTTGGTTTGATAAACTAGGATAACATTAATGAAGATTTCAGCTGGTACCTGGCAGGAGTCCTTGCCTCCCTCGAGGTAGCCGGCACAGAACATGTTGGAGGTGATCTGACCAGGGTAGGAGGACCTGCAGCTGCTGTCGCTCAGGATGGGGGCATCCAAGCACCTCAGACGATCAGGGTAGTTGCCTAAAGATTATAAAAGATCAAATCTGTCAAACGTTTTCCCTTACATGCTTTTTAAAAATCTATATATTGAGTCTTTCACTGACTTCCAGAGCTGCTCATGTTGCCCCATCCAGAGATGAGACAGCGGCTGCCAGAGCTGGCACAGCTGGAGGGCAGGGACACGGTGCGGACGTAGCTGTTCAGGGTGGCAGGCTTGCTGAGTTTGATCAGCATGATGTCATTGTCCAGGTTGCGGCTGCTGTATCTGGGATGACGGATGACCTTGGCAGAGTTGATGAACTGTTCTGTGCCCTCATTGACAGCAATGTTGTGCTCACCAAGACGCACAGACATGCGGCTGCAGAGATACACATGAGGATTGTATGACAGGACTGTGACGGTGTACTTGTAAAAGAGTCCCCAATTTACAGTTTTGGAGAGTTAAATTAAGAGTTTAGTGCAATTTATTTGAATGTAGATGAAATGTTTTTCCTTACGATTTGTAGCAGTGAGCAGCAGACACCACCCAGGTGCTGGAGATCAGGGAGCCTCCGCAGAAGTGGTAGCCAGAGTTCAGAGAGACCTGGTAGGGCACAGAGTTCTTTCTGCACTCATAGCCTCCAACAATCTTGTCATCCTCAATGGGAGCGGCATCTGACATTAAGAGAGTTCATCAGAAATTGAGTATAACTGGGCATCAGTTTTTTAGAGTTTAAGTAGAAAAAGTCAAGTTGACCATTGAAGGGACAAAAAGACTCTCAAAGCGGAGGAGTTTCATACTCACAAGCCACAGCGAACAGAGCCAAAACAATGAAAGCCTTCATGGTGGTTCCTGTCCAAGCCTTGGTGTCGGTCATGGTGCTCCTCAGCTCCCTTTTAAACCCTCTTTGCCCCGCTGATATCTGATTGGCCAAGGACACGTACAGTATATCCGTTTTTACTAATCTCTTGCTGAGTAATGTGTGTGAAAACGCATCTGGAGAACCAAGGCCAAGTTACTGATAACCTGTTATTTGGTTTTAGTAACTCCAGGAATACATGCGATTTTATTAACCCTTCAACACAGGTGCCTCTTTTACTGTGTTTATTTAAAATATTTATATATAAATGTAAATACAGAAGACTCTCTATGTCAGCGGACTTTTCCAAATCCAAATAAAGCCTGTTACTCTGTGTTTTATGCAGTAATTGTTTGATAAATACACTGAATATTGTTCATTGACTTAAATGTTGTCCATACAGACAGTCAAGAATCATTTTGTTTTTATCAGATCACATCAAATTAACTTAATTATTTATCAATGAGTTTAAGGTTGCTGTGCAGCAGAAGATATATATCAAAAATAAAAACAGTTTTTAAAAAGCTTAAGGTTGAGTCTACAACCTCAGTGTTTGATCAGTTGTTACTGTCAAAAAACAAACATACTAATTACAGTGGTACTATACCACAGACTGATTTATTTATGTTCATCTAATACAAACCTTCTCAGTGTTTTTCTTAGTTTATTGTATGTTATATTAACAGAACAAAGAAATACACAACAACACATGAAACGTACATTTGTATGTTTTTTTAATACCTAATTTATGTATTTGTAACGCTTAATATAACGTTTGTGGCATCAAACTGAAATCATGATTAAAATTTGAGTGAAATTTTTATCTGTAATCTCTCTGAGATTTAATTTGTCTGTCAAGTTATGTAAAACACAAAAGTATACTTAATGAACAATCAGTTAAGGAACATAAATCAAATTTCTGACTTTGATGGTTAACATACTGATGATTTCAGTTTAATACTGGTATTCTTTTTCTTTGTCTAGTTCTGCTGGTCAGCCTTTCTTATCAAAAGTAAACTTAGTTGATTAAAATCTGTAGCAGCCAAGAAACTGAAATACATTATTCTGATTCTGATTTTTCTCTTTAACAAATATTTGATAAATAGATTTATCCATAGAAAGAATGTATTTTATGTGTATGAACTTTATATATTAGCATTTGAAAGAAACAATATTTTTTCACCACATAAATGGAAATAAAATAGAGTTATGTTATTCCTCTCAACAAAATGGAAATTTGTAAATACATCAGTGTTTAAACATTAAAATAAATGCTTATTTTAAATCCAGTATTGTAGACTTTATGAGCAAAACTTACTTCAGTAACCAGAGGTTGGCTCTATATTTGCATTCATGGATTTTGATGTTGAAAATCTATAAACATATGCCATTGCAACTTTACTTTATTCATAAATATCAACTCTTTTACAGATTGTCATGGATGTATAGTCTTTTCTTTTCGGACAGGGCACCTGTTAATATATATTATCTAGTTTTAGAATACAGATGGAACAGTTGACTGCTTCATCACCATAACCCAAAAGAAACATTTTTTAATACTTGAAGAAAATTTGAAACCTGACTCATACAATATGTATGAGAGGTGTCTGCATAAAATCTGATTGAAACATGAGCAAGATCTCAGTACATTGGCTACGACTAAAAAACAACATCAAAACAAATATTGTATGAAAAATAAATTTTATTTCAACACAACTCAACTAAAAAGTGTATACATCAGAAAATAAGATGAAATCGTTAGAAATTTCAAAGCCGGTGTTTCAGCTGTAAAAGACTCCACCTCTATTCCTCTGGGCACAGCCATGACCCCAGGACACCACACCCTGCAGCTAACTGCTGCACACCACGGGGCCACCAGAGTCTCCCTGGTAGGACACAGACAGAGGAAAAGTGTGTGAGCAGAGATGCAGGAGTCACTGCCACCCTCAAAAAAATCCAGCACAGAGCATGTTGGGGGCATCCAAGCACCTCAGATGATCAGGGTAGTTGCCTCAAGAGTATAAAAGGTTAGATCTGTCAAAAGTTTTCCAACGTGTTTTTTTCTTTTATGGAATCTCTTCCGAGTCTTTCCCAGTCTTCCAGAGTCTTTCAGTCTTTCTGCACTCAGACTCCAACATTCTTGTCATCCCCCAGCAACTGTTACGCAAACCCTTCACGATTACTTTTTACCCCTTCACCCAATGACACTTATTTTATCTATAAAAGCAAATGAAAGAAAGTACAGGCAGCAGCAAGCAAGGCAAGAAGAGTCAGGTACTCCACTAATCTAGTTCACACCTACGCAACAGTACTAGAGGTAAGGTCTTTATATAGGGTGCTTTATCTGACCCTCTTTCAAGGATTTTTCTATTTGCCTTGTGCAGTCATCACATATTATCCCACCTGGGAAACAGCAACATGGTCAAAGAGGAGTGCACCTGGATTTCCATGAAATACTATCTTTGAATCAATAGCCATTCAACCTGAACACCCCCGCTTCACCTTTTAATAACTATTTGTAACACAACTGATAAATAGTTTGATATCTTATTAAGGCTTCTGCTTATCCCACTCTGTCATAGCTGCAGACTGACAAGAGTTTCTGTCTTTCCCTCAGGTTAATTGCAAATAATTTCATAGAAGTTTTTTGAATGACAGCAAGTGAATGAAAATAATTCACAAGCCCTAATGACGCCCTCTCTGAGCAAAACTTGTTGCCTTATTTTAACAGTTTAGCCACTATAATAAAAGACTTTTCAAGTATTTCCTTCCTCATTGTCACTACTTTTTCCATTTGGAGCACCAGTTTTCCCTTTTAGTATAGTAAATGAAAATGGTTGTTGAAAATATATGGATCAAATACAGAGACATTGTTTTGTTTCTGTTTTTAAAGCTCCTATGATGAGTTTTTGACAGGTTTTGAAGCATACTCAATTAACTAATTTAAATTTTACAGGGAAAAGGCAATAGGTGATTTTTGTCAATTCACACCACCCTCTGTCCAAATTAGCAACAATACGAGTTATTGCTTTGTCTGCAGGGGGCGCCAAAGTGAACACAAATGGAGAGTTCTGCATAGGAGCTATAAGCTAGAATTCATTTTTGGTGCATTTGATTTCATGAGGACAAAAGACCTGCTTCATTCAAAGCCAGTCAAATACTGCTTGTGGGCAGTTTATTCGTGATTTGCATGCGTAACATGTTGAAGTCTTAAGGTTTAAACTGTGTGTGATTCATTAGAAGTGCACAAATTATTCAGTCTTCCCTTGTAGTAATGAGAAAGATTCAGGTACCCCATCAGTCCTTTAAGTAATGCCATGGTTATGTGTAAAAGGCATTTTGCATCATTTTTAGCAACATGAAGTTTCATTAAACATAAATTTAATGCATGACGCACATACCGGCTCGTTTTTTTTTTTCCAAACTTTCTTTGAATTACCAATGTCGTACATTACAATTTGAAATGGAATACATAATCTTCAAAGAACTCATCTGAGAAAATAAATGCCTGCACTTGAAACAGCACAAACCCCTATCAACATTAACAAGGTAAAAATAACAAAACAATAATAAAAGGGGGTGACATTTCAACAAAAAGTGCTCTAAGCGTGTTAAAGAAATATGATTAAATTTAAAGAACAAGAGACTTTGACATTGTCTGATAGTTTTTTCATAGACTTAGGATGTTTAGTATATTTAGTCTGTATTTATTATTTTTAGTATTTTTTGTCTGCAATATACATACTTTTCATATTTCATCTTATTTTCTATTTTTCGCTGCTGTAACATGTAAATTTACCAGTTTGGGATCAATAAAGTCCATCCATCCATCCATCCATCCATCAACATTTTTCCAAAACATCATTGTGACCGAACAAGAGAAGAATAGTTGTAAAATTTTATGATGAAACTGATTCTGGCTCATTTAACATCTTATACTGAGTGAACATTCAAACACAGGATCCAGGATTCAGTTTAGAAGTTTTATTTTCTTTTGTCTTCCGTGGATGATTTTTTATGTTCAAACAATCAAAGAAATTGAAACAAGATGTATCAACATAAAATATTCAAATAAAAAGGGACTTAAAGTTTAATGAATGTGTAAATTAGTTAACTTAGCTTATATCATCAATGCATCCACTTCAGGGCTTTAAATCATCAATAAATTTGGGGTTAGTTGGACAGCAATCTAATGAAATAATATTAGACAATAAACCATATTAGAAATAATACAAATTGGGAGAATCAAACAAAATTTAGTCAGGTTTAAGTCCATTTTCCACTCACATTAAGACTCCCTTCGCTTCCTCTCTGCTGATCCATGGTCACGGTGCAAGAGGAAGCGAAGGCCTGAGGGCGGGCTTTTATAATGGTGGGGGTGTGGCTTGGTCTTGAGTGACAGGGGAGTCAGGTATGGTGAGGTGAGAATTTGGGATTTAACAATAGGTGTTCAATTGTTTTGTGTTCTGTCATACAAAAACACATGGAGTAACTTCAAAATTAAATCTTTGCCTTAGAGTTTCAGCAGCAGGATTGTTTATTAATTTAACCTGAATTTGGGTGAAATTGGCCGTTTAAGATAGCTACCGTAAGTCTTTGTTAATGTCACTTAATAATTTGCTATCTTAATTTTCATTGACTTTTTGATGTCATGGAATAGCATTTCTTAAAACACGCTCCCAAGTGCTTTGTTATTACATTTTCTTTTGCCCAATTTCAATTCACATACCAGCTCGTTTGATGGTCCTAACTTTGATTTATTTTATTTCATTTATGTATTTATTTATTTTTTTGGCCTAGCTTTTATTTATTTTATTTTATTTTTTAAGGTCCTAACTTTGATTTTTAATATATTTAATTGAATTTATTTTTTATGGCCTTAACTTTGATTTAATTTTATTAAATCTTATTTTCTGGTCCTTACTGTTTTTTTATTATTATTATTTCGTCCGAACTTTGATTTAATTTTATTAAATTTTATTTTTTGGTCCTAACTTTGATTTTGTCTTATTTTATTATAATGTTTTTCTGGCCTTCACTTTGATTTTATTTTATTTATTTATTTATTTATTTATTTATTTATTTATTTTATCCTAACTTTGATTTTATTTTATTTTATTGTAATTTTTTCTGGTCCTCACTTTGAATGTATTTTATTTATTTTTTTATTTTTTTATCCTAACTTTGATTTTATTTCATTTTATTGTAATTTTTTTCTGGTTCTCACTTCGATTTTATTTATTTATTTATTTACTCATTTATTTTATCCTAACTGTGATTTTATTTATTTTATTGTAATTCTTTTTTTTTTTTCTTTGGTCCTCGCTTTGATTATATTTTATTTATTTATTTTTTTTATCCTTACTTTGATTTTATTTTATTTTATTGTAATTTTTTTCTGGTCCTCAATTTGATATGATTTTATTTATTTTTTTTATCCTTACTTTGATTTTATTTTATTTTATTGTAATTTTTTTCTGGTCCTCACTTTGATTTGATTTTATTTGTTTATTTTATCCTAACTTTGATTTTATTTTATTTTATTGTAATTTTTTTCTGGTCCTCAATTTGATATGATTTTATCTGTTTATTTTATCCTTACTTTGATTTATTTTATTTTATTGTAATTTTTTCTGGTCCTCACTTTGATTTTATTTTATTTTATTGTAATTTTTTTCTGGTCCTCCCTTTGATTGCTAGTAAACACACCCCCTCACTGACGTCATTAGAGCGCGACGGTCCTCGGTTTGTGTCGGCTGATGAACTATCAGCTGCAGCGATTGTGTTTTGGTTTTTGTTTTGCTCCACCATGTGCATTTATCATGAGGTAAGACACACGACAGCGTCAGTCTGTTCGTCATTTCTGTTCAGGTGTCGCCGGCAGCACAGCTTCGCCTCATTTTTTAAACAGTACTAGCCCGTTAGCTCACAGCTAGCGCCATTGCAAGATCAGCACCTAATGTATGCGGAATGCGCAACCATTGCGGATGTGGTGCAGATAAAATTGCGCATCGATGCGACAGAATACAGGAGTCAGAATCACAGAGAAAAAGAAAATGTCTGTATGAAATGCTACAGGGTTGTAAGCAGTGTTGTGTTGTGTTCTTGTATTTCAGCTCTAAAGGCGAATCTCTGTCTGGAAGAGGACTCACAGTTTGACAGCTGACGAGCTGATTTAGCTCTGATATGATCTGCCTTATACCTAACATTTTTCTATTTCCTTTAGCAAGAAACTACAAATATACGTGAGAATGATAGTAGAGAGTAAATGGCTACAGCAGCTCGCCACAAAAGCCATTGGACTTTATTTAATTCCCATAGAATAAGATTGTACCCCTCACCGAGAAACTGGGATGTCTTGATTCATCGTAAAAGTTGTGTAAAAAACAGTAAATTAGTGTACTTTAACTCAGTACAGCGCATGAAAACACCCCATATTATGCGTGGCAGCACTTCATAAACAGGTGTATTTATTTTTAATGTAACAACCGAGAGTCGAAATGTGTTTAACAGCAGGTTCAGTCAAACTTTGAGCCTGTGTTGATGGGGCAGCAGCTGTCAGTATCAGAATTGGCCCAGCAGTCAGTTCTGCTGTGAATCAGGTCTGACCCATGACTGAGTACTACGAGGAGGGGGGGCTGCTGTATGAGCAATCACCTCCCATGCACATCAAAGTGGAGTCTCCGGAGGGACCCTTTGGAGGGGGAGCCTCAGAAAACGGCTTCCCCAGAGAGGATGAGGACTCTGAAGGCAGCTGTGACCAAAACAGCGGATTACCTGGGGGCCTCCCTTTCAACGTGGTAGTGGTGCATCCAAACATCATGGCACCTGGCATGTCCTCAGATGACCTCTTGTCAATTGAACAAAGTAAGCCTGATAATCTTAAGACTATGTTGGTACAGGATGGGGCATTTCCCTGTTTGCCTTTATATTTATGCTCAGTATTTGCCTTTGAAATGGAAGTATGATTTTGATATGTAGATGTTCATTTGAGATAAAACAATCTGTAGTGTTAGATTCGGCAAAGTCTTTGCAGACATTACAACATTTTATAAGTGCAAACATCCATCCAACATTGCTATAAGACATAAAGGAGGATTGCCCTGCACAGCACAGATCTTAACGTTGGTGCTGGTGGTGTCAGGAAAAAAGTTCCTACAAAGAAAAGAGTTCCACCGCACACAACGTGGTCAGAATGTAAACTTATTTGTTGGTTAAAAGAACAACGTGTTTCGCCTCACAGGCTTCATTAGGCTTGCCAAGCCTAAGGTGAAACGCGTTGTTCTTTTAACCAATAAATACGTTTACATTCTGACCACGTTGTGTGCGGTGGAACTCTTTTCTTTTTATGGCTATTAGATAATTTAGCTGAGATGAAGATGAATTTTGCCATTGATGTGCCATGCCTTGTCAGAAGTAGTAGCCATCGTTAATGTGTGTTGGCTTGGCACAGTTTATATAATTCTGACCCCACTGAGGCACATTTCTCTCCTTTGTATTATTTCTTACCTTTTGCTTAATATTTTCTTTGCTTGGGCTGTCCCATCATTTCTTTTTTCTCTGCAGACAGAGCCATGTCAGCTGCTTTGGCTGCTGGCGGTGCAGGAAAAAGAAAAAGCCGATTCAGTGGAGCAGAGCTAGAGGTGTTGGTGTCAGAAGTCACTCGGTGTGAAGGAGAACTCTTTGGTCCAGCAGGGAGGCTCAGACGCCGGGAGAGAGAGCGCATCTGGGCAGGAATCCTAGAAAGAGTCAATGCTGTTTCAAGAGTCCCACGTACCCTTAGAGAGGTGAAGAAGCGCTGGGACGACTTGAAGAGACGCAACGGTGGCAGGCTAGCAGATGCTCGTCACCGCAGTTGTTACCTGCCGTCCAGCAGAGGGGCCTCAATGCTTGGCCGCCCTTCCCAGACAAGCCCCAGGCTTCAGCATGCCAGACAAAAACAAAGCACTAGACCAAAGCCCAGTTTCCCGTGCTTCCCTGACTCTGATACAGGCAAGTTTTCTGGTCTGATTGTGCAACTATCACTCTTTATAGATTTTACAGCTTTAACTTATAAATACTTGCTTTTAACAGTTGTAGGAGTGGAGGGACCAGAAAGAGATGGCTTGGAGAAAGATGAGGACAATCCTGAGCGTGACATGGGGGAACCTGAGTGCGAACCTGTAGAGAACAGCATGGAGGACAAATTGGGATTAGGACTGGGTCTGGGCATTGGACCACCTCCTTCTTCAGAACGATGGCTGCCTCCTTCACCTCTCTACAGTGCTCCTTTCCTTAATGGCAGCCCCCAGCCTAGCAGTCCCCAGCCATCACTTGGAGCACAGCAGGGTCCCCTTGAAGTCCCTCCACGCAGTTCTTGGCTTGAAGATGAGCTACGAGGCTTAGGAGAGGCAGCAATTCAACTGGGAAATAGGGTAGAAAAGAGTTTGCGGGAGTTTGGGGACAGTTTCAGACAGGACATGAGAACACTTGTTGCTTCACAAGAGGCATTAGCAGTCAGTCTGCAACAAAACAATGTCCTCTTGCAAAGGCTGTTAGGAGTGCTTGAGGCCCAGCAACAACCACAGCCACAGCAACATCGTGTACAACAAGCACACCAAACACCGCCATCTCAACAGCATTTACAGTCACAGCCGGCTCAGCAGCAGCAGCAGCTACAACACATTGAACCACAGCAGCAGCAACAACAGCAAATAGAAGAACCACTGCAAACACAGCTACAACATGCTCAGCAGCAGCCAGTGACGGCCCAGCATTCAAATAATCAGTTGACGGTAGCAGTAGTGCCTGCATCATCGTCCCCTGACGTGCATGGCACTTTTCCCTCCGATCCACCCACAGACACAAATGTACAAAGGCCAAGGCGAGGAAGAGCTGTCGATCACAGGCGCAGAAGACGGCGCTGAAGTTCGCTTACTTTCATGGACTTTATGTATATTTAATGTTTGAAAATGTGACAGGAAGTTATGCTTTATTTCTTTTGAAATAATTTCTATAAGAAATAAACAGTGTCATCTGGGGCGTTACATAACACTCCAAACCAGTAATTCATCTCGCTATCAAGTATGTCTTCAGAGAGGACTGAAGTAGATAAGAAGATTAGACATGACATAATAGGGTGGCCTTAACATAAGCTTGGTTTCTAGACATGTATTATTGTGCTTAATAACTTTATGAAAAACAAGTTGCTCAATGGACTGCACTTAAGATTTTAGTGCTCAGAGAACACCAAATTGTAGGTGCTGATGTGTCATATGCATGCCACTGTACAAACTTAGCAGCAGAGCTATGAAGCTCATAACCCTCTCTTTCAGATTTGTCTCAATTTTCCTGACACACTAACAACATCATCCTAAGGTACCTGTACTTTGCAGTTGTTACCGTATATAGTGGTTATACAGCTATTGTAATTACCTGCTTATGTATGCTTGTGCTTTTTAACAGATTCATGGAACTTTTTTTTCCAGCTGTAGTTGGACAATAAAGTAAGACTGTGTTCTGTTCATGGTGTCTTGAGAAAAAAAAATATACATTTGAAAAAATAAAAGCTGTTTTTTGGTGGTCTGTAAAATGAACAATCTTCAGGCACAAATATAAGCACAGTCTTCAGACTTAAACTCTTATGCTACATACACAAGTAGACTAAGGCTGTTTGTCATGAACTTGCATGCTGTAAGATGGATGTGTTAGGAGATAAATGCAAAGCAAAAAGCATATGGCAACTATCAAAGTAGTTTTGCACAAGTTATATTTTGTAGATAACTACTGCTCCAGTGAAATGTTACTAAACCTTAATAAAATAAGACATGAAATGTAAATAAATCCAACCGATCATTGTGGATTTTTAATCTAAAAAGTTTTACTATCTAGTGTTATGATAAAAAGTTTATGTTTAATTGATAAAGTTGTAAAGAGCGAACTTAGTGTGTACAACAGCGGTAGTGGAGGACGGTGTCTTCAACCTAATGATATTTACTCGCGTAATGAACGACCGCTGATTGTTGAAAACAAGAGCTTTATTTTGAAAATCTATACCGGAAATCTCATTCCGCCTTCACGCTTACTAGCATGATACTTGTGTGTTCTTGTGGACAAGGGGGTGCATGGGGGAAACATGGCCGCTGTAGACCCGTCGGAGTCTCCAAAACGACCGAAATTCCCCGCGGAGGAGGAGGAAGCATGTGAGGGGAAGACCGGGGCGGCGGAGTCGACAAGCAGCTCAGATGAAAAACATGAAACATCTGCAAATGAAACCACAGAGAGCCCCGATGAAGTGCAGAGGACCAGTCCTGGCAACGACGGCGGCTGTACTGCCAGCCATTCCGAGGTTAGTGTCGAGCCCGGTGCTGGAGCCGAAAAAACGACATGCAATTCACCGGAAAATCCACCAATGGCCGAAAAAACAGCCAAGGCCCCCGGCAACGACCAGCAGGATTTCGACTGGTCAGAAACCGAGGAAAATGATGAAGAGGCGCAAAAACAGAAGCAGGATAATCAGAAGTCTGGTATGCTAACACCTTAAATGTATTTTATAGTTAGCGTTAGCCTTCAGGCTAACCTGGGCTGGAGCTACCTCTCCCCCTTGGTTCACCACCAAGTGCCAACTCCGCTTATGTACATTGCCCTCGCAGAATTAAGCAGGCATCATGCACTGCACATGTTGATATCAGTTAGATTGCTTGTGTTGATGGTTATGCACATAATTCAAGAAACTGCTTACAGTGTTGATGTGTTTGCTTAGTTTTGTGTGTGTTATTGTCTCTTTCAGCCCTCAATAGTGTAACTGAGAGTGCTGAAAAGGTGCAGCAGGATACACATGATGATGAAGCTACAGATGACGCCGAAGAGGTGAAGGATGATGAAGAGAACTCACATTCTGATGCAAAGCACACAGGGATGCAGCCGGAGACTGAGACTGAGAAGCTAGTGGGAGAAGTTGATGGAGCAGAGGATGTTGTCGATGACGATGAGGAGGCAGATCAAGGGGAGGGAGCTGACCAGACTGCCAAGCCAAAAGCGTTCCATTTGGTGTGTAAGGAGTGCGGGAAGAGATTCACTCGGCGTGAGACGTTCAACCTCCATCGCCACTTTCACGCACATGAGGATGAGCTTACACCCCTTACCTGTAAAGAATGCGGCCTTACCTTTCAGCACCGCAGCAGCCTCATCAAACACAGAAATGAACACAAGGAGAAAGAGGAGCGGCTTCTCACTCCGAAGAAGGAGGTGCAAACGATGGAGGTGGGTAACTATAAGTGTGCAGAATGTCAGAGGATGTTCTCTACAGTGGGTAAGCTGAGAGACCACAGCTGCTGCAATACTGTTGAAAAGCCTTACCACTGCCCCCTGTGCCGCCAAGAGTTCCAGTTCAAGGTTTCTGTCACTAAGCACATGATGGCACACTCCCAGGAGAGCAACTGTACATGCCAAGAGTGCAGTCAAACCTTTCCAAACAGCATGGCCCTGCGTTATCACCAGCGATGTCACACCGCTCTGAAACCCTACGAATGCCCAGAGTGTGGCATGGTCTTCAAACACTATTCTGTCATGGAGGACCACCGTCGTAAGCACACGGACAACACACGCTCTCATCTGTGCAATATCTGTGGTAAGACTTTCAAGTACAGCAGCCTCCTCCATCAGCACCAGTATTTGCACACAGGCCAGAAACCTTTTCGCTGCCCTGAATGTGGTAAAAAATTTGCTTTTGCTCAGAACATGAAGGCGCACTGTCGCCAGCATAGACGGCGGGAAACCAACTTTGCCAGCGAGCAGGCAAGCAAGCAGGTTCCTGTGTCCTCGCAGGATGCATTTAGAGGGATGGGAAAAGAAAACACAAACAAGATTGAGGAGCCAAAACGCACATTTAACTGCCCCCTTTGTCCCCAGACATACTCAGCGCCAGCTAACTTGAGAGCCCACATGCTAATTCATGAAGCTGAGTATGAAAAACTAGAGAGAACACCCAGACCACCAACTGAGATTAACAAAGTCTGGGATAAAGGACTCACCTGCCCCCACTGCCCAGGTGTTTTTCCTGATGAATCTACTTTAAATGTGCATCTGCTGAGTTTCCATAAGTCTGTAGCACAATATGTTGAAGAGGTGCCAGCCCCTCCCAAAAAACAGTTTATTCCCGTTAGCAGTAGTAGTGCACAGGGTAAATGGAGAAATGAAGGTCTTAAGTCTTACAAATGTTCTGAGTGTGCAAAAACTTTCCGTCACCGCTCAGTGCTAGAGCTGCATATGCGCATACATGCCAAGGACAAGCCTTACCAGTGCAAAGTGTGTGGAAAAGGCTTTAGATTCAGTAGCTACTTACAGCAGCATCTTATCATACATACAGGCAAGAAGCCATACAAATGTCCCGACTGTGGGAAAGACTTTGCCTTTATGCAGAACATGAAAACACACCAGAGGCTGCATCAGGAAAAACCATTTCGCTGCACCAGTTGCCGCAAAGGCTACAGCGATGAGACCCAACTGCAGCAGCATATGTTATCACACAACGGTGAAAAACCTCATAAGTGTGACCAGTGTGATAAGAGTTTTGGATTAGCTTATCTTCTCCGGGATCATATGAACACACACACGGGGGAGAGACCCCATCACTGCAATGAGTGTAACAAATCTTTTTCCTGGTTTAGCAGCCTGCTTGTTCACCAAAAGATCCACGCTCGTAAACGCCAAGGTTTTAACCAGTACAACTCTCCAACTGTCGCTGCTAAGACAAGAGGCAGGGGGAGGAGAGGAGGGAGGCCGTGGGGCTGGTCTCGACAGTTAGGAGGCTCAGGGATGGTCGGTGCTCAGCCATCTCAGTTTCCAGTTTCTTCACTTAGTGATGCTGAGTTGCACAGAAGGGCAGTCCAGACACAGGCGTCCATGCTCTCATCCCGCATGGATTTACGGAGCAGACAGCAGAAAGAGCCATGGCTGCCTGACCTTCACCCTCAACCAGTGCAGTGGAAGGTAGATGGTGGAGAGATTATGCCTGTCCCATCTTCACAGCAGCAACATGCAGCTTCACAGCAGACACTGTTTGAAAACCAACCGCATTCAGGCCTACAGCAGCACCACCAGAGGAGTCCAGGCTGGGCGGATAACTCTTTGTTAACGCAGTCAGGCTCCACATCTGCGCAGAGTTCAGAGTCATCACACGTGAAGGACGGTTCAGCTTCCACCATCACCTCCTTCCTGACAGCTGTGCCACAAAAATCCAGCCCGTCAGCAGCAAGTGAGATGGAGCAGCACAGGCAGCCCAAGCCTGCTACTTGGAGTAGTCCGCCCACATCTACAGTGCTTGCCTCCACAAGCTCTTTACAGCATGATTTTTCTGTTCCGTCCTACATAGATGGGGCGGCTCTGTGGAGTGTTAGACCTGCCCTGTCAGTAAATTCACAGAGCTCTCCAGTTAAGCTTGGTCAAGAGCTTCAGCTGCCAAGATGGCCAGGTGCCTCTGTGTCAACACAGAAGGAGCCGTCCACACCTCCAAAAAAAGAGGACAGTAGGGTGTGGGACCTGAATAATCCTCAAGCTATACCGTCGACTGTTAGCCAGCCAGAAAAGCCTTGGAATGGCTGTGAACTTCAAAACCAGTGGGCTCCAGGCTTAGCGGGTGCATCCACATCAGCTCAAATAGACCAAAGCAGTGCTATGCCAATTTCCACTCCTGTTTCTCACGGGGTAGGTAGCACCTTGTGGGATATACAAACACCACCAGGCATTCCAAAGACGATAAACTCTGAGAAATTAGTCAATAATCATCAAGAGTTCCAGCTTCAGCAAAAGCAGGTGACGTCCAGCTGGGCTAACGTACAGAGCCAGGCATCACAGAAAGTTCCTATCTCCATTCAATACGAGCCTCATCGTTTTGGCCAAGGGTTGGGAACACCTGTATGGGGCTTCCAAAGCAGTGCTGTAGGACCTCAAGCACTTCTCACTGGGCAACTTAAACCAGGGAACGGACAAGAGTTGCAGCAACAGCCAATGGTAACAGGAACCCAAATAATCATAAATCAGCCTTCTCCCTTTTTTTCACCTCCCCTCGCTCCTCTCCCTCCTCTTGCTTTGCCGGGTCCTCACCCTCTTCACTCTGTGGCAGTTGGTGCTCTTTCAAGACCGCCACCCCCAAATATTTTTTTCACACCACAGGCAGTCATGAACGAGAGGCCGCACATGCCACAGACCCTGTCCCTACCTCAGCTCACCCCTCGGACAGAACCTCACAAACTTGGACCCCGTTTGCCTTTTGCCCCAGATCGGCTTCTCCAGTGCATGATATGTGGGTGCTCTCTTCAAAGGGAGCTGGATCTACAAATGCATTATTTGCAACATGCACAAGGAGAGATTTGAAATTTCTACACTAGCAACAAAACATAGTTATTTTCTGGGTTTTTTCTTTCTTTTGTGTATATTTTATCCTTGTGGAAACTTGTCTATTTGACCCTTAGTTGTGTGGTTTAGCCAGTTTGGAAGATGGGCATTACACACAAAAAGATTTAGTGAAACTTGATTTATTTTTGCACAATTGATGCCCCTCTCAGGGTGTATATGTGTGCCATTAATTTACTCTAACCATCTTTGAAAGGCATTTATGTTATCCAAATGCTTACCTGGTTTAAATACCTTCTGAAGGGTGCAGATTAAGAGGTTCTACAGTCTGCATTTCATGTATTGCCAATGGCTTTTAGATTTAGATTAAATTAGTACTTTTATAGCTCTGTTCATATGTCTTGAACTATTTGAACTGTGTTCCTTCATGTACAGTATACTGTGTGCCTTTTATGAGTACAGTCTGCATGTCTGCTGTCTTTGTATTCTAGGCCTAGTTTGTGCTTCAAGTAGACTCAACAATGTGACCTCACTCCCAAAACACAGAAACTATTTCCAACATCCTGCAAAGAACTGTTAGTTTTTGCTTTTGTGGAGGGGAGGGGAGGGTTGTTGGGTTCTTAGATTACATGTGTCAAAACCTACACTGAAAAGCTGACTGCATACCAAACAACAAGCACTTATATCAAGAGGGGCCAATTCCAAAATGCTTTTAAGTGCAGTTCACATCATAGTTAACTTTATAGGAGCATAAGTATCTGTAAACAAATGGGATGTTTACGTCATTGGTGAGTTTTCTACAAATGCACCTAGTGAGATCAAAAAGAAAAGGGAGAAAGTAGCTTCATATCATGGTTATTGAAAACACGTAATCATTAATTTTGTAATAGATAGAACTCTGATTGTGTCATGTTTGGTCATATATATTTCAGCTATGGCAAGACAGACTCAAACTGAGGATATAAAATGGATGTTTTACTTTGTCCTTTTTCTCACAATGTGTCATGACTTCTGTACTTGATAATTCTAGTTTAAAGTGATTCTCTACAACACTGCTTAGCACCTACAGTAAAATGACGAGTTACTTGCATAGCACATCTCCTATATGAGGGAGTATTTCAGATTGGGATGTATAAGTGCTTCTGAAATTAGGTCCACTTTTGAGTACAGTTCATGGTGTTTATTTGTGAATACTGAATGACTTCATTCCATAACAGTAGATTTAGCTGAGTACACAACCTTGTTTCCTCCTACTGTAATGGGCATTTGAGTAGCTTTGGTGGCCCAAAAACTGACTGATTAACTTCATTACTACTGTAAGATAAACACATAGTCCATTTGTATAAAAAAAAAACTTGTCCCTGTGTCTTGACCTTTCAGCGTCTTCATAAACATGTGCCCTTCTACCTCTATCCACTGTTAAAGCATGGAAAGAAATAGAAATTTCATGATGTCTACATATTGGATTAAATAAAACTTGCCTTTGATTATGATCCTGTGGTCCTCTGTACTTGTAAGGTGATGAACATTATTCAAAGATTTGACACATAAACATGGAAATTAAAAGATTAGCAGCAAATTGTATCAAGATTTATGAAAGCATTTCATGATTATATGAAGTATGAATTTTATCTTTGAAATACTGTCTGGAGGCAGCGCAAAATATTTTGGAATAGTTAATTCAATCAAGTATTGTACACTTATTGACACTGCAATATAATTGAAAATCCTGTGCATGTCAAACAACAGGGTGGCTCACCTCTGAGAGCAATTGCTTATACTTAATATGAATCCAATATGTCAATAGCTACATCATTAACCAAGGGTAAAAAAGGAATCATCTTTATTGCGTGGGTGTGGCCTGGTAAGACTTTGCAATGACAAATGATCAAATAATCTGACCCGAAAACTATGAAACAACGTTAAATCTGCAACGGTCATTTTGAGGGCCGTACTTCCTATTTTGACTCAAAATAAAACACCATTGTTGTTTTCATTTTAGATTTATGGGTTAAGTGCAGACGAAAAAGGTTGGTTCTTATATACAGTCTGTGGTTGGTTCCTGCAAAAAAAAATGCGACGAAGAAGAATCAACTTCCGGCGAGGGATACTATGCCTCACGACGCTGGTGAACGCGCAAGGCAGCTAACTGCATAGTTTATTTAAATTCGCCGAGATTATTCTATAACATTTCGTCGGACTGAGCGAGATGATGACACTGATTATTAATTTTTGCTCTTCTTCGATTTAAACTACGACGGTTGGACCAAAGATAAACTGAACAACGGTGGCATTGTAAAGCTAACAACCGTTAGCTGAAGCAAGCTAGCAATACAAAAAAGAGCCAAGATGGACGGAGCTGCTGCTGCTGCTGATGCCGCCACTGCGGTCAGAGAAGACGGAGCCGGAATGACACCCTCCAATGGAGCTGATGCGTGTGAAGACAGCATGCGTCCGACAACCGTGGACATCGATGAGGGTGAGAATCCAACAACAGACTTCAGTCCAAATACATACCTTTTAGAAGCACAAATATCTGTGACAAATCCTTTTACTCATGCAAAAAAAGACACTAGTGTACAACCGTTTTTGCTCATTTTAATAAATCAATTAATGCTGCACTTGCATTGAATGTGTGGTCATTATGGACCTGATGATCACGTGTTTAGAGGTTGTTTTGGGAAAGTAAGGTCCTTGTAGAGAAACATTTTTATATTTGTTTATCAAAAATTAATTCAGTGTGTGTATTTATATATATATATATATATATATATATATATATATATATATATATATATATATATACACACTCAATGAATTTTTTTTTATATCTATCTATCTATCTATATATATATATATATATATATATATATATATATATATATATATATAAAAATCGAGGGACATTCTTTTGTGAAGGCCTGTGAGCAACATAGAGCAGAATCTAAGGCTACCCCCTTCCTGATCACTTTTTCAAAGCGAGGGCGTTATTACAAAATTTAACTCACTTATGACTTTGAAGGGATATTTCGGTGTAAAATTAAGTTAGGTTAAAAGCTAAAAAGATGTTCGGTGGCTAGTGCTGTGACTGAGACCCTATATGTACTGTTGATGAAGTTAGGTGCTGTTCTGAGCATTATTTGTGGCTGTAGAGTGGCTTTTGGCTGAGCGTATGGCTCTCTGTATTGCTATCTGCGGTCGTTACTAAAGTTGGTATAACTAGAGAAGCAAGCAGTCTGCAACATTCATCTCTCGACGGGGTGTCTAACTTAGTGTTTGATCATGATTTAATTTTATGCCAGAATATCCCTTTAATGTATAGTTTCTGCTTATTATCATGTAAATTGGCATGCCCACATTATAACTGAAATTGAAAGGGCTGCTGTTGTTCTTTGTTGTCATGGCAATACAAAGACTAAAAAGCATGCGTAACCTGTTGTAGAGGGAACAATGAGGATGCCTTTTATTTGAAGTCACAGTTACCACAATGTTGGTTGCATCACTGCTTCAACTGGTTCCACTCCAAGAATATTATGCACTTAACTCTGTGTGCACGTTACTGTCAGTGTGATTTGAAGACAGCAATACTGTCTTTTTTATGGTCTCTTCCACTGGTACTTGTTACACGTGTAACAACAACTGTAGATGTCCCTCATATGGAGCCATTACACACCAGTAAAGATAGTTTGACTGGTGTGGAATGCTGAATTATATTCTTGTTTTAGCAGGTGTATCTAAACTAATGTATCACCTGTCTCAAGCAGCCATGACTGTTAATTGAGTTAACTTTGAAAAAACAATTTAAAAGTTTTTTAATTCTAACAAATTTTTGGGGGAACTTTTTGTTTTCTCAGATGAGGAAAAATCTGAGCTCTTTTGATTTGACAGTGCTAGGATTAGCTACCAGCGCTGAGATATCATTGTTTTCTCACACAACCATAATGTGCTGTACCACACTCTGTTGCAACTGGGGGCTTTGGAATTTATGCTTCACAAAGAAGTGCAACCCGTCTGCAACAACCTCTCAATATTACTGAATGAAGTCTTTTCAAAAGATTCATGAACCTGTACACCATGCATTTCAGCCCCTCTGTAATAAACTTCAAAGCTACTTATAAAAGTGTAACCTTTATTCAAACTGAAAAATAAAGAGTTGATTTGCTCTGTGTTTTGTGATATTTTTAGTCTTATCTTTTGTCACTGGAACTAGGAGAGGCTTTGACCCCCTATTTTCCTATTTTTTAGGGGTTGGGGTTCTCTGCTGTCGGGACTGTGGAGAAGCCTTCAGAGAAGAGGCAGCCTACACGGAGCACTGCCATCAGCACCTTCAAGAAAGCATGTATTTAGACAAACAAACTGATGGTTTCCATGTTGCAGAAAAGGACAGAGAACAGACTGCTGGGACGACAAATCAACAAACCTTTGAATGTCCGGACTGTGGGAAATGTTATGGAGTATTTGGACACTTTCTCAACCATCAGCGTTCACACAGACAAGCCTCCAAATCAGTTTTTCATGACCTTGAACATTTAAAAAAGAAGTCCTTTCAGTGCGAGTCTTGTGGTAGGAGTTATTCTCGAGCTTCGGCTCTTGATGCGCATCGGCGTTGTCATGAGGAAAAATTAGTGAAGGCACGAAACAGAAGTTCAGGGGATGCGTTTCATATCGAGGAGTCAACAGTTGAAGCCAACTCCCCTGAAACCCAGACAGACAGCACTCCAACAAAACTTTTTGAGTGTTCATGTGGTAAAGCATTTCCCGCTCTAATGCGCCTCAAAACGCATCAAAGATTTAGCCGCAACAGTCAGTGCACTCCAGAGGAAATGAAAGAAAAACAAAAGAAAATCTGCGGTGAATTTAACTGCAGTGAGTGCAACAAGACTTTCAGTAGCCATATAGCCCTCTTCAACCATCAGCGATGGCATTCCAAATACTCGAACGATTCAGAGAACAAGTTTCCTTGTGAATTATGTGGGAAGGTATTTATGACTCCTACCTTCTACTACAGGCATCAACGCACTGCACACAGTGATGAGACCCCGTCAAAGTCATTCCTTCACCAAGTATGTCAGCTGCAAAAGAAAGCATTTGAATGTAAAGACTGTGGACTTAAGTTTTCCAGGGCTTCAGCGCTTCATTCTCATCAGCTCCATCACACAGATAATTTCAAAGAAACAGAAGCAGGGGGCCAGACCTCCCTGCCTCCTCAACAGGTCATTCTCATAAGTGAAAGAGAGGACACTGAGCAGGAGCAAGGGCAACCAGAGGATGTGCTTTCCACCAGTATGGCTGAAACAGAATCACCTGGAAATGAGTCTGATGAGGACATCGAGTGTTACGGACCAGGGGACTTTAATGTACAAGTTATAAGTGCCAGTGAATCTGATGACGAGTCTGCTCAAGACCCAAATCCTGATCTGGAGCTGCTGTGTGAATCAGATCAGGAGCAAAGAGATTACTGTGACACTGGAGCGTTCCCCAGCAAAATGCTTTCAAAACCAGAGATGGATTTAAAAATTGTACAAATTGACTTTGATCCAGCAGACATGCAGTGTGCATCTGTAGAGGGAGAGCCTGTGAATAACTTGACTGGGCAAAGATTTGATTGCCCAGATTGTTACCGTTGGTTTAATAGTGCTTCATCTCTGCGTGTTCACAGAATGTGGCATGGCATTCGTAAGAGAAGACACCAGGTTCAAGGTCAGTCAGAGGCAGTTCACACATGCAACATATGTGGCCACGAGGCCAGTAGCTTTGCAGCACACTCCAGTCACATCCAACAACACAAAAATCAAAACACAAACAGTGATGATTTTAACCAAATAGGACCAGAAAAGAAAACTTTGACATGCAGTGAGTGTGGCAAATGCTTCTCACGATTGTCTGCTTTAGTCTCACATCAGCTACATCATCCAAAAAGAAAACAGTTCCAGTGCCCTGATTGCATGATGTCGTATTCCTATGCTGCGAGCCTGTATAATCACATGAAAAACTGCTCAGCAAAACAGAGAGAGAATTTTTCTGTCACAAAAAAAGAATACAATCCAAAGAAAACCCTTCTAGGCCCAAAGATTTATCACTGTGAGCAGTGCGGGAAGGGATTTTGGTCTCTGGGAGCCTACTCACATCACAAGCAAAACCAAACTCACTGTGTAGATTTGAGGCTCAGGAAAGGTGTTGTAGGGTCTCTGCAGGTGGCTAATGGACACCCCCGCTCCAGTATCAAGGTTGCTTGTCCAGTGTGTGGTAGAAAGTTTCGCCACAAGGGCATTATGGCATTGCATATGCGAAAACATGAAAATGGAAATCACAAATGTGAACTCTGTAACAGGTCATTTCGGCTTTTCTCCAGCCTCCTTAGACACCAGGTAGTTCACAGTGACCAGTTACTTCCTCCTCCTGTTAAGTCTTTCCAGTATCAGGTGGAGCAGTTGAAAAAGAACACATACAGTTGTCCTGACTGTGGAAAGCTATTTTCACAGGCCAAAGCACTCCAGTTTCACATGAAAAGCCACGGGTATGAGACTTGCCACTCGCCATCTTCCCCTCGATCCTCTGTTTCTCTAGAGGATCTCCAGTGTGCAACATGTCTCGCACATTTCAACAGTAAGGCCTCTTTGAGGGCTCATCAAAAACTTTGCATCAAAAGAGACCGAGAGGCTGTTGATTGCAAAATAGAGCCCTCAGAAAGTGATGTTACTAAATTACCCAATTGCAGCATGGGGTTCAGCACACAGCAAACCGTAGGGCAAATAACTGATAGAGAAGTTAAGCATGAAATGAACAGTGAGGAGCAACAGACGAGGAATGAAACGGGCGTTGGCAACTTAAAACACTTAAAAACAACAAATTTGAAATACAAATGCAAAAAGTGTGACAGAAGCTTTTCAGTGGTTGGAGCTTTAAATTTTCACAAACGAATTCACGCAGAAAGTTACAAACCTGTAGTAAAATCAAAACTCTCAATGATGCTCAAGAAATCTAAACAGGAAGACTCAACTAAAGGACCGTTTCACTGCCCAGAGTGTGGGAGGCGATTCATGTCAAACTCTGCACTCGGCTCCCACAAAAGATGGCATAAGGAAAAGAAACTTTCACGGTCCTCGCCAAAAGACGATGATTTGAAATCTATTGGCACCAAAACCGAGGGCGGACCTTTTCATTGCAGCAAATGCGGCAAACAGTTTTTTAATCATTGTGTTCTACAACGCCACCAGGTGTTTAACCCGCAGTGTCAGACAAAACCTGAGCCAGAGCCTAATTTGGACAACAGTAGCACAATGAAAACGTCTAAATTTCCATGTCTAGAGTGTAAAAGTACATTTACACAACATTCACTGCTAGCTGCTCACTGTAAAAATGAGCACGGTAAGACTTTGACAGCTGTGCCTCTTCAAGGAGATCATCTTAGCTTGGTTGAGCAGGTCCAAGATCAGGTGGATGTGAGCGTTAAGAAGAGTGCGTCCAAGCTATCGAATGTGAGGCACAGAGCTCACCAGTGTCCCCTCTGCCCTTTGGTGTTCTCCAAAGCAAGAGGTCTGCGTGCTCACAGATGGCAGGTTCACTCGAAGAGCACACAAAGCAAGAAAAAAGCCATTTTGGATATAAAGAAGCCTGCTGCCTTCAGTGAGGAAGTTGAGGAAACAGAAGATTCATCAGAAAACGCTACAGTGACTGCAGGAACCAACCCCGTCAGGATAGTGGAGAAGAAAACCAGTTTAGACTCCTCCCCTGTGAAATCGGTCTCTTGCCTTAACAGTGTGAAGCAGAGTAGTCCTGCAGGCACGCTCCTTGACCACAAGAAAACGGGCCTGGAGGTAAAGCATGGATCCAAGCAGGAGATCCAAACTCCTGACACCAACACAGACATTTCCCCACCTGTCAGCCGTGTGTCAGAGCATACAGCTAAATGTCTCTTTAAATGTGATAAGTGTGGGAAAGCTTTCCCGACAGAGGAACAGCTAGGGAGCCATAAGATCAAGGCAAAGAGCCGGCCTTATTGTTGCGCCCTCTGCTGCCAAGGCTTTTGGACTGAGAACCAGCTGCAGCAACACCTCGCTTGGCATGACGAAGTCCGCTGTCGTCTCCCAAATGAGGTCCGCTACAGGCTCAGTGCTGCTTTGACCTCAAAGCCTCTGAAGCCCATCATGCCCTCTGCTGACACCAAAGGGAAGTCCTCTCCCACAAAAGCTGACGGCCTGTTACAAAACAACCATAAGTGCCAACACTGTGGCAAAGCCTTTCTTTCACCATCCGTGTTACAGAAACATGAAGCCCAGCATTGTAACAATGACTCATATCACTGCTCCATTTGTCTCAGGACCTTCAGTGAAATACAGGACCTGATCAATCACCACCAGGAATGTATTGGCGATTATAAGAGGCAGATTGATGCCCCTGCTGCTGCCTCATCAGGAGATGCCGCCAGTCTTTTTTGCCTTGAATGTGGAACTACTTTTTGTCAAGAAACTGATTTGCACCAGCACAATACTGAACATGCCCGTTGAGTGGTTTAGACTGAAGTGCCCGCAAAGGACTGCGATGAGAAGAAGACGCTGTAGATTGTAGATTTTAATTTAGAGTTTGCCAAACTACTTAAACGTGGTAAAGTTCTGTTTATTCAGTAGCGACAGGCTCTCTGTATTGCTAATATATTCAGGAGTCTTGATGTTTAGAAGTTGAATTTCTTACCCAGGGTTTTATCCTACACTGGATTAGCATGTACAAATGTTAAAGAGAAGCTTTTCTGAACCTGTGTGAAGATGTGGTAATTGGACAGCTCTTGCCGTCATGTAATGCACACTTGTTAAAATGGATCTCTTGTTTATCTCAAGGATCACAGGCTGATGAATGGTAGTTCATAAATGTGAAAAACAAGACTAACCAACGTTTATACACGTAACCAATTTCTAGAGTTTTGAAAATATCTACGTTTTGCAAAGCTTATGAAGAAAATGAAACAGTTAAGCACAAAAGTGTGCATGCATTTTTCTGGTATCATCTTAGTTAAATGAGGTTTTGCCGAATAACGTTTTTAGTTCTGATTTCAGAGAGAAGATATGAATTTCAGTAATGTGTAGCACTGATGCAAATTGCTTAAGGAATGTGCTGATGTTTAAAAACTATAGCCTGTAAACAGCTAAAAACACATTTCCCAAACAAGTGCTTGTATGATGTGAGCAACATGTTTAGTGTTTGTAAAAGCTGCCATGTTTAATTTTTCGCTCAATGTTGTGAGAAAACTATACAGTGCTAAAAACTGAGCTAATGTTTTCCTGTAGAAGAGTTGTTAATGTGGAGTTATACAGTGAAAAATAATATTAGAAAAGGAGATGTTACTTTGATATATTAATATTTAATTTATGTAGATGACTAACAACCAGTAGTAGACTACTTGTTGAACTTGCTGTATTTCAAACCAAGAAGATGTTCTTCAAAATAAGAAATAAAAAGATAAATTTTTGCTAAAAGTTTTGATTTGCTTGATTAATTTAGTCCTAGTTAAACTGATGGGTCTGGTTTGGTGATATTTCTTTATCCTGAATGACACTCTTGTACTGACCAGTTGGTACAGACATGTTTTTTTTTATTTTTATTATCATTATTATTATTATTATTTTTATCAGGCCATGCGCATTAAAGCTCTGTTACACTCAAAAATAGATGTAATTATGCTACCGGAAAAAAATCTATAAACACAAATTATGGCTTTTCAAATCTTAAGCTTAGATATTGACACAAATGTATACCCAGTACTGCTAATGTGCAGTGAGTGTGAAATGGCAACATTCAGGGAACGTTTGAATGAAAATGTCATTTTTCTTCAGTGTCTTTCATTCACGAATCATTTGCCTGTTCCCTGATATGATTATTTAATGTGTTGATTAAAAAAAACTTCATTAACACTAAATTCTTAATTTTTTAAATAACTTTATTAACACTAACCTTTAATTTAATGATATGCAGACAATCTAAAGATCAGTCCAACACACTGAACAGTCCTAACGCCATTGTTGTTTGAGTTAAAGGCTACATGGCTGATTCACAGTCACTCAACTTACCTTTGGTACATTAAAACAAGGTTATTTAGTCGCTCTTAGCCCACTCTGCCAACTCTTGTTTCACCTGCTGCAGCTCGACTTCAGTTACTTCACTAGTAGGAACAGCACTGACGTATTTCCACTGGAACATTAAAGTGTACTATCACTGATACTTTTCCTGATAGATTTGCTAGTTTATTTTCAAATCTTGATGAAAATACATCAAATAAAATGGCAGAATGATGTTAATCAGCTGAAATATATATTTTCTCTTTTTTTTGCAGTTAAACGGGGCAGGTTTCTGTGTACTGATTGTGGGGTGAAATTTTCCAACCTGGCGGTCTTTGAGGCTCACATGCATCAGCATGCTCTGGAGGTAAAGAGGATGACGGAAGAGGAAGCTGAGAAGGAAGAGAATAGAAGTTCTGCTGTACATCTGAACTTCAACAATGTGGACGATGTTGAAGACACAGGTGGTGATGAACATTTGTCTACCCTGAGCAGCCCAGAGGAAACAACCCCCCCAGGCTCTTTAAATGTTGGAAGTGGCCAACTGTCAATGAAATCAAATGATCATTCTTGTGAGATCTGTGGTAAAGTTTACAAGTACCTGAGTTCATTCACAAAGCACATGCAGCAGCACGGTTATCTGGAACCTGTTCATAAATTAAACCCCAAATCATCCAAGTACGAGTGTCCAGACTGTGGGATGAGGTTTGTGAGGAAGGCACGGCTTTGTGGGCACATGAGAATTCACAAGTCACGTGGACCAGTTAACTTGGAATCTCTCAAGTGTGATCAGTGTAACAAAACGTTTGCCAGTGAAAAGTCATGGATGACTCACATTGAGCTCCATAAATTGAAACCATTTTGGTGTCTGAGTTGTGCCAAAGGGTTTTTCAGTGAGGATTCACTGGAGAAACATCTGCTGAATCATGATCTGAGAAAGTATAGCTGTAATATTTGCAGCAAGAGCTTTCGTCTGCACACACAGCTTATGCATCATCTCAACACCCACACTGGAGCAAAACCTTTCCAATGCACAGTCTGTGGGACATCTTTTTCCCACCCTGGGAATCTAATATCTCACAGAAAAAAGCATGTCAGAGTTTATGCTGGATCTGCTGGGATGCCTCTGGGGATGAAGAGATCTGCAATCATTGCAAAGAAGCTAGAGATTAAAAAGCAGAGACTAGCTTCAGCCAGCGCCACTGAGGAAACGGATGCAAACATGAGTGAGCTGCAAGAGGAGAGAGATTGGATGGAGGAGAGCAGAACTAAAAATACTCATGTCAATGCTGAGTTTGGGGACAGTGCACAACATGATGACATGACCGCTAGGGAGCTTCTACGTCTTGGCAAGATATCAAAGCCACAGGTCACTGATGCATTGAGATCAGCGATGTTGCAGACACAACCTGGACAGCAGCTTGACCAGACGGACACACCAGACACAATCATGTTTGAAGAGCACAAGTATTGGGAATGGGAGTGTTGCTTATGTGAGATGGGCTTCGATGAAGTGGCAGAGCTGCATATGCATTATATAAAACATGCTTCTGGGGAGTTGCCTGTTCCACATGACGTTTTATGAGAGTTCTCAAGTTAAATATTTTCTATCGAGGTGTTCAGGGATAATTAACATAACTTGAATTCATGTCTATTGTAAAGTGTCCTTAGAGTTTCAAATATTAATGTGTTAATAGTATCTAAAACAGAGGGAAGGTCAACAGTCTGGTGTAATGAGATTGTTTCCAAGGTTTTCTTCTGTATTTTGTAACTTAGATGAAATGATCATGTGCCAGAGTGACTAACTGAATGTAAATCCATGGTCTATTTCTTTAACCCAATAAAATTCGTTGCATGAAAGCTTGGTGTTTTTCTTTCTGTCCTCTGGAAAAATTACAAATTGTATTTTGTATGAGATCTTGAGGATGTACCATCAGTGTGTGAATGGGTGACTATGACATGTAATGTAGAAGCTCTTTGAGTGGGTGGAAGACTAAATAAAGTGCTATGTAAGCACAATCCATTTACCAAAAATTAGGACAGGGGCATAGATACTGTGCATTGTCTCCTCTATTAATAACATGAAAGTTTGGGAATTGAGATTAGTTTCTTGAGTTGTGGACAGGGAATTTTTGTCCCATTTTCCCCTCAAACAGGATTTCAGCTTTTTAACAGTCCTGGGTTTCCTTTGTTGTATTTTTCATTTTATGGTATGGTAAATGCTTTTAAAGAGTAACAAGCCTGCATGTGAGCTGATTTAATGCCTTCACACTTCTACAACAGAGCCATGCTGCCGTAATATACGCATAATGTGGTTTGGCGTTGTCTTGCTGAAATTTGTTTTTCTCCAAGAAAGGCATTGTCTTAAGGCAGCTTTGCTGTTCCAAAACCTGTAACAGAACAAATTGCAACCAAAATGTACTCTCCAATTTTTACAGTTACTTATAAATACTGATGGCGCCGAAGATCAATATTAACAAGAAGAAACAGGGGTCTATATCACACAGTTATATTTCTCTAACAAAAACACACAGGGAGGTGGCTTTCAGTTTCTATGATCCCCGGTTGTGGAACAGCCTGTCAGAGAGCATCAGGGCCGCAGAGACTGTTGAGGTTTTTAAGAAGAGGCTCAAGACTTAACCAGGCTTTTCACTAACTGCCTTAATTTTTATATTTTTCTTATTGCAAATGTTCATTTTAATCAAAGTTCTTATTGTTTATTTTATGTCATTTTATTAATTATCTCTGCTCTTTGTCTTTTTCTTAATTCCTGTCATAGGTTTTTACTTCTTTTACATGGTAAAGAGCCCTTACTTATCTGCTCTTTTAATATTATTGTCTTGTTAATTGCTGTTTGTAGCCTCTGTGAGGCACTTTGAACTGCATTTTTGTCTGAAAAGTGCCATAAAAAAACGTTGAATTTGAATTTGATCAAACAGAATTATACAATCCTTTTACAGTCTATGGTTAATTCAGACAAAGTGATGAGAGGAGTAAAAAAGTGAAGGTCTTTTAAATAGTTTTGAGCGGTAGATGGCGCTGTGAACCTTGTAAATTTCGCCCGTAATATCAAGAAGACGAAGAAGAAGAGCAAGCATCTGTAGGAGAAGAAGACGATTGTGGACTGTCAACATTCAGGGAAAAGCTCATTATATTTGCAGTAGATGGTGACTTTTATCAAATGTTATAGACGACCATGCAAAGTTAAACACAAGCCAACACTGGACCAAACCCTCGATCCTTAGACCTGCAGCTGGAGATCAGAAGCGAAGCCCAGCCAACTCAGTGTAAAGCAAAAGTCCAACCGGGGACGAGGATGGACCCACCGATGATGGACACGTCCGAGACACCTCTCATCCCTGCCACACGTGAGTACTTCACTGTCTGTTTGTGTTATTCTGTGTTAAACTTAATCCAGCAAGACTTTCTCTGTTCAGGTAAGAACATAATTTATGGACTTGCCTTTATCTTATATAAATATTACAAACACAAGCCCGAACATGAAGAAATGTAACACACGGGGTTTGTTTATTCTTCAATAAGTTTCAAGCTTATACCAAAGCCCTCAAAGTCATGGAAAACCAATGCAGCAAAACTTCCCAACAATGCAGAATAATTATATCCCAAAGGCGATGCATTTATTAAAGAATCAAATTGATTGGCGATTAATGAAGCTATTTAATTTGTTTTTCTCTCCTACCAGTTGTTTTTGTTTTTAAGCACACTTATGAGCTCTCTCTTCAGTCCAGACTGAAGTTGGTGAAGAAAAAAATTTAACTAACCCTGGGATTTCTAAGTAATGGACATTTTCACACACAGATCTGAAAAGAGTTTTATACTGCATCAATGAATAGCACAGCTTCAACATTTGAAATTTCTAAATGATAATTAACATATTTGACTCATCCCTACTGTCTACTTTTGATTGAATATTACTTTATGAATGAATGAATTGGTGACCAAACAAACAAACCACAAATGTTAATCTAAGTGGCTGTAGAAATGGTTGAATTTGTTTCAGTTTTATTTTGTTTGGAAAAAGATTTTATCCAAAGCTACTTTTATTTTCTAGTGTCAAAGTTTGTTTGTTTGTTTTCTTCTGCTTTTCCGGGCTGGGTCGCGGGGGCAATAGCTTCAGCAGGGAAGCCCAGATAGCCCTCACCCAAGCCACTTCCACCAGCTCCTCTAGGGGGCATTCCTAGGTGCTCCCAGGCCAGGCGAGAGATATAATCCCTCTTCCTGGTCCTGGGCAGGCCACAAGGTCTACTCCTGGTGGGACATGTCTGGAACACCTCTTACGGGAGGCATCCAGAAGGCATCCTCACCAGATGCCCGAGCGACCTCAGCTGACTCCTCTCGACATGGAGGAGCAGCAGCTCTACTCTGTGCGCCTCTTGAGTGTCTGAGATCCTTACTCTATCTAAGGCTGAGCCCGGCCACCCTGCAGGGGAAACCCATTTCGGTGCCTTGTATCCCCGATCTTGTTCTTTCGGTCATGACCCAAAGTTTATGACCATAGGTGAGGGCTGGCACGTAGATCAGCCGGTAAATCGAGAGTCTCACCTTCGTGTCAAAGTGTTTTATATAAAGACTTTGTTTGCCCTCAGTGTTTGCCTCTGTTCTGATAATATGGATTTAGTGCATGACATGTAAACCTCCCTCCTCTCTTTTAGCACACCCGCTCCCTAGGCAGTGCCTCAAGTGCCACATAATCTTCTGTACCGACAAGAAACTACAGCGACATATGAAGGTGACCCACCCAGCGGAATATGAACAATCCATGCTGAGGAATTCCATTTTCATCTGTTACATTTGTGGCCACCATTTCTCAAACTCCGCCGAGCTCAAGGCCCACCAGAACGCCCACACAGAGAAGAAACCCTACAAATGTCAGATCTGTGGCCAGGCCTTTAGTAGACCATTCCAGCTCACCAGTCATCAAAAAAGTCATTTGGATGAAGATGGTTACCCATGTGCTGACTGTGGGAAAGTTTGCAGAACGATGCTATTGTTAAAGGATCACCGCCACTCACGTAGTAAGAAGACTTCTTTATCGCAATTGTTTCAACTAGTTTTTTAATTGTTGTTGTTGAAAATAGACAACTAAGCATGTATGTATATATCAATTTTGCAAACTGTTTTTCTTTTTTCTGTGTTAGTAGGTTGTTCCAAAGACTGTCTTTGCTCTATATGCAACACCAGCTTCAAGAGCACCAAAACATTGCTCAAACACATTAAACTAAGGCACGCTTCGCTGGTTTCTGCAGCCATTAGGGATCTTCCTGCTGGACACCAATTAAAAGGACTTCTCACTAAATTTTCACAGCAGGGAGCTATTATGGACAAAGAGCAGATTCGCAGGCTCACAGACTTTTTAGTGGACATGCAAAAAGTGAACAGTGTTGTCAAACTGGAGCAGGTTCCACATCATTCTCCACCACTGGAAATGCAGCAAATACCACAACTAACAGAGAGGGGGAATTTGAACCTCAATCCACCACAAATAGATTCATATCAAGAACCATCTGATCATAAGCCATGGTCAAAGAATCACCCACAGGATGAGAGGGATGACTCTGCATTAGTCAAAGAGACGGTTCACCAAAATGAATCACAAGGAATCTGCATATCAGAGGTGAGAAGCATTGGAAAACCTCCTGGACGAGGAACTGATAAAACAACCGACGAAGCTCCAACTTTGCAGATTATTTCATACTGCTCTCTGCGAGAAGAACCAGTTTCCACAGACGTGAAAGAGGAGGTGAACAAAAAAGAAATAAAGGTTGAAGAAGGATACGACATTGACAAGTCTTTAGATGTAACTCTTAAGAATGTCCACAGCTCTTCACCTAAACAAACTGTTGACAACAAGTTGTACCTGAAGACGGTAAAGAACAAATAAAGAGATTTGCACCATTTAATGCCACACAGTAAAGATCAGTATAGATTTGACCTTTATCAACTGACATTTGCCTTGTTTTTAGTGTTTGAACACCGCTGCTGAGAGTGAAGTACAGCTCCTCAAGAGGGAGGAGATCAAAGTTGAAGAGATTATCTTTGATCCACCACTGGCTGGACCAGCATGTCAGAGCAAAGAGCATACAGGTATGCAACCACAGCACTATGGGATATAAGGACAGTCCTGGCGAAAGAGGAGTGCTTAAGCAAAATGAGACTCAGGTCACAGATAGTAGTAGTGTCAACTGGATTGTGGAGCTAGATAATACTGTAAAACACCTCCAGTTCAGGTAAGTATTTGATCACTATGCAGCTCAGAGTAAAAAAGATAAAGAGAGTATTTTGAGATCTGGCAAATGCGTCTGGTCTAGTACCCCACACCTGCTATTAGCGTGCATTTTGCTCAAGTGTTTACGATTTTATAATGATAAAGGATACTTCCTTTCCAGAACAGTTTAAAAAATGAAGATTTAACGGCTGAACAGCAGGGACCAGATATAGGCAGTATGTCAGGGAGTGCTGTTCTCCCATTAGCATTCAAAATGACTGTGTTATTAAAGTATTAAATCAGAGTATGATACTAGTTACCACAGCAGTGCCCTGTACGAAAAAGGTTCTTGGATAGATTGTATGGAAATTTCAGAAGGACCATGAAGATAAAGCTGAATAAATTGAGAGGCATATTAGTGTCCAGAGGGAAGGTATATCTATTAGGGGAAAATCGATGACTTGTTTTGGTAGGTGGTTAATGGAGACCTGAACAACAGTGAACAGAGATCGACTTAGTAGCATCACTTCTACAGTTGATGCAACCACTGTCAAATTAAGAAATGCTGATGAGGTGGAAATGCTTGGAGGGTTGTCTAATTAGTGTATCAGAAAATGGTTAGACACTCTCAAATGTCAAGGAAATGTATTAGAAAAGGTCTATTCCAATCACCCATTGCTAATTTGACAGGGGAGTTAAATCATGGAAATGCCAGATCAGCATTTGTGTTAATTCAACAATAAAGTAGAAATGGAGTCTTGCAGTAAAGGAAGTAAAGGCAGCTCTTAGGCATACAGAGATCATTCACTCGAGTACTCACTCACTCACAACTGTTGCTATTCAGAGTGACCACTTAACCCGACAGGCATGGTTTGAGACTGTGGAAAGAAACCATAGTATCAGTCGAGAACCCATGTTTTCTCATGCAAAGGGAGAACATGCAAATTCCACACTGAAGGGCCTTTCTTCGTCAGTGATAACTTCAGAGGTCTGCCAGTTAGAAAATACAGTAAATGAAATGGCAATTCTGTGTTATGTGAATGATCTTAGTTTTTTGTTATGTTTTTTCAGGCGAACTGGACAGTCCTGCATTTACTGATTGTAAACTGGAATTTACAGACTGGGAGGTCTTGAGGACTCACCTGCACCAGAATGCTCCAAAAAAGGAAGAAGAAGAAGCTGAGAAAGGAGAGAACGAGAAACCTGCAGAACAAATGGACTTAAGGAAAGTGGAAGGTGAAGGCAATATAAAGGAAGATGTTAGTGGTGATGAAAACAAGTCTACCACGAGCAGTTCAAACCCCTCAGGCTTAACACTTGAAAATGGAGGAGTTTTGTCAAAGAGGGGATGTTATTCTTGTTTTTTGTGTGGTAAATTTTATAAATACCTGGGTTCATTCATGAAGCACCAGGAGCAGCACAACAAACAAATGTTAAAATATCAATGTACAAAGTGTAGGAAGGCATTCAACAGGAAATCACAGCTACTTGATCACATGAAAGTTCACAGGTCACGTAGTTCTCAGGTGGATCAGCAAACTTGAAATCTCTCAATGTGATCAGTAGAATAAAAGCTTTGCCACAGACAGATCATGAATAGCTCACATAAAGCTCCATAAACTGAAACCTTTTTGGTGTATGACTTGTGCCAAAAGGGTTTTTCTATGAACAGGCACTAAGTAAATACCTGCTGAATCACATCTGAGGAAACATACCTGCAGAACTACAGGAAGAACTTCTGTCTGCACTTGACGTCATCCACACCATAGCAAAACCTTTCCATGATACTACCTACTCTACCACATGGCCACTGGTGGCTCCTACAATCCTGAATGCAGCAGACAAGAGTCTGCAGCAAGACGTGTCAAGAGGACAGGAAAGGCAGAGCCTATTTGAGCTAGAGGCCATATTTGCTAGGCTGTCCACTTAACCTATCCCCACTGCCTAATTTTCAGAAGGGATGAGAGGAGAGAGGCCAGAGAAAGAAACAAGACAGGCAATGAACATGAGCTCTTGTTTTTGTTTTGGTCCACATCCAGACTCAGAGGCTTGTCTTAACTGCTTCATCTGACATTTCCATCGCAGTCTTTAGCAAACTTATTTTCTGTTCATTTGTAAAACATATTATATGTTGTGCTTACATTTTAAAATCTTTGTCTTTAACACATAAGGACAAATATTGTTTTGTGATTAACAGTATGTACAACAGAGGGAGTCTCAACAGAGACACAGTGAGATTATTTCACAGGTTTTCTGTTCTGTATTTTGTAAATAAGATGATACGGTCATGCGCAAAAGTGACCCACTTAAAAAGAATCTACCTCTATTTTTGAAAATCAATAAAATTGTGCCTTGTGTTTTTTGTGTCCATGGAAAAAATTATGCATCTTAGTTGTTTTCAGTGTCACTCTGACAAAGGTCCTTTGCTCTTCACCGAAATCAACTGATGGACACCAGGAAGGTGGATGATGGTGAAAACATTCATAACAAAAAGAGAGGTGAAAACTTGTGCCAAAGGGTTTTACAGTGAGGGTCCACAGGAGAAACACTTGCTAAATCACAACCTGAGAAAACATAGCTGTAGTATTTGCCGCAGGAGCTTTTATCTACACACTCTGCTTTTCACCACCTCAACACCCACACTGAAGTGAAACCTCTCTGTGCACTGTCCTTGGGACAGCCTTTGCTCATCTTGTAGGGGAGAGTGGGGTAAGATGAGACATTTTTCATATTTCGGATCACTACATCAAGGCAATCATAGTTTTGTCTCTAACTAGTGTATCTGCATATATTTCAAGATGTTGTGCATCCCTGCAAACCAACAGAATGAGTGTAAACATAACTGTCTTGATAATATAGCATACCCCACACAACTCCATGTATGGGGTAAGTTGAGCCCATGTATGGGGTAAATTGAGCTATATATACCCCTCCACTGTCCACCCCAACCCTCCCTCACCTTCTCTCTCCTTAAATAACAGTCACTTCTTCACATTAATGTGTAATTTATCTATTATATGCTATTCAACTGGTACAATTATTATTATTATTATTATTATTGCATATAACTGCTAAAAAGCTGTTTTGTAAAAAGCTATTTTAACATGAGAATGCCTTTAAGTGATTCAGAACATTCACAGCTGTATTTTTGAAAAGAAAAAGTAACACATTTCAACAATCTGAACTGAAACTCTGATCCTCTCATCAGACTTCTTTACTTTCTCAGTTGAGCCACTGGCTCATCTTACCCCAGAACTACTATAATGACTTTATTGGTCCTTTAAGCTAAAATTGTGGACTTTTATACTAAGTTTTTGACCACATGTTGTAGCTCATAGATACCACAATTGATGAATAAAACAAATTTAAAATGATCTTTTTTGGTCTGAACAATTCTAACAAAACTTATGACAGACTAAATTCACTTTCAAGAGTGACAAATGGTTTTTTTTGGGAATAAATGTCTAACCTCTTCACCCATGTGCTTCTCACCTTCACAGACTCCATGAATTGATACCCATCTCCGAAATATTTGGTCACATGATCAATTTCTTTTACCATTTCCAAGCAACAGGAGGTGGCTCAATTTACCCCATTCTCCCCCATATTTGTTTTAATGCCCAAAATTCCCTGCACGTTTTTGAATAACTTTTCTTAAAAGCTTGGCTTTGAATTGTACATTTGCGAGGAAATACTGAACTTAGTGCTTTTAATATATCTTACATTCCCTAAAAGAGTTTCACCTTTTTTGCAAACAAAAGTACACAAAATAAATTCGCAAGGGCATACAGTTTATGAGTTTATATCAGCGAAAGTATTAGTTAGTTAGCATTAGTTATAGTTCATCACTTTTAATCTTAAAAGAAATAAAGTAACTCTTGACCGAAAACACGGAGAAATTTGACAACCGAAGACAGATCTCGAAACCACAATTCCCATGATCCTTCTGCGGCCGTTGCCAGACGTGACGTCAGGGCGCGTACAGCTGCTCTGTGATGCTTTGTGCTCAGCGACGCAGAGATGTTTGGGCCGACGCATCAGCATAGGTAACGTGAAATGTTCATTCTCCTGCTGTCATGAAAGAATATGATTGTCTGAGCAACCCGGGGCCGATGAGAGAGAACTGATATGCAGCATATTAGTTTCATGAACGAAATGGAAATGCTAACATTTTCGGCTCGTTTCATCCCGAAACAGTGGATTTGGGCTAGCTCAGCGGGCTGCTATTATCTTTGTATCTGCCGTTGGGATAAAGGAATTGTTACAGGAGATTAAAAACATGTTTAGCGACAGGTCTGTGTTTATAAAAATGGAAATGATGGTTATATTGAAGGATAAATTTGCCTTTCACGTCTACCCTCGACTGCGGTCCTCTCTTTGTGATTGAAATACTTTGAATTCATTCATTCTGTTCTCTCTGCCAAATTAATGAAAAAGATACACCAAACTGGTATTTGAACACCGAAAAGGAAAAATGTAATTATTATTATTATTTTCAATATTATTAATATTATTTAGGCTGCTGAATTCAATTGATTCTCAAAATTTATTGTATGTGTTCAAGCTGTGCCATAGACCCATGTTAACAGTTCATTTGAGGAGCCAAGAGACCGAGAGCCATGCAGAGTCAGACCCTGGAAAACAGTGGACCAAACCCTGTGACCACAGCAACAGCAGAGCTTCAACTAGACACCCAGAGTGAAGCCCAGCCAGAACAAAGTGAACCAAATGCAGGAGAGGCAGAGGAAAGATCTGCTGGTTCTGCTCAGACTGAAAAACCAGTGAGGCTGCATGAAAATGGAACAGAAACACAAACTGCGCTTACACATACAGGTGTGGTAATCACACAAGCTGAGCTAAATGAACCTGCTGCTCAGCCAATCACTGAGCCTTCAGATGGAACCAACGGGATGGAGACTTCACAACCAGGTGCCGCCACTGAACCTGTAGCTGATAACACTACAAGTCCTGAGCGTGATGGGCAAAAGTCAAAGAAAAAAGATCAACGTGCAAATGATGGAAGGAAGTATGTTCCCTCGAAAAAGGCAATGATTGATCCATTAAAAATGGACATGACCAAGCTCCCCGACACTCCTCTTACATGTGAGTATTTTACCCATGTATTTTTTTTAGTGCATGTCATTATGTGTTATACGTACAGTCTAATCCAGCAAAACTAGTCTACCAAATATTTTTATTGCTAACTATCAAAAAATGTTGTGAACTCTACAGTTATTTTGCAGTCCTCAGTAAAAAGTACTTCTATGATTAGTTTTCCTGTAAAGATAAACTATTGAGTTTCTTTAAACTTGTACAGCTGGCTTCTTGTGTTCATTAGCAGCCAAACAAAAAGGAGATCAGAGTTGAACCACTGTTTTGGGCGGGCCAATCACATCTTTTATACAATTTGTCTTAAGAAAAGTTTGTGTGGTCTGTTTTTTGGTCTCTAAAGTGTTTCTTCTTATTACATATCGTTTTTACACTGTTAAATGCAGCATAATGCTGTTATGAGTAAGCTGTATGTAAAGTCTCCTTTTTGTTTCTGTAGGGACAAACATTGTTTCTAGCTGTCCTCCTGAGATTCCAGAGTCAAGTTTTTCTTATGCAAACCTTTTAATTTTGGAGCGTTTGCCTCTGTACTGACATGTAACCATCTCCCCTTTCTTGTAGCATTGCAGCTTTCCACACAGTGCCTCGAGTGCCACATTATCTTCAGCGACGCTAAGAGTAAAGAGCGTCATGTAAAGATGAGCCACCCTGCAGAATACGAACAATGCATACTAAGGAATTCTCTTTTTGCCTGTTATGTTTGTGAGCGCCACTTCTCAAACTCCACGGAGCTTATGGCCCACCAGAAGGCCCACACAGAGAAGAAACCCTTCAAGTGTCTGATCTGCAGCCTTGCCTTCAGAAAATCATCAGAGCTCACCAAACATAAGAAAATTCATTTTGGACAGGATGGTTATCCATGCACTGATTGTGGAAAACCTTGCAAAACAATGACATTGTTGAAGTATCACTGCCGCACACACACTGGAGAAAAACCGTATATTTGCAAGGAGTGTGGAAGGAGATTTTCCATGTCCAAATCTCTACAGAAACATGAACAGTCACATTTGACAGAAGGGGCTGAGGGAGGTGAAGGGAACGTATCAGATAAAGTACAACGAAAGAAAGATGGTGGTAAGAAAATGTCTGCATTACATTTATGTTTAATGTAACATGTTAAAAAATATGATCTTGTTTTTGCCTTGCTGCCAACTAAAGACATAAAAAGTGGACCCAAAATATTGATTTAAAGATAATTTATTTTATTTGGGAATTAAATAAAAAGTGTGTCCAAGTCCCCTAGAACTTCCCTGACAACAAATTCTTCGGCTTCCTCAAGAAACACATCAACATTTGAGCTGTGATTTAAATTAATGGCCAAGTGAAAACATTAGCTTGCTTATTTGTTGTAATTTACATTTAGCAGAACATTTACATTGAGGGTAATGTTAAATAAGGTGAATGGGAATTGTGCAAAAGTAATTAAACTGACCTTTCAGCCCTCCTTCATGGAGCTTTGCCATTGAAACACCTTTAAACATGAAAGAGGAAAATGTCACAACCTGTAATATTGTTGCTATTATCACTCCTGCTTGAGTTTCAGCTAACTCGTAGGGGTTGGTAACTAGAGATGCACTCACCAGCTCTGCAGCAGTTGTCTTTGCACAAAACAATGTTACGCAGGAAATGGTTCAGGCACCACCATACTTTCAAGGTGCGTGGAGAAGAAAGAGAAGTCTAAAAGGGTTAAACTCCAGTTACACATCCAGTCAGATTCAGACAACTTTATTTTTGTATTAATGTGCTTCAGCCTGTGGCTTTCCTCAGGGTCACGAATGACCAATGATCAAAAATTTTATTTTTCAATATTATGCCTGATGTGATGAGGACCACATCGGGTGCTTGCTCCACCAACTGAGCACTCCTGAAAATACTCCTAATCTAAAGAGCAAACTGAAACTAACATTTTTGCCAGTGTCAACAAGCAGAGATGAAATGTGTCTCTGCTGTACTCTTTTCTTTGATTGATTGGTATGTGAAAGCAAGTTGGCACAGCTTTGACCATTTCAAAATTAATCACTGTGATTACAAGGTTTTGACCAATCAGATTTAAGTAGTTAATACAGCTATATATCTGCTATCAGAACCGGCACACGTTACCTCTTTCAAATGGCGTATGAGTCTTAATCTGTGTGCAGTGTTTACTCTACTAAAATTTCTTAACAACACATCAAGTACAGTGTTATGAAAGTTTGCAGAGACATTGAAAATTCATGCCTTGCAGTATTAAGAAAACATCACAATGCAATAACTTTTTTTTCTTTTGCTATTTTAGGGGAGTCTAAAAGCTATCCTTGTTCCGTGTGCAACATGACTTTCAAGAGTAACAAGACACGGCAGCATCACATGAAAACCAAACATACTTTGCCTGCTGCTGCGGGTAAGGCTTTTCCTGCTGGACACCAAGTCGTACAGAGAACACCCATCATTACTCCAATAGCTATATCCCAACCCACACTGTTACAGCTGGAAGCCAATGGACCCCTACAAAAAGTTGATGCCAATATTGACACTGAACAGATACGCAGACTTATTGAATCTTTGGGAAATGTGCAGAAAGTGAACCAAGTTGTCATACTGGGGCAGGTGCCACCTCATGCTCCACCACTTGAAGTGCAGCAAATGCCACAACTAACAGAGTGTGTGAATTTGAACCTCAATCCACCACAAATAGATTTTATGGGTCTGAAACAGCCTGAGTGCAAGTCCGTTGAACTGGATCCCTTAAACAACCCCTGTGACCCTATGGAACAAACAATTATACTGGAGCCTATTACACCTGATGGACAGCTTGACATGGTCCCTTTTTCAGAATTAGGTTCCAACATAACAGTAATTGAAAACACAGAGCAAACTGAGAGACCTGAGGGAGAGGTAATGCCTCAGATTCTTCAACAGCAAGATATTGGTGTAATTCAGTCTGTTCCTCTGGACCACATAGTTTGTCAAAATGAACAAAATCTGGAGCAAACAGTCATATTAGAGCTTACCCCGGCCTTGACACCAACTGTGGAGCTGGAACATTCCCAAACTCTGCCTCAAAATGAACTCTTTTCCTCAACGTTTGTAACGACTACTGAATCAGAGGAGATTCCTGATCAGGCTCAAGATCAGATGGTGATCGATGAAACTGATACAAGCCTGTTAATTCCACCTCTTGCTGTTGAATTGGAGGTAGGACCTCCACAAAAAGAGCAACACTGCAACCTGTCTTGCCACTTTGTTCCAGCAGATCCACTTCAACAAACTTTGAGTGAATCTGTTACAAATCCCCCAGAAGAAATTGATCTACAGAGGCAACCAGTGAGTCAAGACCTGATCCACTCTGCCCTTGATAAAGCTGTACCCCTGAAGACAAATGAAAACCCTGGTCAGGAACCATCTGAAGAAGAATCATTTGATCCAGAGCGATTGCAGCAGGAACCATCTATGCAAAATCAATCTGAACAAGAACCAACCGAGAATATAATGGTAGAAAGCAAGGAGGATCAGGAGAGGTTGGAGAACCTGTCAGAAAAAGAGGAACCATCTGCAAAAGAAGGACCATCGCACACAAAGGCCAAAAAGTTATCACAGATTTCAGACTTACCCATAAATGTGATGTCAGCTCAAGAGCTAGTGAAAGTACGGAAAAGAAAACCAGCAAGAGCATTTTTCTTTCAAGGATACCGGCAAGACTTGGTTGGATCTTTATACAGTGATGATTTTTCTATATACGCTGCCCCTGCCAAACGCCAGAGAACAAAAAAGTCTCATCTTGTTGTTAAATTTGGCCCACAAAACAAAGAGAAAATGAACAAGAAACAGAAAAGGCCATCACAGCAGCATAGGACAAGTCAGGAAGAAGGGTTAAGAGATAAAACACCAGCAATACATCTGTCAAAGAAAAAAGCAGCAACGAAGAGGAAGGGGGAAAAGGGAAAAAGGGACAAGAAAAGCAGGCATATGGTATCTTCAGCTGAGTTAAAGACGCCTGCGTCAAACCATGATCCACAATTGGAGCAAAACAAAGAGGATACAAGGAAGAGTAAAAAGAAAAGGCAAAAAGGAGTAGCCAGAGAGGATGGGACTAACATAGGTAAACAAAAAATCAAGCCTATCTCTAAGAAAAAACAAGTTAAGATTATGCAAAGTGAAAAGCCAAAGACTGCAAAAGTTGGGAAAGGAAAGGGCATTTCAGTAAGAAAGGAAAAAGACAAGTCAAAAAAAAGTGCAGCTTCATCAGACATAGCCAATCCACACATAACAAAAGACTCTCTACTTCTACTAAAAGGACATAAACAACCTCAGCTGAAAGTTTACAAGTTAGACCCTTTAAAAGCACCAGGCAGCACATCAGAAGATACACCTAATGAGTCCCAAAAGATATCTGGAAAGGGTAAAGCTGACAAAGTGAAACATCAAACAAGTGAATCTGTAAATACTCCCATACCAGAAGGAAAGACAAAGGGAGGAAGACCCAAAAAGAACCAGAAAGCTCTTTCGTTATTGTCCTCAAAAAGGGTTGCCATTCAACCATTAGACACAGTGCCAACCAAGCCAAAGACCACCAGGAAACGTAAAGCCTCTCCAAAAGTGGAGACTGAAGGAGTGATAACTTCTGTTCATCCCAAACGTGCCTTAGAGTGCCAAGACTGTGGGGAAAGATTTAGTGAGGTCTCATCTCTTCAGAAGCACAAGACCATGGTTCATGTCATAGAGAGTCCTGGTCTTACTTACACCAATGGGAACATCTTTGAAGGTGTCTCCAGGATGGATCTTCACCCGCTTCCGCAACAGCACCACAATCCTGTTGGGTTGATGAATGCCGCTACAGGCTGGGATACTGAGCCTGAAATGGGAGAGACTGCACTTGAAGACAGAGAGCGAAATGTCTCTTTTCCTGCTTTGATTCCATCCCCGTCTTTACCTGTTCCACCCTCAGATGTTGAAACAAGCACTTATGAAAATAAAGCTGGCTGCACAACAGGATCAAACAATCAACCTCCATCCGGTCAAATTGAAATCAGTGATAACCATCCAAATATCTCACCTGAACCGACGTTGAGTGCTTCTGCTCAGACACAAAGTGCAGAGACAGGTGAGCCTTTGACATCAGATATGGACAAGCAAGATGATCAGACCCTGAACCAAATAGAATCAGAAGTCTGTGATACTTCAAATGAGGACATAAAGGAGGACTTACTTTTTGATGTAGATTTAGTCACCGTTGGGGAGCAGAGTGAAAGAGATAATTCAGCTTCTCTTGAGGACAAACTCCACCAAAATGAATCAACTGGATCTTGCAATACTGAGGTTACAAGCACTGACAAACTTCCTGAGCAAGCTATCGATGAAACGTCTGAAAACCCCCTGACTTTGCATACCGTTTCATGCTCCACTCATCAAGAAGAGATTAAGGAAGAGGAGGAAGAAGTGACAGTCCAGAAGAAAAAAGGAGAGAAAGGGACTGTTATGAGGAGTACCACAAAAAGTGAGGGAAGGGGAAGAGGAGCAGGATGTCTAAAAAGGATTGTGGTCTCCAAGAAGTTTTCTGCTAAAGATACTGTCAGAGGATCAGGGTCCAAAGAAGAACAGGATGAATGTTTGATAGTTTATGAAAACCATCCGATAACCTCTGATTCAGAAAAACCTGATGAAGGCCAGACCAGTCCTGAACTTAAGGCTGGCCATGTTACCAATTCTGCAAAGTCTTTGACTTCCTTGTCCTGCACATCAGAGGCATCTCCTGATAAGCGAGACATGCTAGAGCCGGAGTCAGTTACCTCAGGTGTAGAAGAGGCGATGAATGAAACCAGCAGAGACAGGTCTCCAGTTGTCATACTTGAGAGAGTCCTCACCTCGACACCAAAAGCAAACGCTGATAAGGAGCTAAACCAGAAGAGCGTGATGAATAATAGAAGACAGGTGAGCAACAAAAACTTCATAAAAATCAATAAAGGGTTGAACTTTAGCAGTTAATATGGATTTGTCTTCTCTTCAGGGTTTTAACAGCAATGCTGGAAATGAAGTACAGTTCCTTGAGAGCCAGGAGATCAAAGTTGAGGAAGTTATTTCAGATCTGCCTCTGGCTGGACCAACCTGCCAGAACAGACGGCCTGCAAGTATTCAACCACAGCACGACTATGATGTGAGGACAGTCCTGGTGAAAGAGGAGTGCAGCCTTGTGCTGAATGAGGCTCAGGCCACAGAGAGCAGCAGTATTCGCTGGAATGTGGAGCCAGCTGATGTTGTAAACACCTCCAGTTCAAGTAAGGAGAAGAACAACTCAGAACTTAAAAGAAATAGTATTATTTGATTTTTCTTACATAATTCCCTAACAGCCTGTGACAAGAGTGAGTAATAATAATTTTGATATGCATTACTGTTTGTTGCTTTAAGCTAATCACCGACTTACCTGTTTAGGCAGATGACCTTGGAAAGCTTTATCTTTTTTAATGTTCTGTGGCATTTTACTTTCAGTTATTAACAGCGAGGGAACAGCAAGAGACAGTCACAACACCCCAGAGTTCAACAGCAACCAGTGCATTTTCTACCCAGTGAAGGAGGAGGAGAAGGAGGTTCTTGTGGGTGTTGCTCAGAGCAACAGTGAGAGTTTAACCACAGGATCATTCAACAGCGTCCAGCAGACAGAGCATCAAGGAACAGATAGTACTTTGAGTGAGTCCTTCTGTTTTCCAGCTATGTTTTCCTTTTACCAAGGGTTAGATGGAGAGCTGTGTTCTAATGTTGAAAATGCTACCAACAGATGGAGGGCACCACTCCGTGGCTGACTACCAGGAGAAGACGGTGAGACGTTTATTGTCCGACACAGGGGACACAGGGGACTTTGCAGACAGACAAGGTTTGTTTCTTCTTTAACGGCTGGTACATGTACTTTATCAACAACCTCCAACTAGTAAAAAAGTTCATCAAAATTATAACTAACTCATTCATACACTTTCAGTAGAGACTGTCACTGAATGGCAGCATCCTCCGGACATCCGTGACTTTCTCCTCCATAGTTCTGATGAAGAAGACGTGGGTGCTTTTGAAATGTCTGATCCTCAGCTTGACTCTGAAGCAGAAGTAATGGCCTATTTCCACAAGTATACCTCAAACAGCTCACAAGGATCAGATGAAACATCACAAAGGTATAGTACATCAGATTTGTTTAAGTGGACAAACATTCACAAATCAAAAAAAAAAAAAAAACTTACCATTTGCTTCTTAAAGTAAGTAAATATTGTCATAGTGTGTGGAATCTTGTATTATTTTGACTTAGTGACCCATCCTGTATGATTCAAGAGGAACTCAGGCTGTTGTACATTGAAATGTTTAAAACAAACTCATGTTTGCATATTTTCAATGAAGTGGTAAGTGCTTTGTTCCTGCATGTGATGCTCTTGATTGTTCAATTTATACTTTTCTCATAGTTTGTCAGCTTCAGAGAACCATTCTCAGGCACAGAGAGAGGAACAACAGACCAGAGAGCCCATGGACTATTTCTCCAAGTATTTCGGTTGGGATACCTGGGCAGAAATTGCAAGTTGCACGAATAAACTGTCCAATATATCCAGTCCTGTCACAGCCAGAGAGGTTGCTCAGTTTGTTGGGATCCACATTGCAATGGGAACTTTAAAGGTTTGTGTTGTGTTGTGACCTTTTTCTTGAGTGCTTTCCTGGTTCTCCTTTTCAAATGCAAGACCTTGACACTTGATTTGATGTCTCACTATTTTTCAGTTCCCCAGTCCGAGGCTCTACTGGGAGGACCTGACTAAGGTGCCGTTGATTGCTGAAGCAATGCCACTCTCCCGATTCCTTGAGTTGTCTCGCATGTTGAAGCTGGCTCATCCTGCGAAGAATCCAGTGGACAGTAATGTTCAAAAAGAAAGACATGATGGTCATTTATGCCTGAGTAAAAACATATCAAGTAGGCAAAGTGGAATTTCACCGCCCAGTGATGAGCAGAGCGGAGAGCACACGTCAGATGACTTAAACAACCCAGAAACAGAAACTGATCCTCTGTGGAAGGCACAGCCATTATTGCATCGATTTAAAGCAGGGTGCCAGTTACTGAGACGTGATGTCAATTACGCGGTCGATCAATATCCACTCCCTCTGACTGGGAAGATACACAATAAAAAACTGTCTCTTCACTGCACTACATTAATTGGATTTGGTGGTTTACTCTTGCATCTAGATCTTAAATTGGGTCTGAGTGGCAAAGAGGATGCTGTAGAAAAAATGGTTCCCACAGGTAGTATGGTGTTTCTCTGCAAACAGGAACTCTCCACCCCTGCCATGCTGGAGCGTCTGTTGAATGCTGGGGTTCATGGGGCAGGTAGGGTGGGAGGGGCTCGAGGACAGATTGGAGACGAGTTTGTGAGCTCAGATGGGAAGTTGATGTTGCGTAGATCACACTGTGGCTTCATACTATCTACTGCAGGAAGTGGCCAGAGGAACATGGCTTCTCTTATTAACAACTTTGAAAAGGCGCAGATGTCAGCTCTTCTCAACAGAGACCTGTTTAATCTTTACTCTATTCCTCTGACTGCCTCTGCCCCAACCTGTTGGCCTCAAGCCGTGCTCTGGTACCTGACAGATCTGGCTTTGGTTAACTCTTGGCTTCTTTACAGACAGGATCACAAGGCAGCATCCACACTTTTGTCTTTCATGGCCTTCAGATTGGAAGTATCCAAGGCTTTCATCAAATCAAGTAGCTCTGATACCCAGGACTCAGTCCCAACTCAACCCCCCTTGGAGAAGGCGCATGCAACACATGAAACTCCTGAACCCAGTCTAATGGAAGAAAGTCCTCTTCCGGATGCAGCCACACGATATGACGGCTCAGGTCACTGGCCAGAGCAACTTGCTGAGGGAGAAGGGGGAAGATGCCGTTTTGGGGATTGCCAAAGAACATCTCGAGTGCTTTGCCTTAAGTGTTGTGTCTTTCTTTGTATCTCACGCAACCACAACTGTTTTCTAAACTTCCACAGTCAAGGGGGTTTAGGAAAAAAGTAGTGTCCACTGTCTCTTTTGATGTATGAAAATAGTGTATCAAAAATGGTATTGTCTTTAAAAATTTTCCACAACGCTTTCCGCTATCCTTATTGTTGTTTTAGGATACCATTTTCAATGCTATTTGAAAACGTGCTTTGTGGTGTGTCTTATTTTGTCACAGGGCAGGTGTAAATAAATGTAAAAAAAAAGTACTTCTAACCATGAACTTTGTAATTTATGAATTGACATGTTTGTTTTTTTTTTACTCTTTAACGAGACCTCGTTAACAATTCATATTGAACTTTTAGTTTGGCTTTATAAATTAATGATGATTCATGGAATTTTGAAACAATAAAAGACATTTTAAATGTTTAATTTTGTAAGTTTTTCAACAAGTGTGTGATTTTTTTTAACCGTGACACATCGACTATCAGTTGGCGAAAAACAGCTCTTTTGGGCTGTGGTAAAAAGTGCCTTAAAGTTTTTGTTTTTTTAATTCTTTAATTTTTTTTTTTTTTTTTTTTACTCCTGAAATCAAAGCAGTGAACTGGAATTAAGCCATCATCAAATATTGAGTGGTAAGATTTACTTCTGAGATTCTTAATTCCAACATATAGAAGACAAATCATTTTAATTTTTGGAGGGTCACTTAGATTGTAGTGTAGAAATAGAGCTGTGTTAATATTGTAATATAGTATATGTAATGTAATATGGAGATATCAACAAGACTCCAACAGGTAATCCACGAGAGTAGAACTGTGAACATAGATGTGGCTGAAACGCGTTAATATGACATCTGCGTTCATACTGTATCCGACTAGTTTAATCTGATAGATTACCCTTTAAGATTGCGTGTGCGTTATTTATGTAAAGACAATTTCAGTAGGAGAGGATGCAGGAAATACGCAGAAGAAACGTAAACCCTACAGGAAAAAATACAAGTAGTACTTTTCGTTAAGTGGCTATGGGTCACGTGACAAATTAATCATAGATTTGATCTGAATAGAAAATGATGTTCGTACCCATACCCGTTAGACAGCAATCTTTCAGTGCATTTCGTTATTTTACTGGTCCATTCAACGCTTTAGTAAAAGGTGTGAAAGATTCAAGTTAATACAAAAACTTTAACATGTATGCTCTGTTTTACTTTTTCACAGTAGAGCTGTTGACAATTATATGTGCTTTGTCATATTCATAAAAGACGTATTTTCTTATAGAGACGGTTTTCTCTTTCGTCAGTATAGAAACTTGACTCAAGAATATTTGAAAAAAATGTTTTTTTTTTTTCTGAATAGTATATCAACACATTGCTAAAAGGGTCCCCCGGCAGCCATTTTAGTTGCAACAGCGGCCACCGCAGCCATACATTGGTAAGTGTCTGATCTATGTGTTGTGCTTCTGTGCGGTGAACTCTCTCAGTCAAACTAGCTTCAAAGAGCGGGCAGAGGTAACGTAAACGTCTGCTTATTTTATCTATGTTATAATTACACATTTACACGTATGGAAGAAGGCATGTAAGATTTAAAAAAAATGTCTAATGCGCATAAGTACTTAACAATGAGTAAAACAATTATGCTGTGAAATAGCATAGAAAGTATTCTTTCCTATTTGAATGGCAGCCAGTGTTGTTAGCGCTAACCAGCAGCAAGCTCGCAAGCGTTAGCTCACACGGAACTTGTCATTTTCTTATCTTGTAAACCATTCTCATGGACACAAAACCGTGCATTTAACATCTTTGTAAGATTATTTCTGTTCACTTGATGAAACAGTATGAGAAAATAACCAGATTTTAGCTGGTCGGATGATCGTATGATAGCACCGAGCTAGTTAGCTTAGCATCAGTTAGCGGCCTTGCAGACAGTAACGGACGGTCAAGCTAGATTTAGCTGAAACTTGGGGGATTGGTTAGCGGGGCAGTTTGACAACCCAGCGACTGTGCGCTTTATGGGTCACCAAACACACATTATCACAGCGACTCCTCATAACGATTAGTCTATAGGGGAATTGATGTTATTGCTCTGACTTATTTAACACTTTTTTTCACTCTTACTACAACAACCAACCACAACACTGGGGCAGTGTAACGTAATGTGATACAACAGCTCTACCAAAAGTTTGTCTTTCAGGAGGCTTAAAAGTTAATTTTTATGACATAGTAATTCAGGCGATTAAAAATACTTTCCAATACTTCCAATACTTTCCAATAAAATTATACTGGTGCCTGGTGGTATATCGGCGTGTGTCGTATTGAAAAGTGTTCCTTATGTTTTGTCCCCTCCATCTACAAAAACAATGAAATGTTCTTCAGCTCTCCACCAAAAACAATTACAACTGAACCATTCAATTTGAAGTACATCTGTCTCATGTTAAAAAAATAAATAAATAAAAAAAGCATTAATTTAGAGCAGTGGTTCTCAACTGGTGTCACTCTGGGACCCACATTTTCCCATGGTCCTTAAGTTGCAACCCACTTTTATAAAATTCAAAACAAGCAAATTTATTTTTTAGGAAAAAAAAAACTTTGAAGGACTTAAATCTTGGACATAGATTCACCGTTTTTGTTGAGTACAGTTCATTTCACTCTTACTACAACTACTTAAGTCGCATACACAGAAAATATCAAATTGCACACAAGGGAGACCAGCAAAATGAAAAATTTGACTGAATTGGATCTCTGCATTCAGAGCATATTCAGAAGAACCTGAGGAGGACCATGCAACAGCATGGACAAAAGTGGATAAATATCAAATTGCACAAAATACCATAAAAGACCATAAAAAATGTGTAATTTTGCCACATTCAGGCCACATTAATAAGAAACGAGGAGCACCACGACATAATGTGGGCCTTTCAAAATAAGCTATTTTAAAAAAAAAAGACATGTCAAACATCAGATGCGCATTAAATATCTACTTTTTAGACCAACTGTTTGCGGCCCTTCCAGAACGTGTCCATGACCCACTTTTGGGTCGGGACCTATCAGTTGAGACCCACTGATTTAGAGGTTTCCTGTAAGTAGAGCTGCTGTGATTGATTGCATTAACTTGCCCAGGAGTTCAAACTGTTATGGCTGGTTGGTGTATAATGTAGTGGATAAAATAGTTTTACTTCCCAGCAGCAATACTGAATATATTTATCTACATTTATTTTCATTCTTTTAACCTTGTTTTGAAATTGTTCACAGAGAAGTTTGAGAGCTTGCAGAGACTGTTCAGTGTGCCAGAATGGACTCTGAGATTTTGAACATAGAGGACATAGTGATGGGACGAGGACTGCCAGATCCACCTCCAGAAGTCCCCCCCGAAAAGCCAGCAGGACCATACAAACCCATCACGCTGAATGGACCTCCTGCTTCATCTGTTCAACCTTGTGAGTTTGAAATAGCCAAGAGTTGGTTCTTGTATTGTCTGGGTTTCTTATGAGATATAAAAAATGGTCCTCAAATTCTGAGGCCTTGATTTGTGCTTTTTGTTTTTATTTCTTGTGCTGAAACTCTTGTGCTCTATCACTTTCTGTCAAAGCAGATTGTGTACATCTGTTTTGAAAAGTGCTTTATAAATGAAGTTATTATTAAGAGCAGCCGAATATTGAGATCGTCTTTGCACAGTCTCTAAAATGTTTTGATGTCTCCCCAGACCAGCATGAGAATCTGCAATGTTTCCAGTGCTTCATCACATTCTGCAGTGCCAAAGCCAAGGAGAGGCATATGAAGAAAAGCCACAGAGAAGAGTACAAGCAACAGCTTCAACAGGTAAGCCTTTCAGTATCAGCTATTCAGGTCAGTAGATATTTTTTGTGTGTATGTTTGTTTGCAGATTTGTACTTTAATGCTTGGAATAAAAACTCCTGTAATTAGTGTAGAAATACCTCAGATGGTGGTAATTCTGGGTTTTATGAAGAACAAAATAGATTTATCATAATTGTTGCTAACCGTTTTGCACATGGCGGACATATTTTTCTAAGCATAATAAAAGTAAATATCAAGGAGTTTGATCGAGTTATTCTCTGTGAATTATTTAATTTAGATAACATTTTTCATGATTTTGCACCGTAAATTAAAATAGATGTAAGGATTCACTTCAAAGTTGTAATACCAGTATGTCCCAGCACAAAAACCTCCTTCAATCTTGAGCTGGTTACACATCGCCCCCTTTTGTCTATGCTTTTTTACAGGGGAACACCTTGTTTACCTGCTACGTCTGTGATCGGACATTTCTGTCATCTGAGGAATTGACACAGCACCAGCCAACACACAGCAAAGATGACAAGCCCTTCAAATGTGTTCACTGCAAGGAGAGCTTTAAAACGTTCTCTGAAGTGAGTGAAATGTTTGTTTTTATCAAGAAGAGTTGTTGCCACAAAAACAGACATGAATATTGAGTACATCATAGCTTATGCCACATGTCGCTGTTTTTTTCCCCTACTTGTCACCTTTGCAGCTCACAGCCCATAGAAGACAGGTGTGTCCAGAGAGACAGATGGTATGTAAAGATTGCAACGAAATCTTCCGAAGTGCAGGACTACTGCGTACTCATCGCCTGACCCAGCATCCACGTCCAGATGTTGAGCCTGCAGAACAGCCAGAGGACCCCACGAAAACCCACCACTGCAAGAAGTGTGGCCAGGGCTTTGAAACGGAATCAGAGTTGATCGCACATCAGGAAAAGTACCCTGAAGGTCAGCATTGCAACGGCAGTGCTGCACCTGTCAAGAAACGCGGGCGATCCTCCAAAACTGAAGACCCTGCAGGCACTGAGAAGAAGGGAAAAAGGAAAAAAAAGGATGAAGCAGAGGCACCAGAGGAGGAAGTAAAGGCCAGCAACACATCAGAATCAGCAGCCTCTCCCACAGAGGAAAAGGGAAAAGCGGGTGCAGTAAAACGTGGCCGTCCTGCTAAAACTGCACCCAAATCAGAAAAGGAAGAAAAGAAGACTCCTGAGGATGACAGTCAGTCTTCCACAAAGGAGAAGAAACCTAAAGTGGATCCTGCTCCACCTCGTCAGCACCCCTGTCCTGAGTGTGACCTCACATTCCCCACTCTGATCCAGCTCCGAGCTCACAAAAAGGAGAAACACACCCCAAGGAAAGCCCACCCTTGTGAAGAATGTGAGGAGAGTTTTGCCCGTCCTGAGCAATTGGATGCCCACATGTCACGAGCCCATGTTGTGGGTCGCTTTTCCTGTGCAACCTGTGGGAAGAGCTTTGGCCGTGAGCGCACCTTGAAAGCTCACGAGAAAAGCCACCCAGCTGAAAAGCCTGAAAACCCAAGTGCCAAAAGATAATTGAGACTTGGGGACCTCACAGAAAGTGTATGGTTTCTGCAGATTTTAGTCCTGAATTGTCCTTTTTCTTTTAACACTGGAGATGTGGCGCTCCAGTTGATGCTTTCAGATAAGTTTGTAATGGTTTTGACGATAATGTTTTAGCAAAGTTGGAAATTACAGTTGAATTTCAATCGCGAGCTGGTGAATTAATGGACGGACAGACACATCTCCTGTATTGACTAACCAAATGTAGTTAAATCTATTACGCCCTTTGTCATAAAGGTCTTTTTTTGTGTGTGTAAAAAGGAAAAAAAATCATTTTGATTAACTTTTTAAATTTCAGTTTTTAAAGTGTGAAATGCGTGTGGTTTGAATTTATTACTGGCGTTTTGAGTTCCAAAACTCATTTTGAGGTTAAAAAAATGTTTTTATGTTTTTTTATGATTTATTTTCGCAAAACAGATTGGATAATAACACATTTGAAGCTTATTAGCTACTTAGTAGATATGTGTGAATGTTTAGACAGTTTGTCAAAAGAAAATTGTCATGTACAGCCTCTGGTTCCTATTTTTGCATTTTTACACTTAATACTGTAATTATGTTTCTTTCTAAATTAAATCAGAGTGAGGAAGAATTTCCAAATAACATGATTATGTCTCTTTTAAATTTTATTTTAGCCAACTGCTTCAGCAAAATGTGGAGTGTTTGGCTTTTATGCAGAAATGACCCATGATTATTCTGATTTGTCTACAGTAGAATCCTCCTTTATTTTTTCACTTATCAAAACAATATTTTAATGTCTTAGACATTTGTTAATGGAACTCATGGCTCTTTAATGCCTAAAAGTCCCATAGGGAACTGTATATATCATGTTATTCACAGATCTGATTGTCTTTTTCCCCACTGCAATGTGTCTGGACACTGCAAAAATGTAATAAAACATGCTTTCCAAAGGGAGGCTGCTGAGGAAACAACCTAATGTATTTGTCTTTGTCACTGGTGATGCTTGTACCTTACTTATGTATTATGGGAACAACATATAATGGCCATACTTAAAAGCCACACTATAGATTTCACAAAGTTGTAAGATTAATAGGCAGGATGAATACTTTGCAAGGCTGTGGATGGTGGTGTTGCTTAACATTTTACACTTATAGTATATTTGCTATCTGACCTATGTCAAGACTGTTAAAGGGATATTCCGGCATAAAATTAATTTAGGGTCAAACACACTATAACACCACGGTAGACACCCCCTCGATAGATGAATGTTAACAACCGCTTGCTTCTCTAGTTATACTAACTTTAGTAATGACCGCAGGATAGCGATATACAGTGGTTGGAGGACCCATACACAGACTTCAACCAAGATGCCACTCTATAGCCACAAATAATGCTCAGAACAGCACCTAACTTCATCAACAGTACATATAGGGTCCCAGCCACAGCATGAGCCACCAAACATCTTTTTAGCTTTTAAAGAAGTTAGACTAAACACATCTTGCCTACTCTCTTCCAGCAGCCTCTTGTTTGTTGCGAGACCTCGGGCCAGTCCATTACGGACTACAGTGGGGTGATGCAGCTCAAGGAAGAACATTTATGATCATTACTTTATCATTTCCTTGAAGTAATAATCATAATAATTTTGCACTGCAGACACGGTAGTTCTTCTGCCTTAGCATCTCGGTCTGATTGCATTAACATGAAGAAATGATCATAAATGTTCTTCCTTGAGCTGCATCACCCCGTTGAAGTCCGTAATGGAATGGCCCGAGGTCTTGCTACAAACAAATGGCTGCTGGAAGAGAGTAGGTGAGTTGTGTTTAGTTTCTTTGCTAAAGAAATAGGCAAAGCTTAAAAGATGCTTGGTGGCTAGTACTATGGCTGGGACCCTGTATGTACTGTTGATGAAGTTAGGTGCTGTTCTGAGCATTATTTGTGGCTATAGAGTGGTGTTTTGGTTGATGTTTGTGTGCGGCTCCTCAGACTGCTGTATATTGCTATCCTGCAGTTGTTACTAAAGTTGGTATAACTAGAGAAGCAAGCGGTCTGCAACGTTCATCTCTGGAGGGGGTGTCTAACTCAGTGTTGCGCTGTGTTTGACCCTAAATCAATTTTACGCTGGAATATCCCTTTAATGATTTGTCACTCAAGCACTTACTCATTTTAGCAGTAACATGTCTCAAACTAATACACAACTGTTTGTGTATTGTTTTCCCCCTTTTTTTTGCATACAAGTCTTTTGCAATGAAACATTATTGTCACTTTACAAGAATGAAGGTTTAGGATTAAAATGCCAAAATAATGTAAATGCACACAAGTATCCTCGAACAGCGTTATGTGCCTGGGGCTGGATTTGGTGTAATACCGCTCCAGGACGCTGGGTGTGCTGCAACGCCAGCACTAATTTCCTGTCCTTGCATTGCTTTGTATTTCTCTCATTGACGATTGTGTGTTAGGAGCACACTAGTCAGCTTTCCACGTCGAGTTTGCGGATATTTTGCTGTATATCTTACAAATTGCGTTTCTGATTCCGCCCGGACATTCAAAGGGGACCGCTGAGATAAAAATGTAATGGATTAATTATTCCTAAGCATCGCCATGTCATCCCTACTTCCTTCTGCCAGGTGTTAAAGGTGGGAAACAGCATATTAAGGTGTGTCAGAAATGAATGTATTCATAAACAGTTTGCCCGCTGAGGTTTGAAGAAATAACAGAAGAAAACGGGGAGGAAACGTCGTAGGCACAGATGTTGTCGCTTGACAGGTAAAGTACGAATAAAATTAAAACTATTTAATCCAATTTAGTCAATGGAAAGTCAGAAGAGTAAAGCCATTGACCCTGTAGATGGTTGTCACATCATATGGTCATTTCACACCTGCATAATTCTCTGTCTCCACAGACAGCAGTCATGTCCATTGAATACACCATTGACATCCAGCTAACTGAGCTGGGATTTCTTTCGGACGCCCCACACCCGCGAGCCACCTCGATCAGGGAGGCACCTTGCTGCTCCACATCACCTGATGACTCATCCTCACCCAGTCACCCTCCCACTACAGGTTCAGCCACACTCAAACAAAGGTTACAGGTGACTGGCGATCAGTCTGATGCTGCTGTCAAACAGGCTAAAAGCTCTGAGCAGAGTGCGGTGGATTTGACATCACCTCTGGTCGAAGCTGCACCTTCAAGTCTACAAGCTGAGGAAGATGGAGAGCTTCATGACCTGCCTGCGCCCACGTTAAATGATCCGAGTCCTGGGCCAGAACAGCTGGAACAGGATAAAAACGATGAGCAAATTGTTCTCAATGAAAAGGCTGCACAAGAGGGTTCTGCAGAGGTGAGGCAGGATGAAGAGGAAGACTCAGGGGACAGCGATGTTTCAGGAGTTTATGAGGATGATGAGGTCTATGAGGAGGATGAGGAAGAGGAAGACCCAAACACTGGTATGACTCACTAACCATTCTCTCATAGGCCTAAACTATATTATACCTTGTGTTTCATCCTTTCAATGTGATAAATTTTGTGTCTGCTTTGTTTTATGACATTACTTGTTTCCCCTTGACCTCATTTCTACAGAGTCGAGTCAGACAGGGGACTATAGCTGCAGTGTTTGTGGTCTCCAGCTTTCCTCCAAATTCAAACTCCAAGACCACATGAATCTGCACACTGGAGCCCGTCCATACTGCTGTGCTGAATGTGGAAAGCGCTTCTGCCAGACCAGCAGCTACCGTGCCCATCTACGCACACACGCACAGTCTGAGGTTGAGCGCTTTCAGTGCCGTGTTTGTCGTAAGGACTTCCCATACCAGGAGGATTTGAAATACCACCTGGCCATTTCTCACTGGGAGGATAAATACTATGAATGTGACCAATGCAAACGTGTGTTTACATCACTTGAGGCATGTGAATATCATGTGTCGAAGCGCGAGTGCTTGCAGAAGGCAATTTGTGAAAAATGCGGGCGCACTTTCTCCTCTTCTAAACACCTTGCTCGCCACAAAAAGAAGATTTGCCACTGCAGTTTTAGATGCACAGACTGCAAAAAGACCTTCACCAAAAAGAATGCTCTACTGAAACACAGCTTCTCTCATCTTGGTTTGTTACCTTACACCTGCGTTCGATGCCGCTGCCACTTCCGCCTGGCTAAGCTGTACCTCCAACACAAGTGTGAACCTGAACGCATACACTGTGTGGCGTGTCTCAGAGAGTTCCTTAGTCAGAAAGACTTCAAGCAGCACAAGAAGGACACCGGCTGCTGGGGCAATCAAGAGCCCAAAGGGGACGAGATCAGGTGTTTAGAGTGTGGACAAAGATTTGACACTTCAGATGAGCTAAAGAAACATGCCGGAGCTCACCAGAGGGTGCTGAAGTGTGCTGAATGCAATAAGGGATTCCGGTCAGCCTTGCTCCTAATGTCCCACATGGGCGGTCATGCTGGAAACTCACCATGCCTCTGTCAAAGCTGTGGACTTGGCTTTCCCCATCAGCAGAACTATGACAGTCACCTGAAGACCTGTGGACGGACACCTCAGTCAAAGGTGAGAGTGTAGCATTATGGTAACATACAGTATAATTTTTGTTGCCATGTAAAATTGACTCTCAGAGCAACAATTTTCCCTCCCCATGCATATCTCCCTAAAGCAAATGGATCCAGCAAATAGAAAAGGGAAAAAACAACAAATAAAGCTGTGCAAGTTAAAATTGTGCAGCCACTAATTTTTTTGTTTATACAACCTCAGTTCCATATAGTCAGAGTGTTCTGTAAAATGTTCAGAAAAAGAGATTTTGATTTTTTGTGAATCATTAAACCCCTATACTTGATTGAAAATAAATCAAAGGAGACATCAGTTGATCTGACTGTGTTTTTCCCATTGCAACAATGTAATCTGACATAATTATTTGCATAGCAATAATTCTTAATTGATCTTATCAAGAAAGATTTTTACTTCTCTGCCCGAGTGACAACTTGGACTTCAACCATTAGTTTCTTAAACATGATCAAACTGAAATGTTTCAAGTTGTGTCAGGTGTTTTGTGTTGTTCATTTAGTGACTTAATATATTTTTTGTCATGTTTCTTATTTTAGAATTCAGCCAAGAAACGCCATATCTCAACAAGGCTTCCATCCAGGGCATCACTCAACACAAAGGCAGAATCACAGAGTCTCCAAAGCAGTAACGCAAAACCAGAATCCTTAAGACTAAGACAGATCCAGGCAAAACCAGCACCATCAAATCAAACAGACACAAAAACCTCTGCGATACCTGATGTTATCTACAAAACAGTTTCTGCACAGGCGTCACATAATCTGGGACCTGTGTCAAATGATTTGTCTGCTGCTGCTAATCCATCCTCTGGATTATGGAAATTAACCCTCGACAGACCGTTCCCTCCAGCTGCTGAACTTGTCTTGTTTCTTCCTGTCTGTGCAACACAAAGCGATGGCCTGGCTCTTCCCTCTATGGTACATCAGACTCCAGCTGCCCCAGCTATGCTGGTTCAGCCTCAAGTCGCTTTCCCACATGTTTCACAAAAACACCTTGGAGCAGATTCTGCCCTTAAAGCACTGCTGAATGCCCCTCTGGATTTGGCAACTGGGATTAAACAGGATCCAGATTGTGAATTACCCTTTGATTTGTCCATGAAGTCATCTAAGTGTGCTGCGAGTGCTCCTGCTCACCTTCCTGTCAAAAGTGAGCCAGAGGATTTCAGAATCTCACCAGAGGCTATTGACTTTAAAAGACATGCGTTGGGATACAGCAATACAGAACCACACACCGAAGTGAAGCCCTTTAAAAATGATCCTTTAGATCTGTCTGCATCATCTGGACTGGTAAAGGACATTAAGAAGGAGGCATCCTGAGAGATTCGCTATAAAGCAAGTGTGACATGATCGGGTTTTCTTAAATCAACCTGCTAAACAAACCAAACACCTCAGTTAGCAATAGCAGGTGTTACCACAGGGTTATCATGTTTCCGTTCAGCCAAGTTTGCTGCTTAATGCCTCCTATAAGTTCCCAAAAAATGGGTGTCTGTAGCTTCCCCAGACTCATCCTCCTCACAAACAGGAGTAATTGTGTGCTGCTTCCCCTACTCAGGTAGCTATCAAAATCAGCAATGGAGATTTTAAGATCTGAGGGCAAACAGCTATCCTCTTGCTGCACTCAAGGCAAGAAAAGAATGGACTAAATTTCCATTGTGTAAATGAATAAGTAAATATATGTATGTTTCCAATACTCCTACACAGTAAGACCTCTTTAAATTATTTGAATTGTACAAAATACTGTAGGTGGTTAAGAATGATTGGATCATCTGCGAGGTACTGGAGGCCAAGATGTATGAGCATAGTGCAGGCACAGCCCAGTACAGCTAGTAGGTCCAGGGTTTTATTTTACTTACTACTTTATTTGTATTGCATCAATCTAAATCTTTATTCTGTTTCCAATATTATCTTGACAGACTTTTTATGCCTGTCTTTACTTCAGTGTGCTGTCTTTGGTAGAAAGTAGGGACCAAACATCATCATTCATTTGGTTTTTGTATAATCCTCCACATGAAGCTAACAGGGTAAAATGAGAGGAGGAGCATTTCTTCAATATGTGAATGCATATGGGTTCATGTTACGCTAAGAAAAAACAACAGGGTGTATTTAGTTGGGTGCTTTTTTTTTTATTTTACAGCTTTGTGCCACAGTATTGCTGTCAAACAATTGAAAATGTTTTCCATTAACAAATTTCCTGGGCTGAGATCCATGTTAACCTAAAAGATAACCATACCGAACTTAAACAGTAAAATGACAGTAAGTGAAAAGTATCTTAAACAAGCCACTAAATCGGACCAAATCATTGCAGGTTTAAAAAGATAATGAAAAGATATGAAGCAGGTTATTATTCAGACAAAACCTCCAATTTGTGTTAAAAAACTTTGTGTAGGGCTGAGATAAGATCTAAGATAAAGCATTTAATTTAAAGCAACTTAGGAGCTCCCAGTGTTGTATGTGGTCTTAAGCTCGTTACAAGCATAAATGGGTATATCAGTCTTCTTGTATACTTAACACTCCTTATCTTGTTTTGTGATTCACTGTCATTCTGATCTAACATGGAGGTTGACGTTTTTTTCAACCCTGCCCTCTTTTCTATTAAATAAATGGCCATGGCATTTTCAGTTAGCGCAAAAAAGTGACATTTTGTTAGTTACATTGGGAATACGTTAAAAACCTAAAAAAGGTACGGTTTAACTTGTTTGTACTGGTGGTTATGGCAACTAATCATGGGGCTTTGGTTTGACGGCAGAAAGTAACACTCAGTAATGACTGATCAACCGTGATACCCTTTTGTGAAGAAAGAGACAATTTTTTGGGGGGTGTAAAATGATTAACTTGAACAATGTGACATTTGGAAAAAAAAATATTTTGTGCTAAGTTACTAAATTCAAACATTCCTAGCTCTGGTTTGCGATTGTATTTATCCTGTTTGCATCTTTGGCGAAGCTTGTGGTAAACAAAATCTTATAATTGTTGAAATGTCTATGCAATATTATACAGGATTTCTTACAGTATTTGAGGCTCTTTAGGTTTATTTACTCAGTTCAAAGAATCAATGGATTTATTGGTATTCTGCTGTAAACACAAAATGTGGATCCTTGTTAAAACAAGAATCATGATTATGATCAATAACTTGGAATTCTCTCATTTTGTGAGTCTTAACTGTCCGTTTATAATTTTCTTATAAATAAACATTTGTAGTTGGTTCGGAATCTTTGCATCCATTTTTTTTATGAATATATAACATTTTAGGTCTTCCCCAGTATAGAATGACAATAAAATCCTCATTAAAAGGCATCAGCTCCCTGCATAGGTATTACAGACCTCGAACAGGAAAGGGCTCAGACACAGATTCATGAGTGCCCTATTACACAAAAAATAAGATAATATCTGTTTAGTGGGATCACTATTATTTTAACTTTTTTTGTTCACTAGACCACATAATATGCTTTGGCCAGATAGTAAAACAACAAACTGGATGTGCTCTATTGTGGGGAAAAAGTATATTCTTGTTTTGAAGGTGTAGCTTAATCACTATTAATAAGTGTGAAGTCTTCTTCATGTTGTTTCTTATATTTCAATTAGCATTCATTTGTTTCAAATCCTTGTAGCTCCAATATTGCCACAGGAAGAACCTAAGAGAAAATTAGTTTTCTGGACGTTTACTGTCATATTATACAATAATTTGAAAAATGTCAAAATTATGTCATATTTTTCTTAACTTCTTTAATCATTTAATATCAACATAAGAGTTCCAATGATAGATAGATAGATAGATATCTTCATCTGTTCATACATTTCTATTGAGGAATAAGAGGCGGGAAAATGACACAGTGTCACGTGATTTAAAGAACCCGGAAACAACGTAGGCTACTGCAGATGACGACTTGTCTTTAACGGGAGTGTACTACATAGGAGATGAGATAATGTCCTAGAAATCAGGTCCATTATTTGTCGCGCAGATATTCCCGTAAACCACAATGAAAATCAATAAAATCTAATCATGCGAAAATAATATCAGTAATAATTTCTAGCAGTCGACCAAGCTACAACAGCAACGTTTGTCACCATTCATGGACAAAGACAAGAGAAGCGAGACTGTAAGTAGACGACACCTATTCTAAGCATATAATCTCACGAATTCAATCGAATACATGAAACATATAGGCTTTTCGGATTTTGTTCATTTTTAACCTCAAACTTGATCTAAATTTACATGAATGCTATTTTACTGTCTGTAGCTTGCACACTGCTCCTGGTCGGAGATGCATCAGTTCATCGGTGACCTTATGACATCTGGAAGCAGCTCGAAGAATCAGCCAGATGTGCTGAGTGCAGCATGGGGTGTGGTCAGAGACAGTCCGCACGGCAGAAGTAGTGGTGAAGCTGTTGGGTTCAGAGATACTTCACTTGGACCTCTACTACAAACTCAGACTACCCAGGAGAAGCCACAGGCAGAGTCACAGAAACGGATCCAGACGGAGGCATCACAGAGGAAAGAAGAGACCAGAGCAGTAATAAAAGGTCAGAGCAAAAAATAGGTTTAAAGGGATATTCCGGTGTAAAATTAATTTAGGGTCAAACACACAGTGACATAGAGTTAGACACCCCTTGGAGAGATGAATGTTGCCGACCGCTTGTTTCTCTAGTTACCAACTTTAGTAATGACCACAGATAGCAATACACAGCGGTCTCAGGAGCCGAACACAAACCTCAACCAAAATGCCACTCTATAGCCACAAATAATGCTCAGAACAGCACCTAACTTCATCAACATATAGGGTCCAAGCCACAGCACTAGCCACCAAACATCTTTTAAGCTTTGCCTAATTTCTTTAGCAAAGAGACTAAACACAACTTACCCACCTCTTCCAGCAGCCGCTTGTTTGTAGCGAGACCTCGGGCCAGTCCAACACACCATAACACCGTAACATTGCTGCGGGGTGACGCAGCTCAAGGAAGAACATTTATGTAGGAGCCAGATTGGGGTTTTGCAGTTTATTGCTATGTATTTTTTGTGCCAACAGATGATGCTATTGTGCCTGTCTATTTAATGGGTGGGTTGATTAGGACAGGTGCGCACACCTGGGAAGCCGAACAGTTTTTTGACCGTGTGAAGTGGTCTTGTGTCTTTGTCTTACATAAAATGATGAATGAGTAAATAAATCAAAACAACAGAAGATATGGACGGTGTGACATGTGACATTATTCCACCTACGGGCACGCGTCAACTCAAGCAAAAAGGTGTTCGCCACAAGTAACAGCATTGCAAAGCTGTTATATTTATGATCATTCCTTTATCATTTCCTTGAAGTAACAATCACCATTTCAATCATTTTGAACTGCAGACATGGTAGTTCTTTTGCCTCAGCATCTCTGTCTGATTGCATTTCCATGAAGAAATGATCATAAATGTTCTTCCTTGAGCTGCGTCACCCCGCAGCAGCACATAATAGACTGGCCCAAGGTCTTGCTACTACAAACAAGCGGCTGCTGGAAGAGAGTGGGTGAGTTGTGTTTAGTCTCTTTGCTAAAGAAATGAAGCAAAGTTAAAAAGATGTTTGGTAGCTAGTACTATGGCTGGGACCCTATATGTACTGTTGATGAAGTTAGGTGCTGCTCTGAGCATTATCTGTGGCTATAGAGTGGCTTTTTGGTTGAGGTTTGTTTATGGCTCCTGAGACCTGCTGTGTATCGCTATACTGCGGTCACTACTAAGGTTGGTATAACTAGAGAAGCAAGCAGTTGGCAACATTCATCTCTCGAGGGGGTGTCGAACTCGATGTTACAGTGTTTTACACCGGAATATCCCTTTAAGGCATGTTCCTGATAAGATTCAACATGGATATCTAATTGTGTTTTTTTTTTCTTATTGCATAGACTTGCATTTTGCCTGCACCTGCCCTGGCTGCCCCTACTCCACTTCTCCTTTTAAACCCAGACAACCTTTGATCTCTAATGGCACTGCTCCAGTGAGTCTTGGCATGGGCTTAGCAGACACTGAACCAAGCAGCACCACCTCCACATCTGAACGAGACTCCAGACCACCCTGCTGCCCACTCAGGGAGGAGGCGGATGGAGGGACTGGGAGCCTGGCGACATCCTCAGACATTGCTCCTGCCAGAGCTGGCTCCTTGTCCCACCTCTCTATGTTCCCATGCTTATGTTGCCATCGCAGCCTCCAAACTTGCACCCAGGCAGTGAGCCATGACAGCCGAGATTCACCATTTTCTCACACTCATGCCCATCATCATTTTCACCACCACCACCATCACTGTCCATTAACCTCTTGTTTACCCTGCCCTCACCTTTCCAGCCCCTTCCCCTGCCTGTCTTGCCAGCACTCTTTTCCCACCTGCACTCAGGTGTGCCATCACCAGCACAGACAAACACACACTCAGCAACAAGAGGAAAGAAGCCGGGCAGCATCTACCATGTTGTTGCTGCATCCCTGCATGCACTGCTCTGCTTCTTTCTCTAGACCGTCACAGTTGCTGCAGCACCAGCGTACTGAGCACGCCCACAAACCATCCGGCTTTCTCTGCACAGAGTGTGGCAGGACCTTCAACTCACACAGCAACCTCCGCATCCACCTCAATGTACACACTGGAGCCCGGCCCTACTCCTGCTCTGACTGCGGGAAGAGTTTTAGCCAGTCAGGAGCTCTGAAGATCCACAGGCGGATTCACACAGGTGAGAGGCCATATTCGTGTGGATTTTGCGGTAGGGGTTTTCCTCATCTTGCAGGGGTACGGGCCCATCAGAGGATCCACACAGGAGAAAAACCCTACCGTTGTAGCCAATGTGGGAAATGCTTCACTCAGTCTGGAGCTTTGAAGATCCACACTCGCATTCACACAGGAGAGAGGCCCTTTGTCTGCAACCTCTGTGACAAGGCTTTTTCCAACCGCTCTGGGATTCGCTTCCATTACCGCACAGTCCATGGACTCGTCCCTGATCATGCTGGGGAGGCTGGACTAGGGACTGTGAATCAAGGACCAGCAGGTCGTGGTTTCCTTCTTGGGCGGCCAAAGACTTTCCCCCAGTCTAGTATTGGGCTAAATACTCACAACAACCTGAATAGTAACTCAGATACAGCTCCAAATCCCACAGATTCTCCTGCTTGTCCTGGCCCGGCTGCTCTCGATGTAAATAAGAGAAAATCTCAGTCAGACCCAAACAGTAACAGTGAGGTACTTTTGTATACATGTGAAGACTGTGGCTTGCGTTTTAAGGATGCCCCATCCAGGAACAGACATCAGGCTCTAATGCACTACTCCTTAGAGGGGAGAGAGGAAGAAGAAGAGGAAGAGGAGGAGGAAGATCAGAGGGAAAGAATTAGCACAAATAAGGCCGTCTGTGATATCAGTGGAGTGAAATGATAATTTTGGTGCATTACCACAAGCTGAACACAAAAACAAACCAGTCTTTTATGTTAAAATACATTCAACTTGTGCAAAATATATTCTGCACACAAGTACATTTGATATGACACTTACTTTCAGCTGTTCTTACAAGTTTTTAAATGACAAACTGCCTGTTTGTGCAAATGAGTCACTGCCATTTTCCATCTCAGAGTAACTTTGACACCCATCCTGCTGCAATTATAAAACAGTCCAACTTTGAAATTAATGTTTTTTTTTCCTTTAACAAAGTTGATTTATTGTGCCTTATTCAGCAGGGGAAGATTTGAACAGAAATTGCTCAATTTGTGTTTTAGTAACATTTTAAGATGCACAAAAAGGCCTTGTAATGGTGTAAAATACGATCTTATGTCTTGTCACACAAAATTATTTGTAGACATGAATCAAAATGAAAAGCAACTCTTAACCTGATCTTTAAATCAAGTCTTAAGTGATTCCAAGAGGTTAACACCTGTATTTCTTCAAAAAAAAATCCTGTCAAATGTTCAGTGAAGTAATAGTAAGTAAAGTGGCAAAAGCCTAAAAAGTAAATAATATTTTAAGGATTGGTCAGCTGGTCAGTAAGTGTGTGCCTTCTTCAAGCACACTTCAGAGGTTGAATCACAGGAGCAGAAGTCCGACAGCCTAGATCTCAGCTCCACCTTGCCTGCTGTGCCTTTGTAAATACTTCAAACAGTGTTTGTTCTGAGTGAAACGGATGAAAATTATGTGAAGCATTGCAACCAACTGTCACAGATTAGATTTTTAGCTGTTACAAACTCAAGAGTGCCACCTAGTGGTTATTCTCAATCATAGCAACAATCATAACCACTTAGTTTCTCTGTACCATTTATAGTGCTTTGTAAATGTTTTTTAAAACATGTTAAAATCAAACATTATGAATACAATGTGTTGTGAGGATGATTAACAAACTCAATAGACTCTTTTTTTTGCATTCACCTGTTAAAAAAGTCAAACCATACATTGCTGTATGAGTTCTTAAAAGTGCAACTTGTGATAAAACATTTTCCTATTAAACAGTTCTTCTGAAACACAACTGAACCTGGATTTCCTCAGTACATCACAGAATATTCCCACGGTATGAAAACATATATGTGTTAAGGGAATATTTGCATCCATATGGCTCTCAGAACAGTGTACTGTACATGCAGTGTAGTCCACCGTGCCTCGTACACTTGTGACACATCACTGGGGTCACTGTCAGTGCAAGCACACTCTGGACAACGCTGTCCAGCTTTGTGTTCAGCTGAGATCACCGGCCGGTCCTGACACATTCTAACTCAGAAAAGTCTTTTTCTCCATATCTGAGCCGCTTACAAAGGCTCCTCATACGTGTGCTTCTGTAGTAACGAGTCACGGGACTTGGGCTCAGCGTAGACAACACTGACTGGGCGTGGGCTGTTAGCGTGAAGAGCGGGAGTGCAGTAGCCATTGGACAGCATCCTGTGAGAGGGGCAGTCATACTGAGAGTGGCTGGATGTCATCATTGGGCCAGCCATGGGTGCTGGTACAGGAGGTCCATGTGACTCAGAGGGCAGCTCAGCGAACGGGGTGGCGTACTCCGGCTCTGGGGGTAGAGGCTCGGTGTACTCTGGCAGACTTCCAGGAGTGTCATAATGGCTGACAGCGAAGGGAGCAGTGTAGCCCTCTTCTGAGGAAGGCCTAAACGTTGACCCCACTTTCTGCCCGACGGCAGGCTCAGCATAGTCTGGAAAAAAAAAAAACGAGTTTTCAAAGAAGTTAGCCGAAATCAAAGTGTTGTTCTATTTCTTCCCATTTGAGATACAGCAAAACTTGCCAAACTTTATTCTTACATTTACAGTATCGATTTTTTTTTCCTTTAGTGTTTCTGTCATTTCTGTTGGCAATGCCAGCTCTGAGCAGTTTCCAAGCAACCAGCATGGACTCCAAGAAGCCACTGCTTCCAGCCAAAAACAAATGACCTCCTGTAAAGTGGCAAATGATTTTTTTTTTCTTATTACCCTGCCTTTTAACATCAGTCTTTGAACGCCTCAATTAAACTACCTCTAATTAGTTAGCTTGATAGATTTAGATTGAGAGTTGGGCTGATTGTGCAACTACTTAGTCTATAATTTCCAGCCTTGGGTTACGCTTATGAAGCTGCAATAAAGACACTCTTAATTGTTACACTCCAAGAGGTACTGTCAAAAGAGTTCCCATGGTTATTGAAATTTTATTCGTGCATTACTGTCTTGCACATAGAAAATGTCCAGTAACCTCCCATAAGCTCCAATGGTTTCACAGTGATGCCTCTTGAACACCTCTGTTACTACTTCTGATGTTGGCTCAACTGAGAGATCGAGTTTGCCCCTCCAGTCACGTCTCCATGCGTGTTACATTGGGATAAGTTGTAACAGAAGGATAACATGCAGTGTAAAAGGCTCAAATGCCTCTAAATACAGTGACAGTGGTCTTATAATACAGTACTTGGATCTGTTCAGACCTCTTGTAGAAGGGTGTGGTGTGGGGGCCTCGACATTACCCAAGAGCCCGCGGGGAGCCTCAGAACCAGAGCTATTTTAATTAGACGGGCTTTAGTGAGGGCTTTGATTGTCTTAGCTTTGACCCTCTGTCCTGTTTATCACTTGACCTCTCAGTGAAAGGCCCCATCGCTTGGGGGAGGGGATGGATGGAGGAGGCAGAGAGTGGGGGAGCGGTGGGCGGTGAGGAGGGAATAGGCAGAGCGCCCTTTATCGAGCTCCAATTAAAGGGTCCCTTTCAGAGGAGCTCCATGGACCAAAGAAAGGAATGTTTATACTGTGGCTGGGTGATGGGCTGAGCTGGGGGGAGAAAGAATGGAGCGCCCGTGGAGAGAGCTGTTTGCCTGTCAGGCCTGGCAGGAGCTCCTCAAACTGACCGCTGAAGCCAGAGATTGTTAGAGCGGGAAACATGGCAGAGGGACAGCAGAGCCTCCAAACTTCAGGTCACAAGTGAACCCTGAACGAGTGAAGAAAAGTGAATAAATAAGCAGGAGCTCTGCATGGATTCTTACCGTTGAGGGGAGGGCTTGGTAGGGCATCATGGACATTTCTCTTGAGAGGGTAGGAGATAAGCTCTGACCGGGAGCAGGGGAGGCTCTTTGACTGGAAACTCTGACAACCTACTTGACACAAAAGAACTCATATGAAGAGGGTTTGACGATTTAACAATGTTAAAAATGGTTTGAAGAGCACTTGACTTACTTTTGGGTAGAGAGTACTTCAACTCTGTTTCTTTTTTCCTGCACAGGTATGAAAATGAACAGACAGCATTAATGGGTTGGACATCACAGATTTTTTGCTTTGACTACTGGACGATCATTAGAAGGGCTGAAGCAAGTAGTTGTGTTACACTTTGACAAGAAATTTGAATGTGACTATTAGGCAAAAATACTACATTTTAATGTATGTATGTATCCTAAAAAGTTTAATCTCATCTCAATTAAAACGTGTTACCTTCTTTTCCACCAGACTCCAGCCAACAAACAACTGCCGCACATTATCAGAGCCAGAACCACTCCCACTGCCACTATGACAGGCTGACTGGAGCCTGCAGGAAAAAAAAGTGTGTGAGTGAGCAAACAGTCGTACAAGAGCAAGGAATGCATTTTACTGCTGTGTAAACAAAGATAGAGACATTGTTTTTACTGATTTAACATGCACTTTGACAGTCATTCTCAATGTATAAAATATTTGTTTTAAATGTTTTTTTTTCTTCTGTTTCATTCTTATTACAATCGTTCCTTTCAATTATTGTGGTTGCTGTCATTGCAGGTGTTATAATGATTTTGTATAAAGACTGTACATGTTGTTTTTGTATGGTAGACAGATGATCATGGCATACATATCTATTTTTTTTCGCCATTACCATTATATTTGCATGAATCTGAAAATATTGCACCTGTTTTCCCTTTTATTGTATGTGTTTTAAAGCAAGGTGAAGAAAGTAAAAGGTAAAAAATGAGTATCCAGTGAACAAAATTAAAAGTGAGTAAATAAGAAGTTGTTTGACAGGTTCATACTCAGTCTTGTCTCCACTAACACTGGACCCTCAGTGGGGGTAGGAGTGGGGCTGGGCGGTGGTGTATCCACATTTACTTTAATGGAAGGGGATTCTGTTGAAGCAAGACACACACACATTTACAGTGCATCCAGAAAGTATTCGTAACACTTTACTTTTTCCACATTTTGTTATGTTACAGCCTTATTCCAAAATGGATTAAATTCCCTTTTTCCCTCGAAAATGCTACACAAAATACCCCATAATGACAAAGCGAAAAACTTTTTTCGCTTTGCAACATTTGAGTGTCTTATTTTTAATACATTTGCAAAATGTTTGCAAAAAAAGGGAATTTAATCCATTTTGGAATAAGGCTGTAACATAGCAAAATGTGGAAAAAGTGAAGTGGTATGAATACTTTCCGGATGCACTATATATATAGAGATAAACATATATAGAAACATATAGATATTTATAGATAAATATAGAATAATAAGCACAGACTTAAATTTTACAGAACTTCACTGATTTTTGCCCACAGACTTTCTGGGATAAGAATAAGACAGCAGGACTACCCACCAGCGGGTGAGCGGGACCTCGAAATTAATCTGCTAACAGGACAGCCCAGGACTTGGACCTGAGCTGAGGCTCGGCCGTGCCAGCTCAGTGGCTGCAAACGGACAAACCGAGCCACCACTGGAGGAATAAGACTGTTGAGAACCCTGAGGTGTCCATCGGTGTAGGCCTGAAACACCTGGGGACCGCAGTAAGCAGGTTACTTATTAACAGAGGACACCAGGAAGTACACAAAGTTTGAACATCAGCTTTTGTACTACTGAACAAGAACCAACCAACCGACACGAGAGAAAGCAGAGCAATACACACCTTTCTCTCTTTGCTGAGGGTGCCTTTGTAAAGCTTCCAATTTTTTCTGTCCTTGCTGAAAAGAACAATGAAGGATTCTATGTAGTACTTGTTTGATCCCGTTGTTATTATTCCTGAAAAAAGAGCATGAAATTAAAAGTTCAGAAATTAATAATCAGAATAAGCTGAAGCACATTCCTTATTGTAAAAAGGTTTATCAGTTTCCTCTTGGTTGATCTGGTTCTTCTGTCAACAAATCTAATCAATAGAGAAAAAAAACAAAGTTTTGGGACATTTCTCAATACTCTTAACTTTAACTACCAGTCTAACTTTCACTCATTGTTTCACTCAGAATAACAGCAAGCTTTAATCTTCAGTATAGAAGATAAATCAACATGTTTCATTCAGCAAATCCTGTCTTTCGTTTACCTGTAATGTTGCTTCTGTCACTCAGCTCCAGCTCCACCCACGGCTCTGGGTCATTGCTATCTGCTGTCCACTGTAGGGACATTGTGTACTCTTGACTCTTCTTATCCCAGAAAGATGAGGCGTTTAAACCAGACACTCTCAGGACGCTGTTGCATTCTGTTTTTTTAGAGCAGAGAAAAATCAACTCATGAACGACAAGACAGAAGTTTGAACATTAACAAGCAAACTCTACTATTTATTTTGATGAAATGCTGAGGTTTTTCTTAGGGTTTCTACATGAAGAATGCCTATAATGTGCAGTTTGTAGTGCATGGGTTAAAAAAAAGTTTAAATCAATGGTTATCATTTGGGCACAGTGTTGTGTAGTCATGCAGCAATGCCCTTTAATACCTTGACTGAAGAGCAGCTTCTTTTCAGATAATGACCCCCTGTCGAAAGAAGACAGTTGAAAAGGTTTGTATACCCACAGAAAATCAAATACAAACTCTTTCATGCTAAACAACATGTTACTATCAGAGCAGACGTACATTTTTGAAAGGACTCCGTTGGCAAAGGTGGATTCATAGAGTTTTATACTTTTTCCACGGTTCACAGTGACACGACCTCCCAAACTATCAGACACAGCTCCAGCATGGACTGCAGCCTTGCACAGGACTGAAGTCTACAGAACAGGACATGTGATGCTTTTTCAGACATAATTTTAAAATACAACATGCTCATGGTGGTATAATGTAACATTGTTTACTTACATCTCTGTAACCCTGCTCAGAGTTCCCCCAAACGTCCCCTGTGACATTCTTACATCCAGCAGGGCAGTACACACTACACAAGAGGAGAATGATAAGTGAGAAATACTAATCCTTCTAATCAGACAGATTCGATTATGAAACATCAGGGTAAGAGGTGATGGGGGGTTGCTTACCTCAAAAGCTGCCAGCTATAATGAGACCCTCGTTGTAAACAAGAAATCAGGTCTGTTACAGGAAAACGGACACTCAAATTAATCTTAACCCAGATAATGAATCTGAACTTTCTTACAAAGAGTCCAAACAGCACATCTCAAGCTTACATAATTCCCCCTCATTCCTCAAACAACACACAATTAGACTCTGTGTGAGACAGTCTAGCATGTTCTATGTGTGCTGTATTAAAAGATGAGCGGTCATCGCTGTTGATGTGACTAAGCCCTTTGTTTCGGTGATTTTGACACAGTTCATGAGTACAGTGAAAGGTCCTCGTGAGATCCAAGTCAACAGACAGTGGTCTGTGCGTCTGGACATGGGCTTAGCTTCAGACAACCCAGACGCAGCCAGATTTCATAAACAACTCAGTAAAAAACAGGAAACTATGATACAAACTGTACTGTGCAGATTACCTCATCCTGGGGAAAGGAAGCTACCTCTAAATATAGACAAGCATCCAGACAAAACAAGCACAAAGGATTATTAAAATGACACATGGGCTGAAACTTCACATGCGTGTCTTGTTTTTGCTACACAGAGACACTAAATTTCAACCCCTAAATAAATTTATGTGCACATGCTTCAATCTGTTGTTTCGTTGGTGGAAATAGTGAAAATGTGCATAAATAAATGGTAAAATCAACCATCTCAAGGTTGCATTAATGTGGGATAGTCTTGGGTTTGCACTGGTGATGAAGAAGAGGAGGAGGAAGGGGTGAGAAAAAGAACTGCAGCCACTCTAAGCAACAGACTAAAGCCTGAGGCCTCACTCCATTCAGCTTCAGTGAAGGAGTCTGTCTCTAGCTTTCTAAGCAAACATGCCACAGCAGAGATAGTGATGGAGGATGAATGCCAATAAGAAGGGACACACACACACACACGCATGCACACACATCAGCATACACACTATGGAAAATGTTCACACAGACATCAGCTGATAAAATGACTTCAGTGAGAACTTGTAGAGCAAATTTTCAAAGTTCAATTCAAGCTATTCAAAAAGTGAACATCGATGTGACCACCACAAACATCGTTCCTATCATCACTAGAAAAGCACTCGGAGAGCACAGACCTCTGCCAAGCAGCTCATGTCCCCCCTTATATTGTGATTCACACCAAAACTTTTACTGTTACGTGTCTTTTATTAACTTTTATTTGTGTTTAAACTGGTATGTTCACTGTTCATAATGTTCCTAAAACAACAAAGCTCATATTAGATACATAAATGCATGATTTATTATGCAATATTTTAAGCGTACACTTCCTTGTATCTTCATTGGTTATCTTTCAGCATTGAAAATTCCAACGACACCCTTATTTTTGTGTGTTCTGGATCACAGTATCCGGAATTTTGTCTGGATCAGGATCAACCTTTGACACCTCATAAAACTCACTGAGATCCTTTTGTGTTATTTTTTACTAAAGACTCTGGCCATTTTTATAGAGTTACATGCAAAAATTCCAAAATTTGCCCTATCTCACAATGATAAAGAATCCTTCAAAAAATTCCTGGATCCAGAAGGCGATCCAGATCACCACCAAAATGTAATGGGATCCTCCTGGGGCTGAGACGCACCTCTGGTGAAAATTTCAGGTCAATCCGTCTCTTACTTTCTCCGTAAAGTTGCTAACAGACAAACAAACAAACTAGAAAGGCACTCAGAGAGGGCAGACCTCCGCCAAGCAGCTAATGTCCCCCCTTAAACAAGAAATGTTGCGAGGCGACAGTGCTAACCACTACACCACTGTGCCGCCTATCTACACCACTGTGCTGCCCATTGGTTATCTTTCAGCATTGGAAATTGCAACGACACCCTTATTTTTGTGTGTTCTGGATCACAGTATCCAGAATTTTGTCTGGATCACCACCAATGGGATCCTCCTGGGGCTGAGACGCACCTCTGGTGAAAATTTCAGGTCAATCCGTCTGTTACTTTCTCCATAAAGTTGCTAACAGACAAACAAACCAACGCTACCGAAAACATAACCTCCTTGGCGGAGGTAATAATAGGAGTGTTTGCAAAGAGTAATAAAGCAGACCTAAATATCATACCTGGGTACTGGTCGGTGGAATAAGACAGTAGAAACCCTCGTCCTGAGCGGTGTGGGCCTGACCTGAAAGTTATCATCACTTCATTACTTCTTAGTGTCAGGTTCTTCTCTAATGCAACAAGTCTCTGGCACACTGGACCTGTGAACAGGCAGACCCACAGAGCACACAAAGACATTAATTTTCAAAATATGATGTAGGTGAACACCTGCACAGGCAGCATGCTTCACTCTTTAGTAGTGAAATGTTCATTTCTTGGCATCTATCAATAGGTAAAGTTGACAGAAGGTAAAGTAAAAACACAATGCTTTCCTGTTGTGTTTGTCTCCCATAACAACAGCCATAAAGCAAAATAGGAAGACTACATAGACTGTTACGTGGGCAATCTACATGTAAGAACACCTTCCCATCAGAGAAAACCGAACAAAAAAACATGAGCTAGGTTTTCTGGAATCTGGTAAAGAAGAAAAAAGCTGCGCATCAGAGTGTTTCTATAGCCTGAATTTCTCAATCCTTATGTTGGTGTGTTGTTAAAATCTCACGCCCTAAAGGCACAGTCCGATACACCTGGTTGGAAATAATGCACAAGCATCTTGCATAATAGAGTTTACCTGTTCAGTCAGTGTGTCAATAGAAAGGCATGCATGGTGTACACTCTACAATATATGAAAGCACAATAATGACGCAGAACTTTGATTTTCATAAGATAATTAAACAAAAGTTGGTACATGTTAGTACAGCAATGCACTTTTAGTCTGATTCAGATTCCTACTGAAATGGTAATACACCAAACTTAACTAAAGATAATCCTAATCCAATCTGGACTGGCTTTATTTTAGTTCATCTTCCAAAACCATCACAAAAACACCGTGCAGCATCATCTTACCCAGAATCCGCTCCCCATTCTTGTCTGTAATCACAAGAGAGCCGTTTCTGCACTCTGGACTGCTCTCAATGTCAAAATCCCCAAACAACAATCGCAGCGTTCGCCCCTCTGGCACCCGTAGCCTCCATTTACACCAGGTGTTGCTGGGGTATGTCCCCGGGTAGTTCTGGGAGGCCAAAGTCCCAGACTCTGAGCCCAGCACTGTGTGTCCACAGCCATTACCTGAACAAAGGTACACAAGAGGACAAGAGAGAGGCTGTGAAAAGAGGAAGTCTGTGGAAGTTTAGAGACCAAGTTGATTGAAGGTAGTCGAAACATTTCCAATGTTTCCAACATGCTGTTAGAAATGGCCAATGCTTCCTAAGGGGGCCAATTTGGCTCAACTAAGTTGCATGCCCACAGCTTAGAGGCTCTAGTCCTTCATGAGTGCAGCTCGGGTTCGATTCTAAACAGTAGCCCTCAGCCACATGTCGTTTAACATGCTGTTCTCAGTTCTCTATTCTATCTACTGTCCTACCTCTCCATAAAACTACAAAAAGCCCCAAAATAAACCTAAAGAATAACTACAGCTGCAAGGTTGGCTACAAGAGTTGTGTTTGGTGTCCCTCAATTTTTCTTTACCAGGACTGAACAATTTTCAGGTTTTTGCTCCGGTTTCTGATTAGAACAAGAATAGGAACTAACACATTGCCCTTGTTTCACGATCATCTCCCAGCTGACTCTAATGGTCACTGACAAATGGATCACAGAAGAGGTGGTAGCATAACCTGTACAGCCAAAAGCTCCATATCTCATGAGGTTCTGCTGAATATTATTTAAGTCTAAAAGAACCAGCAAGTACTTATGTTTGTCACCTGGGATGAGTCAATTGTGTTTTTTTAAGGTTTACTAATAAATATATATCAATAATTGTTTAATATGTCCTGCACAGGATGATTTACTTCAAACAGGTGCTAACTAGAAGTATTTACCCCTCATAAAGCTGAGTAAATTTGAATTACACTATGACTAATTATGCTCAAGAGCCACTTCTACATCTGTGCTGGTGAGAATTAATCCGCTGAACACCTCAAGTTTCAGTAAAACAAAAATGCCAATATCTCAGACACGCCATCATAAGTTTTTTTATTCAGAACACGTAACGTTAAAGGCTTTCTACTGCACTATTTCAGGACAGATGAGTAACTAGTCTTTTCTGAACACGCACAACAGACCAGGACATGTTTATACTCTTTTGATCATAACTAAGAGATGACACAACAGCTAGAAAGAAGAGTATTCCCAAGACAATCACCAGCATGTTGAACATGAAGCATTAAGATCTTCTAATACCGAATGTTAAAATTGTTATTTGTTAGGACATCTCCTTCTGAACATGTACTGAGTCACTATGACTAACTCTTTTGACTGGAACACAAATATTTAGATCCTCTAACATCCCTGTGGGTTGAAGAAAATAAATGAGTCAATTCCCATAGTGGTCAAACAGAGATAAGTGCTGCGGGGGCAGCAGACTCAAAATCCTTCTCCAGACAAAATGTCAAGTGTTAAAGTGCTCCAAGAATGGTCAAAACTTGAAAAAGGCACCAGGGTCAATCTAAGCCTCAACATCATCCCTGTCCTTGTCTTCCAAATAAGGCTGTTGGAGATTTGTTGAGAGGGAACAGGAGGATAACCTTCCCCCTCACCCTGTGTCACACACATCCTGCATCACACCAGCCGTTTCCCCATTTCCCGACAGCTTCTTGGCCCCTAACAATAGCATGAACCTTCAGATGTTATTGCCCCTCCTCATACCCCCAAAGGATTCCCTGGAAATGCCACAGCGACACACTGTAACCGTGGGCAACAGAGCGTGGATCTGTCACCTTCCGGTTAGAAGCCTCAGAGGCCACAAGTTCTGGGTGGCTGGAAATCTTTCCCTGCTTGCTGAACCCTCTCTCCGGGCTTGTCCGTTTCTGGTCTGACACTAAGAGCTGGGTGTGAGTTACGAACAGAAAATGAAAATCGAGTGAATAAATGACAGAAAACTGGAGGGGTAAGTGGGTGGTAGGACAGCAATCCCAAGCAGCCCATAGACATTGTTTTCCACATGCCTGCAGGTCCTTACAGGTCCACACTAGCAGACGGGATGTTCACCTGTGCTACCTGTCACTACACTGCCTTACCCCGTCTTGTGTCAATCACAATGTTACAACACCAAAGCTGCAATGTTTCCCCCTTAATCTGGCCCCACCAAATCTCTTCTCAGTCTTTCCAGCAAGCCCACTGTGATTCAGAAGACATATCTGACCCTGGACTTAATCATCTTCCTCCCAGAGTCAGACAAAAACAACAGAAGGGATTTGTGGTGTTACAGTCACAGTCTGCGGAGAAGTAAATTGGTAAATTATTTCTGTCTGTGTATATGTAAGATGACTGTGATTCATGCTGCACGTGGAGTTGAGTGCTGTTTGGGAGGAAAACCTGTGGGAAAGGTGGGCTGATAGCTGGGAGGAGGTAAACATGCACAAGGGAAGAGAATGTAAAGAATGCAACCATCACAAAAGATCAGGACATGTCCTATGTAGACCACAGGCCTTGGTAAAGATACACCCAGTGAAAAACTGCTCATTTAAAAAGTAATAATAGATAATCTAGCTTTATGTTATGATAGTATCAGACTTCAGAAGGATGTAAACATTGTTTTAAAGCCTGTCACTCATTTGTACCGGCCTCACAACTCTTCAAAATCACTTCACTACACCTAGAAATAAACAGTAACAAATAAAAATAACGTTTATTTGTTGAGACCATATAGCTAGCACTCGTAGCATCAAGCTAACAGGATGATTGAAATAGACTGGGGTGACAAAGTCTGTATCTTATCATCATTAAAAAAACAAACTCTCTTTCTCACCTTCCTGGCCGTGAACGCCAATGGAAAAGACGCTAAAAGTTATCCAAAAACCAGCGACAACAGACTTCACAGCATCCCGGATATTTTCCAGCTTTGCCAGCATGATTTCCACAGGGCTGTTTGTTAGAAGTAAAGTGCAAGCCCCAGCGGCTCGGGGTCCTGGCCTCAGTGAAAAGTTATAGTGTAAAGTTCTGCCCATTTACTATTGGCCAAGGGGCGTGAATTCGAGCTTCTCATTGGCTCTCTGTACGTGTCAATCAAACAATCCCAGGCATTCCATTCCCAAGTAGGGGTGAGCCGATTTGTTATGTGTGAGCTGATCTGAGATCAGCCATCTAGAGTTAATTCTACTGATGCACCCACGTCTTCCAGGAGGCAGACACCGTACTTGGCTGCTATTTTACTTACCTATCTCAGCTAAGGCCTTTAAATGCATTAAATAATTGAATTCGGGGTTCTTAGGTTCACTATGCTGAGAACAACATTGTAAATGAAAATATACTGGATTTATATATCTATACAGCATTTCTGTGCTCAAACTGAAAGCAAACCCTGCCACCTTTCGGTGAAATGCTGGCAACAACAATAATGCAACACGCTATCGTTTAGTTTATTACATGACAAACCAACATCAGACTACACAAGTGCAAAACAATTGAAAGAGAGCAGTGTGGTTGAGTCTTTCGCCCTGCACGAGGGAACGTGTTTTCTTTTAGTGTAACACTTTACGGACCTCCTTTGGGATTGTAACAATTTCTATAAAGCTTGAAAACACCCGTCTATTCTCTGCCTTGGCTCAGAGGTGCTCTAACCAAACCGTGAGCTCGCACATAAGAGCAGTTTGACCGATTTACACATCGCGTGCGAACTAACCGCTTCTCGTGACAGCGGGACAGATGCTTCTCAGGCAAATGCTGCCTTCACTGCAGGAAGTGTAACGAAGCAGCACGGCGCATGCTCTCCAGCCTCTCCGACAAGCGGAGGATGAATTATCCCCTGCTGTAAACCGGTAGGTAAAACTATGATAATATAATTTAAAGTGTTTGTACAGTTTGAGTGTCCGCCTGCTGCTTTTTGTGCACTCTCGGTGGGAAAGTGGCGCGCGCCGTCGCACTGTTGTTGGCCAGGGTGTGCGTGCCGCCGCACCAACAGACGTCAGTTTGAGTGGGTGAAGGAGGGTGAACAAGGCACGCAACTGTCTGTGTAGGAGTTGGTGATTTAACATGGGCTACTTGTTATATATGTAAAATGTAACGATCTATTGCCTCCAATCCGCATTTTATCCCCAAAAAGACTTCCTTGTTGTTTCTCCAGGCTGGAACAATGAATACCCAGTTTATAGTCTTTATTTCTGTGTGTTGTCTCGTTATTCTCGCCCTAAGTCGCCTTATGCGTTTTAATGGAACTGAAAGAATAATATAGACAGAACCCTGTTTTACTGATTACCTCTTAGTGATTACCCCTTGACTGAATACGAAGGGAAATTAACATTTTTGTTTGTTTACCTTTATGCGTTTACCCAACTTAGATGTCTATTCATGCCACAGATATGGAAACACCTAATATTCCAAATTAAGGACATAGATCAACATTTTACCCCATGTTAAAAAGTAATCTTTTGAAAAGATATATGGCACAGATATGAAATGAGAGCAGACAAATAAGTAGTCTATAATACACATAGTTAATCAACTCCACCTAAATATTATGCCTCATATGACTTACTGCCACCACCTCTGACAAATCTATAAGTCCAACAGGTCCTTTATTTTTTCACATCAGTGGCAAAAGAGGTTATTGCAAAAGAGCTACATAAAACGGTCCTGATATAATTGGATTTTGGGAGTTTCATTGCAGTAGCTAACATTATGAAAGGACATTACTGTTAAATCCTCAATGACAGTTACATTGCTGTAGTATTTTACACTTCAGGCTTTATTACCAAGTATTTTAGCTAAACCTTTGAGTTTTTCCCATTATCTGTAGCACAGTATTCATGCATAGCCTTGATAGCAATATAGGAGGCAAACCCTATGTGAGGATTATGTTTCTATAAACCCACTATGAATTTATTTCTATGACAGTTGCATGCCAGGAACGACTGTTGGGGGAGGCGTTCATAGACTTGTGTATGCATTAAATAGCTTCCCTGCATGCGTGTGTGTGATCTGGATGTTAACATGCGTGCCCAACTCTCTGTGCGTGCAGCTCTGTGGGGAGGGGTGATGGCGGGTGCTGAGGTCACTGTGTCTTCAGGGGATCTCATGATGCTGAAGGAAGAGGAAGGAGAGGCCAGTGGCAACGACCACAAGACTCAAGTCATTTTGCACCTGCAGCCTATCCTGCACGGGTAACACTCATTTTGACACAGGATGCACAGAACTTATCCTGCTTTAGCCAAAAAGACAGATGTAAATAGTTGCATTCTCAAATATTCAAATTTCCTTAACACTGTTAAATGCACATTTAATTCCAAGAATGTAAAAGTAAGAAATCTGGAGTATATGCATGCAGTAACTGTTTACATATTTGACTGTTAAATTCAGAGCTAGTCAACTGTCAGCAGGCATGAGACGTTTATTCTGTTTCATCTGACCCTCTGTCACCCTCTGCAGGGTTAATGATGACATTGCCGACACTGGCACTACAGTCTTGGCCATAGAGACACACCATGGTATGTTTACACCCACCCATGTAAAGCTGGACAGACACAAAGACAAATGATATATAAATGTTACTTAGTTCAGGCAATGTGTTATTGGCACAAATGAATCCCTCTCTTCATTTCATTATAGACCCAAATTAATACAGAATACTGATAAACCTGCTTCTTTGATTTTTTTTATAGTCACATGATTCATGTATTCATTAGCATCCAGGGAGGTGGTGTTTTAATTTACTACACCAGTAATTGCTTTTATGCACTCATAACATTATAATGTTACTGCTTTAATACTTTGTAGAAGACAGTAAGGCAGAAGGAGAGGAGATTGAGTACGGCTATCCCATCACCTGTGGTGACAGCAGAGCTGTTCTCCTGTTTAAAAAGTTTGTTTGCCCAGGAATCAATGTGAGATGTGTCAAAGTAAGTGGATGAATGATTCAGATTAATTTATGTTACTTCCTTTATATTCTCATTATTGTTTTTTTTTTTATATTTAAGTATAGATAATGTTGTTTTCCTTTCTTACAGTTCAATGATCAGCTCATCAGTCCTAAACAGTTTGTACATCTGGCAGGGAAAGCCACTCTGAAGGACTGGAAAAGAGCCATCAGACTTGGAGGGGTAATGCTCAGGTACAGCCTATAAAAATACATTATTGATCTGAAGCAAAGGAGTAGGTGTGCTGCTGGGTCTTTGCAGTAACCATATACTGCTGCCCTTTGAATAATTTGGGTCATGAGGCTTGTTTTCATGATCTTTTTGATCTCGTTGAGAAATGTATTTACTGTTTCTTATTTGGATCTGTCAAGACTTTACCCTGGTATGTGTCATTTATGTTTTTATCTAAGGATAAGGATAAACTTTATTGTCCCCTGTGAGAAATTTGTCTTGGACCTGTCTTCGAAGCCTATTATGGAGTAGGGAACTGGGGAGAGGGAGTGAAGATAGCATTTGGCAGATGGACAATGGATTGGCCAGTAAAGCTGATTCTGATTCTGATTTGAACCTGAACTGTCGGCTTGGAAGGACTCCTCTGTGCTTTGGGCTCTCAATTCCACCCTGAGTTAAACCCACATGTCTTCATTTTTTTCTCTTTCCTCTACTTTATTTCCTTCTTCTTACCTCCTCTCTTCATTTGTCCTTTACCCTCTATTGATGGGGTATCACTTCCTGTTTGTTTTGCCATTAGACCTTCTCACTCGTGGAGAATGATCGTCCCAAAATGAAGACCCACACTGATGTCAGCTTCATATTTTGCTTTGTAAAATGAAGGCATTTTTATAGTACACAAATCTAGCAGTGTGTCATTTGTCAGTCTGGTGTTTTCCTCATGGCTGCTAGGGAGACTCATGCTTATTTGACTGACCTTTAAGGGAGTTTCTCACATCATTCTGTGGCATCAGGGTTCAACCGTCAGACTTTAAACACCTCAGTCTAATGCAGTCAACAATCATTCATATAATTTGCACTTGCGTCGTGTCTGTCTGCGTTGGGCTTTGCCACCACATTCCTGAGGTAGCAGGTAAGCTGCATTATCATGAAAGGAGGATCAAATAACACGCAGCCAAGCTGTTGAGTGATACTTCTCACCGGATTGATCGTGTTTGCACTTGTTTTTGGTGTTTCTCTGAGTCAATACACTGTACCAACTCAATAATATCTTTATTTCTCAAGAGTTCACATCAATGGGTTTCCTGTCGAACAAACTTCAGGGGCGCTATTGGAAATGTTCAATGTAATCAATTCACCCTTCAACACCCTCTCAGCAGCTGTGAAACAAAATGTTTTCTTGTAAAGTTCCTTTGACCTGCTCCTCCCCCTTACAGGAAAATGATGGATTCGGGCCAGATAGATTTCTACCAGCACGACACCGTGTGCAGCAACACCTGCCGCAGCACTAAATTCGATGTGCTGATCAACAGTACACGGCTTCCTCCTGGGACGTCAGTGCAGCCAGGCCTGTCATGTCTGCCTCTCGACCCTCTTGGAGGACAGGTGCCGCCCCTGACAGGTAGATTCCAGTTGGCGTTCTCAGTTTAAGTTTCTTTCTCTCCCACATCTGCCTGGGCTGCTATTTTGCAGGGTTCAGATGAAACTTCACAGGCCACCTGGGTATTGTGGATCTGCAAGTAACAAGAATATTTGTTCTTTTGAAAAATGTCTGAAAGACTGTGGGGAAATTGGGAGATTAGATCAATAATTAATTTGAGAAAATCATTCTAAATGACAGTTATTCTTTAACTTTACTAAAAAGGTGGTAGGAAACAGATTTTCTGCCTCTTTTCACATTAATTTGTTATGTCTGCGCAATCTGCTGTCATTCCAGGGGAGATTGTGCATGAAGCAGCAGAAGTAGAGGAGCCTTTAGAGGAGAAGTTAAGCACAGCAGCAGAGTGGAGTCCTGGTAGAGTTCAACCTGTAAATCCCACAACAGCCAATGGACATGCTGCAAAGAGGAAGAGGACTGACACCCCTGGTAAGTATATGAAGAGCTACACTGTCCTTGTCACAAACACTGTGAGAAGTTTTTCAGTCGTTGTGTCATTGCCCAAAACTGATACTGATATCTCTCTATGAATTTCAAAATCAAATGAAACCTTTGAAACAAGGCTGAAAGTTTCTCTGTTTTAAACTTTGATCCCTGCTGTGAAAGGTTAGGCGTCAGACAGGATGATTAATAGCAAGCTGAAGACTTTTGTCCACAGCAAATACTCACAGTAAGTGATAGATTTCACTTTTAATAAGACTACAGGGTGACTTTTTTGTTTGAAAAGACTACTTCAGCCTATATAGGTCGAGAGATGGACCTGTTCCTTTGTCCACAGGGGGGCACCAAAACTGACAAAAACCAAAAGGTCCTCACAGCAGCTTCAAACAGACTGAACAGTAATAATACAATGAGGGAAACATATTGAAAATAGGTGGGGTGATGAAAAACCCATTTTGACTATTAATGCATAAGAGAGGCATCATTAATTTTGCTTGGTTGAATAATAATTATACCCCCAACAACAGGTAATTGCAATGCCTTTTTTTTTCTTAAGAGACATGCTACATTAGTTGGCTCACAGTGTTAATGTTCATCTCCATTTACAGATTATAGATTTTGGAATCTATAATGAGAAGCCAGATTTTTGTCTGTGGCACATTTGAAGTCTGGGTAGTTTTCACTAATCATGTATCAGTAGTCCATACCGAGAGTAAATACTGGTGGGATCTACAGCCGCAATCATTAGCAGAATTCTAAAAAACAATCATTTCATTTCCATAAATAGATGTCTATATGCAAGTTTTCTTGTCCAAACATTTCAGCTTGAGCAAAAAATTCACTTAACTTGCTGCAAAAAGCAAATCAGTCTTGAGAATTTGGGTCTCTGTGGACTGTATCGGAAATGACTGATGGACTACTTTTCAACAAACGTGTATTTCAAAAGTTGATTCCTTTCCCTCTTGAGGACAGACTTGACAAAGCTTGTACTTCTTCCATCTGCAAATCTGCATCATAACATGGTTATTTTGGCAAACTCAAAGCTCCTGTGAAAAGAATTTTTAGCTGCTTATGAAACAGACTGAAATGAATAGTGCTGCCTTTATACAGGCTACAAAAGAAAAGCAAACCATAATTAGGAGGAAAAGATTATTCTGGAAAATAAGGGTTAAAACTGCTGCAGGATGGCTAGATGCCAAATGAAGTGTTTGAGTTTATATTATTGTATCTTCTTTAATAAAATGGACTAAAAGTGATAACTTGTTTGTTAAAAAAAAGCAGGATAGAATTCTTTGAGAAAAAAAAAATCATTACTGACACATGTATGAGACAAAACCGTCAAATAGATGAGGTTGTGCTTTCTCCATAAAGGGCACTAAAACCGGCAGAAACCTTAAGTTCCTCCCAGGAAGATTAAAACCTGTTTGTGTCATGTTAAACTTCAGCAATGACCTTAACGATGAAATTGAAACTCAAGAAGTAGCATTTGCCTCTGCTATGACCCACTTTGTCAGCTCATAAAGGACAATACCCTTGAGGTGGATTCTCGACGTTTATAAGGTACATTTCTATAACGGGAGAGGGCCCAGGTTCAGCACACTGACATACAAACCTTTGTGTGTCACACATTCATGGGTCACGACCTTTAGGAGGAGACGGCCTGTTATCTGATGAAGAAAAGAAATGGTCTGCACTTCAACAGTTGTGCATTAATAATAAATTCTTGAAAATGAAAGAAAGGTGAATTTGCTGAAACAGCTGCTGAGCGTCTGAACCTGCAGTCTTAGGATGTTCTGGTGATCTGTCACACAGGCCTTGATTAATCGCTGACTTTCAGCAAGCAGAGAGTCACATCCCTTTATATCATCATCTGGATCTCAACATGTGTGTTCCTTTGCTTACACCTATACACTTTGACTTAAGGGCTTTTAAAGGTGACCTGATTAGGTATTTCCAGCTGGAGTTAGTAACACAGCCTAAGGTGATCTTACATGTGAATGGTAAATTGAGGTGCCCCACTGCATGAGCAGTATTGCTCGTCACAGAGCTTAAAACAGTGACAAATCTCTGTAAAACAGCTCTGCCTAAAACTATCCTGCTCTATCTCAGGGAAATGTACTTCCTCACATTAGCGTAAATTCTCCACACAGAGAATCATAAATTTAGTGTCAGATTGCTGTAAATGGGATTTAAAATGTTTCCTTAAGGACACATTGCATTTATCTTGACAGACATTTAAGCAAACGCAGAAGTGGACGCATTTCTTGCAAGATAAGATGTCAAGCACACCTGACATTTCATCACTCTAATATACTCAACCTCTATTTTGCTCAGCTTTGTACTGATTCAGAGTCATTTTTCAGCCTCGGTTCAATCTGCCTGTCCTCTTTTCTTACCCATTTCCTCCTCACTCCTCTCTTCCCCTATCACCCGTTTAACATCCTCTCCCCGGCTCTGCTCCTCACCCATTTCCTCTATCTTGTTATTTCTTTTTTTTTGTTTCTCCAACCTTTGCCGGTTATTTCTGCTTCCCACCTCAATTTATTACTCTCTTTCATGCCTTTAACTCTCCTCCAACCTCACTTCCAGACATTTCCCTGCCCCCATGCTCCATCTCATTTATCCCACATTTCTTGTTTATTTTTCTCTGCCTTTCCTTCTTGTTCACCTCAGCCTCTCCCATCAGCTCACATCCACATCCATGGGAGTGGGTACATTTGCACACATACACAAATCACTTCTATGATGTCTTATCTCTCTGTGGCACTTTGTCTTTTTAAAATGAAAACACCAACACACACATACACAAAGTCCCCCACATATCATAATAATGTCCTACCCTTGCTGACCTCATCTAGATGGAGTACTGAGCCTGTGGCAGGGCGTGGCAGACTCTGGGTTGATGAGGGAGGTCCTGTCCAGTCTTCAGACTGAATTATTAGCCACTCTGAAAGGAGTGGAAGCTCGCAGTGAGAAGGCCAACCTTCGGGAGACAGGTGAGCTGCCATGGTGTGCAAACCACTGGGCTGAAAAGAAGTGCTTTAAATGAGGTGTCAGTGAAGATGCAAAATGATCCCTTCAAAAGTAATGAGTGTAAGATTAGAGTAGGGTTTGACAAAAAGATAGAGGACCCAAAAGCAGACGTAGAGATAATGAAATACAAATAGAGACCAAAACAAAAACATACAGGGGAGAGAGGCGACAACAACAACAACAAAATAGGGCTGCACGATATATCGTTTGAGCATCGTCATCGCGACGTATGTGTGCACAATAGTCACATTGCAGAGCCTGCAATGTCGGAGGCAAATGAACTCAACTAATTTCAAGGGTAGCTGACTGAGATACACTGCATGTGACTCTGCATGTGCTGTGCAGCGATCCACCAATCACATTCATTCTTTACTCAGTTGCCAATCAGACTACACTGCCAGCCATCAATCAAAATCAGAGAGGAGGAAACCACGCCCCTACACATGAAGTAAGTCGCTGGCGCTGCCGGTGTTCCGAGAAACGCGTGTCCACTGAGAATTACTTTCGGAACATTACTCATCAATGTTTAGCCCAACAAATAAGAACTGTATGGGTTTTAAATTGTACATTTCCGTGGACCACTCTACTATAAGTGGTGCACGTTTTGCGAGATGGATGCAATTCTCGGCTGACATGCCTTTCTTGGCACAACACCAGTAGCAACAACAATGATTACAAAGACTTGTTGCCAAAAAGAAAAGCAACGTCAGTTATCTGGAATTATTTTGGTTACAAGAAAGATGATGTCAACCAAACACCTGTTCTGTGTTCATCTGTTGTCACAAGGAGAAATAACAAGTCCCAGCACAATAAAAGCAAGCTATAAATATCTCCAAGACAGACAGAAGCCATTCTACTAACATTCACAAACAGAGGTAAGATCAGTGCAGGTTAACTGTTCTCAAGATGTCCTCAAGCAGTGCAGCTATTCAGGTCATCTGCTGAAAATTCCTCTATGTTTTAATATTGCAATATACATTGCAGGGTTGAAAAAAATTGCAATATTGTGCAGCCCTACAACAAAACTACATCGCTAAAAACTGTAGTGAAAGTTTAAGTGAAGGTACAGGGAAGACAAAGAGCTCTGCACACTGTCTTCCTATATAGGTTCCCTCTGTTCTCATGCCCATGTAGAGGGTCCATCACTTTAGTTCTTACTCAGACTTGCCCCTTCTCGCTTGCACTCCACCAGAGTACACTCTGTATTAATTAACACCCACAACTAAATGAATATCACTTAATCAAATTGCAATACTCATGTTTTGCTAGGACCGCACGTCAACAGAGCTGTCAATAATTTATCTCTTGAACATCAAATAACTGAATTGTAACTAACCGTCTCAGAAAAATTGAAAACTTGCATATCTCAGCATGACACAGGAGGTGGGCTTTAGGACCTAAACTGCAGCCATTTATCAGGGGAGACCCCTAAATTATAGCTCTGCACAGGATAGCTATTGTTCCGTCCATCCACTTAGAAAGTCTATGGTTACATCTGTTTAGTGCGTCAATATCAGTGCAGACTCACTTCTGGGGGGTTTGACAGTCCACTCTCACTTCATACTCCAGGGTTTTGGGCAGCACTCATGTGGCGGACCCTCCAAGTGAGCTGAGCGAATGGAGTGGAATTGTGTGGGGAGCGGTTTGAGAAAGCTCATTGAGTGTTGTCTAAAACCTTCGAGTGTGGAGTGGGAGTGAGCTGTGAAACCCTCTAATGGAGTCTTCTGGCTTACTGATCAGTTTCATAATGATGTGTATCGTTTGTCCTGGAAATCACTCCTGACACAAAGGTTTTGGGTATTTTCTCAGAAACTTAGATAAAGATAAACAGGCATTTCATTTGAGCAGTTACTACTTAAATAATATTTTATGAATGCAAAATTGAAAAAAGCGTCAGCATTATGATGTGGTTCACGCACATTTCCAGGAGACCGCATAATAGGCCAGTTATTAACACCAGATTAAAACAGAAGATATTTACAAAAAATAAATGCGTCTAAAGAGATATCTTCCTCATAAAACAGAGGGATTTTCATAAGCCTGTCTGATTATTTTTAATTGTAGACTACTTGTTTTTAATGTGATACAAACATGGTTAGACAGCATTCCCGTCTCTCCAGGAATCATGGGAGTACAGCCCAAAGTTTGCTGTTTAAGCTAATCACCAAACACTCATGTGGAGAGTGTGTCATTCAGCCCAAGAGAGCTCAAAGTGAGCTCAGTCTGTAGCCTCTAATTTATTGCCATTTCCCATTTGTGCTTTAACTAAATTCTGCCATCACTATGCCTTTGTAGTACTCCCTGAAACAGCGTAGTATTGGGGTCCCAGTGTGAGTTTCACATCACACTGCATTACAGTGGTGCAGGAGCACAAAAGGCCTTGAATCGCTGGGAAGTAATGGGTGTAACCCAATTGGTAGTATCTTGGAAATGTGATGAAGCAGGAGCTGGAGGGTCCAAAGACTTGACAGACTGGAAGGTGAGGGCAACCAGAGGTGAAAATAACATGGACGAGGCTTACAATCTAAAGGGGGCTAAAGAAATAAGAGAAGGAAGAAAAGTATTGCAGGAAGATGACTAAATAAATCAAGATATGGCACCTCACAAGGCAATTGGAAATACTACAACCAAACATAAATTACGAATGATAAAGTCTGGTTTAAGTGGTACACTATAGATTGTGAAAATGGTTTGTTTAGACAGATTTGACTCAAGGTCTTTATTTTGTCAGATGCTGTCATCCTAAATTCCCTGTGTAAGATGTTTGGACTTCTAGACTCAGTAAAGCAAGCTCTGAGCCTTAAACGCAGCCAGGACGAGGAGAACAAAATGCATCAAAGTGTTTATGGTAAGAAATGTAATAGTACTGTGATAAAGGCTGCATAAACTTACATTACATGAACATATTTGAGAATTAACTTTTGAATCTTTTTTTTTTGTAGTATTGGATGATATTTTGGAGGGCCAGAGGAAACTGGTCTATGACAAATGCTCCTCCAAAATTCACTCCTTGAAACACCTTCGACAGCAACGTCACAACCCATCAAACAGCCAAACAAACAACTTGCTGTCTCCTGTAAAAACAAGCCCAGGGATCCAACCTTCGTCGGTTAATAGTTTATCTGCTGCATCTTATGCTCAGCTTGCCATCAACTCTCAGATCCTCAACTATTCCTCTACCTCCACCGGCCGGGGTTATTACGCTGGCAGGACTCAGAGGGAAGCCGGGCTAGAGCGAGAGCAGGAGTTCAGTGAGATGGCAAACCATGAGAAGTTTCACAGACAAGAATCCACAGGGACCTCAGGGATCCACAAAGAGCCTGGACAGAGGACTATTAGGCTTCAAGGAGATCCTAGCCTTGGAAGGGAGGAAAAGGAGGAGACAGAAGGGTTGCATGATGTTGAAAAGGTGGTTATAGGGGCAAAGGTATTGAAGAAACATAAAAGTAAGTAAGATGAGAGACCATGACCTCAAAGGGAAGCTGACAAAGAGAGGGAATGTGCCTGAGACGAGGAGACTATGATGGAAAGAGATTAAAAGAAGAGAGATACTTACACTTAAACTGTACTCTCTTTATGTCGTAATCAACAAATTTTTATAACAGATTTATTGTTTAAGTCTTTTTTTTCAAGCAAATATGCAAAAAGGAAATCTCCAGCTTCTATGTGTTTACATTTTTTTGTTTCTTAGCTAACAATGAATAGCTACAGAAATGTTCATCTTTGCAACACAAAGATATCTCATTTAAACTTCAGGAGTTTTTGAAAAGCCCCTCTTTAAAATAATTTATAGATCTAAGTGTTTCAGCAGTGGAAAGGTAATCCTGGAGCAGATACTTATCTCTGTTACGGACCAAGCACATGCTACATCACTCTGTATTCCTCAATTTCATTCTCAAAAGGCTCTTAAGTCTGTAAATATAAAATTTGGTTCTATTTATGATATTTGTGGTGGTATTTTCCTTGTCTTAAGGTGGTTGGTAACTTTTACAAATCTTTTTACAAATATTTCCTCAAACTTTTATAATTAATTTCAAATACTCTTTGTTATTGAAAATATGTATTTTGTGAACTATTTGTGGGTAAAATCATATATTGTTTGGATTTTGTGGAGTATTTTACTCAGGCTTGTATTTAGGCTTGTGTTTTATGACCCAAGACCTGTCTCAAATCTATGCATCAGACTTTCAGGATCTGAGGAATGGATTTTTTTTTTGTGAAAATGAAAACAACTCGAACAATTGTGACTGTTAATGTGCTTTTACTTTAAACAAGGTGCTGTAAACTGATGTGCAGCAAATACATGATTCTCTTTGTTTTCTTTCCCACTGCTTTGTACTATCAGGAAAAGGTAGAAAATATTGTGCACATGAGGCTATGATGAAGAAAATGTTGATGTTTTAAAATTATATCATAACACAATGGACACATTTGAATAAAAATATGTTTAATATTTAAACAGAAGCAGTGCTTTAGCGTGTGTTTAAAATAAGATTTGTAAAATAGAAGCGGCCTAGTCAGGAAAATTTCACCCACTTATCACACATGGGTTAAAGTGCTGTGAGGATTTTTTTTAACTGCTGCTTATGAAACAGACAAACGTATTCAGTGAGGCTTTTTTTGCCCTCGATATGCAATCTAGATTAATTGAGAAAAGATTGGCAATTTCTTTTTCTGATTTTCAGTTTCAGCAAAGCTCTGCATGGGGTCGATATCTGGCAATATTATTATAGCAATTTAAAAAAAAAGACATTTCATTTTTTACAGAAAAGTGATGCAGTGAAACATTTTCCTGCTGAAAAAAGGAGGGTGAGCTTTTTACCACAGACACAAGAACAGTGTAGATGTCAGACATCAATCTGTCCACAAAATGCAGCACAAATGTAATTTATAGTCAGTTCTTTATAGGAAATTTAAAAACAAAAAACATTATCAAGAGTTCCTGTTAGTATTGAGAAAAGTAATGCTTGTCTTTGATAAACTGTAAAACTTTACATAAGTTCCCAGATTTGAACGCAAAGGCAGAAAAGATACATGCAAACAAACAAACAAACAGAAATAATAATTATAATCAGAAAAGTGAGGAGCAATGATAGCCCACACTACAAAATTTAACGCTGTGTTGGTTCATCTCACAAGCATTTTAGACATTCACCAACAATCACAGATGTCAGTCTTAATACATTACCTTCTGGCCACTGGTGTTTCAAAGTTTCACTTCACAGATGCAGCAGAACTTTTCCACCCTGTGATTTTCTGTTTCTTTGACTTTAGAGGCACCAGGTTGCATGCCGTGGCTGTGTGAGCCGTGTGATGGACAGTCATAGTTTGATAGTGCACTCTTCTCAGTACTGTAATGATATGTTATTATGAATAAATGCACAATGTTGCCTGTGCAGATGTAGTTGTTTGTGAGGGGTCATGAGTGGCAGCAGAGAAATGCCTGAAAAAAATTACTTTCATCATACTGCAGCTGTCTGCATCCCCCACTGAAGCCTGTCCTCTTGTCGAATTCAAATCGTGTTTTGCAACATCCTGTTCCTGAAAATTAAACCATCATGCAGTTGAACAGATCCAGGCCAAACTACTCCCTAGTTTAAATAAATTGCTGCTCTGTGCCTTGAATACCAGGGCACAAAAATTGCTGCCATGCATCAGGCAGGTGTAATTACAGGTGTTAGCTTGACATACGCTGTGCTCCTTTAGTTAAATTAAGTAATTTGCTGAGCAATCCATCGTTCATCTGTCATTCAAGGCTAACAACATTAGAGACTGAGATGTGCGCTCATGTTAGAAGCCTCATGCGTCTGTTTGCCCCCTTTAATTTAATACACCACTTCAGTGTTCACACGCGACAACAAACTGAGTGATGAATAGCGCGCATAATGGCTTCTTGATCCAATTCAGATTCCTGGAGCCCTGGCTAAATGTGTCAGCCAAACGATGTTTTAACACCAGGTTAGTTCATGCAGAGAAGCTGTTGCAGCATCAGCACTTCTGCAAGATGTTTAATTTAAAGATGAGCCTCGGAGCAAACCTTATGTTGGAACGCTGAACCACAGGATACTCAGGAGACTAGTGTCAGACATCTTATAATTGACAGCATAACTATTTAACACGCTGTGTAGAACTTTGAAATACCAGGAAGTATCTGTTAGTGTCAAGGTCACAGTGGCTTTTTAAGTCTTTGTACAGGAAGATGTTTACTTTAAAAGTAAAATTAAATCCAAGAGTGTTTTTGTCATGAATCCCTCAACAAACATGACCAGCTGTGGTTAAGGATCCTCATCAAAATGCAGATTCAATGCACACAGCATAATGTATGGAGATATATGCTCTGCACCTGTCACAATGGAGTGTAGAGGCATGTTGACCTGTCTGTCCTGAGTGATAGTCTAACTTATCCTCTCTGCAAAACAGCAATTACAGTGGAAAAACACAATTTAGGTTTAATTAAAAAGTTAGATAGAGGACTTTTTCAATGAAGAGAACTTATGTTGCTTTCAAAACATAGGAGAGAGTGGGGTAAGTTGAGCCAAAGGGTAAGTTGAACCACCCCCTGCTGCTTGGAAATGGTAAAAGAAATTGATCATGTGACCAAATATTTAGGAGATGGGCATCAATTCATGGAGTCTGTGAAGGTTAGAAGCACATGGGTAAAAGGGTTAGACATTTATTTAAAAAAAAAGAACATTTTTCACTCTTGAAAGTGAATTTACTCCATCATAAATTTTGTTAGACTTGTGTTCAGACCAAAAAGGTCATTTAAAATTTGTTTTATTCATCACTGATGGTATCTATGAGCTACAACATGAGGTCAAAAACCTAGCATAAAAGTCCACCATTTTGGCTTAGAGGACTAATAAAGTCATCATAGTAGTTCTGGGGTAAGTTGAGCCAGTGACTCAACTGAGAAAATAAAGGAGTCTGATGAGAGGATCAGAGTTTCAGTTCAGATTGTTGAAATGTGTTACTTTTTCTTTTCAAAAATACAGCTGTGAATGTTCTGAATCACTTAAAGACATTCTCATGTTAAAATGACTTTTTACAAAACAGCTTTTTAACAGTATATTGTACCAGTTGAATAGCGTATAATAGATAAAAACACACATGAATGTGAAGAAGTGACTGTTATTTAGGGAGAGAGAAGGTGAGGGAGGGCTGGCGAGGAGAGTGGGGTAGTGGGGATACGGCTCAACTTACCGGTTACCCCATACACTGAGTAAGTTGACCACTTTTGGACCACTTTTTTTGACATGCAATATTATCAAGACAGTTATGTTTACACTCATTCTGTCGGCTTGCAGGGATGCACAACATCTTGAAATATATGCAGATACACTAGTTAGAGACAAAACTATGATTGACTTGATGTAGTGATCTGAAATATGAAAAAGGGCTCATCTTACCCCTCTCTCCCCTGTGCAGCACAGAGGTTTTGACTTTTTGTTGTTAGACTGGGATCCAGTAGCCTGATGTACTGGAAATCATGCTGACAGCTGTTTTTAGAAAGACAAAGTTACTTCTCTTTCAAAATCAGAAAAAGAGGCCCTCATCTTGTCCAGGTCCCAAAAGCTAAACACAGAGGCGCTTGTAAAATACACGTCAACAGTGAAAGTCTATTCAAACCACTCCTCAAACCAAATCACCAAACAAACCTTGTTTACTTTCAGTAAAACCAAGTTACAACTCAATTTCAATTTCTACTATCTGACCAAAACCGCATTAGACCACGGAGGCCTACAATTTTGAACCTCAAACACTTTTCTGAAGAAGCAAAAAATGATTATCCTGTCAGTGTGTTACACCCCTTCCCAAAGTACACAGGTGCACAGCACACCAACACTCGGTTTTGGTTTTGCTTGGCCGAAGCTTGAGTACCACACCGTCGTAGCAAATCTCGGCCGCTTGGAGGCGCCCGGCTTTTACTTTGAGTGCGCTGTCGGAGAAGTGGAGGCTGGGAAAGGAAAGTGGGTTTGAGAAGAAATCTCTTCCCTGAACTGTTTACCCTGACGTCAGTTTGCAGAACTAGCTCTGCCCTGTCTCCCTCAGTGTCTGTGAAAGTCTTCTCAGTGAGAATTGGGGGAGTAGATGGGCTCGGCTCTACCTACTCACGCGCCCGGACCTCGCGGAGTGAATGAAATGGTCCCTTCTGCACATATTTAAAGTGGACTAAAAACAGCTACGCGATGAACACCTGCGCCTTTCTGTTGATTTTGACTGTTCAGATCTACGCCGATGGCATTGAGGGGCCAACAGGTAAGGCACATTTCCATCTCCATCTCTTGGGTGCAGTTTGAAAGTTTGCACATGTGGAGAAAAGTCTGCTGCAAGAAAAAGCAGTGCAAGTCTAGTGAAATGGACAACTTTGTAACGCCTTTGACCAGGCACGCTTGTGCGTTTACCCGTGGCTCACCGCTGCTTTCTGCTCGTGGGACAGTGTTCACCAGCAGAAAATACGAACACAAACCAATAACTTTGGAAACTGAGGTTTCAAGTTTGAGCAGTCTTGGCATGAAGGGAATTTTGGTGATTTGGGGGGAACGGGGTCCGGATGTCTGGGGGAAAGCTCCCATTTCCCTAAACTGCACAATCCTCGGCTCTACGCTGTCTGAGCTGTTTTTGCTGTTAGTCAGGCGAGTATTTCGAGGCGCCAGGTGACTTGAACGGCTTGACAGTGTGACCCTTATTGTGGCATCAGCTGTGTTAGAGCAACATCTTTCCGTCCAAAATCAGCGAAGGACATTTCCACGACCTTTAGTCAATTTAATCTATATTTCAGCTCCTGAATCCCCCACGAACTCTATCAGCCAAAGCCCTCTCTGTGATAATATCCAGGACCTGGAGCTGCTCCATGCTGAGGTTGGGTTGAAAAGACGAGTTGTGTTATGGTTTCTTGAAAAAAATGCACGTTGATGAGGTTTGAAGCATTCTTATGCTTATTGAAGTTTGAAACTAAAATCTCAAAGCTGCTGGATTTTTCTCCCAATGTGCTGAGCCATGCCCCTGTGCACACAAAAACCACCTGATGTCAGGAAAATGACTAACTAGTTGGAAAAAAAAAAGGCTGCTGCTGTAGTTCTCATCAAAGCTATACATTTTTAAAACTATCTCTTATAATGGCCTTATTGATGTTGCAGTGATTTAAAAATCTGTCTAACATTTCAGGGCCTGCCACACATGAGAGAGATGGAAAGAGAAACGCATAGTGGCAGAAAAATAAAAGCTTTTTACAGAAATCTGACATAGACCTTTTCGTATTCCTGTTATCAAAAATATGCTTTTATTCCCTGAGTACTATTAGTCATTCACGCTAAGCTTTTACAAAGCTGAATTCGTTTTTTTTTTTCTGAAGTGAGAAATGTCATGGGCCTTTTCCAGCGCCTTTGTAGAGCACACACACACACACACACACACACACACACACACACACACACACACACACCAATATACATGCATAATTT